TACAACATACACCAATTAGCCTAGCCCCAAAGTAAGCACTATAAGGCTTGTGTTATGGGATACTAGGGTAACGGATAGAATACACATACTTTACATATATAAGTATATTTATATAGAAATATATATTTAAACATCCATGACTGGAGTACAAATGCTTGTGTTCATCACACAAATATCTGCCCCCACCGGGATTCGAACCCGGGACCTCTCGAGTCGGCGACGCCATGAAACCCGGCGTACAAACCACTCGGCCACGGAGGTCGTCAATTGCGAAGGGTGCGGGTTCGAGTTCCGTCTGCTGCCTGGCTCGCGTGGAATTTTTTCTAGTTATATTTTCTTTAGATTTAAGTTTTAAGTATTTTCGCATAAACATATGGAAATAGTAACGGTAAATTACGAAACTGCACAGTTGTATGAATTTTAACATTGTAAACACAATGTGTTATGTAGATTTAACAAGAATTAAAACATGTTTACGATAAATATTTTAGATAAATAGCTATATTATGTGTTTAAGTTCATCAGCATCATCATTAGCCTATTAATGTCCCCACTGCTGGGGCACAGACTTTCCCTATGGATGGAATAGGGAGATTAGGCCATGACCCACCACGCGGGCCTAATGCGGATTGGCGGGTGCTAACGACCGCAGATGCAGCCGGGACCAACCGCTTGACGTGCCTTCCGAAGCACGGAGGAGCTTGAGATAGTAAATTTTTTGGTCACCCATCCCATGACCCACCACTGCGAAAGTTGCTTAACTTCAACGATCGCAGCCGAACGCGCTAACCACTTGCGCCATCGAGCTCCTCAAAGTGTTTTAGTTATTTGTTATAATTAAAATACAATAAAGTTGCTCCACTGAGCGAACCGTTGTAATACGAAGAACGCGAGTCGAGACGGACAAGACACTTCTACCCGCGGTTACAAACAAAAAAAAAAATGGTTGCCTGTAAAGTCGGTTTTACGGGCGAAGATTTTACGTGACAACGTCTTTTTCTCGGTAGAATATTTATTGATATGAATATAATTAAATTGCACAATAGGAACAAGGAATTGAATGAAAATAAGAATTGCACAAATTTTAACTATAGAAATATATTTTGTTTACTAAAACATTGTACATGTAAACTTAAACTTAACACGAGAGACTCATCGTAACGTTACCGAGCGTTACACTTTTTCATAAGTGACTCCCAGCCGCAACATAATTTAAGACGTTGTTACGTCAAAATGAGTGCGTGTACTTATGTAACTGCATGAGAATTTATACTTAATTGGCATTATTGAAAATTAGTTTTTAACTAGCAACCCAGTGAACCAAATGTTCACCAAAACCTGATTTCTCGAAAACCGGAAGTGCTACGTTACTCAAATCCGGTTTGTAGTCTTATCAGACTATTCTTAACTTAAATATTCTCTTTATCTATCTCTTACGGTTTGGCCGCTGAAACAGCACCACAGACAGACGAACTTGTCTAATAGATAAGAGATAGATAACAGATTGCATTCAATTAATTAATAACAATAAAATAATAAAAGGACTGGTAAACGATAGTCAGAACAGTCAATAAAGTTCAGTTTTAATTTGAAAAAAATCAATAAATAATCAAAGTATTAAATTCAAATCGCTACTGAATGTAATTTATTAACACATATATGATTCGAACTTGTATGTAAATAAAACACGTGTTGTGAATATAGAAACTAGAGACATGTAGATAAATATTATAAATATGAAAACAGTGATCAGAGGCGACGAGCGTGCCAACATGCGCGACTTATAGAGATTCAATTTCTATTTTGTGGTAGCTTTTTTCGAGACTGACCTAATGTGCTGTTTAGCGGCCTTACTTTTGTGTTACAGTGATGTGCGTTAAAATTACACTCCCATAATTTTTTCATAACGCGCCCGCGGCCAACTTCATTGTGTTACTTTTCTGTTATAGTGATGCGTGCGCATTTTAAAAGGTCATTTTCCATCCTCCCTCATGGTATGGTTGGGCGTTTCTTATTGGGGCTTAACAGAGGTAAATCTTTGTAAGAAAGGTGTAAAAACGAATACAGTCCTGACGAACCTTGTGGAACCTGTTTCTCAAACCATGTTCAATAACAGGCACTGGGCTGGCATTCCAACAAGATTCAGCGCCACCTTTAGAGCAAAAAGCACACAAGACTAAAAATCGACTATGAAATCGACTTAATCCGGCACGAAGACTGGCCCTCCTCTAGTCCAGATTTGAGTCCGTTAGATTACAAGATATGGCAACACTTAGAGGAAAAGGCGTGCTCAAAGCCTCATCCCAATTTGGAGTCACTCAAGACATCCTTGATTAAGGCAGCCGCCGATATAGACATGGACCTCGTTCATGCTGCGATAGACGACTGGCCGCGCAGATTGAAGGCCTGTATTCAAACTCACGGAGGTCATTTTGAATAAACTTTATTGTCATAAGAATTTATGTTTTGTTAAGTTCATTTTGGTATATAAATGGTTACATAATGAATAAACTTGTTTCAATTATTTTGTATTAAGCAGTGACAGAATTTATGACCTGACTAGGTATTTGATCTTTATTTTCTACATCGGAAATTATAAAAACCAATTAATATCAATTTATGTATCTCAACTAAAATTCCTTAATTTTGACTTTAAACTGCGTCTCAAACTCAAAATCAATTCAAAATTGTAATTTTTTAAATACGAATAATAACCGCCGATATTTTTTGTTTCCTCCCAACCCCGCCAGGGGTGCGGATGTGAAATCCTCATGGATACCCTACGCCGCCACCGGCATATTTCTTGTAGGTTTCATAAATTTTATATGGACTCGCCACACACGGTACGCCGGTGGCCGCCACACGCTACAAATCGTCGTTGCTCGTTTCTTGTGGCCCGCACCGGCCACTTAATGCGCCGATACAAAACGCTACCACACGTCACTCGCGCGATTCCCCACCCGTCTCTCCCTTACCTTAGCCGGCCACTGTCGCGCGCTTCAGCCACTTTAGTAGCCGCTTCTAGCTTCTCGTGGCCGCGTTTGCTTCCATTTTGTTTCCACTTTCCAATAAATATTTCCAACACTCACACCAATTAGCCTAGCCCCAAAGCAAGCACTGTAAGGCTTGTGTTATGGGACTAGGGTAACGGATAGAATACATCACTGATACATATACAAGTTTTATTTAAATAGAAATATATATAAACATCCATGACTGAAGCACAAATGCTCGTATTCATCACACAAACATCTGCCCCACTGGGTTCGACCCAGGACCTCTCTTGTAGGCGACACGAGTCGTCGTACCGAGTATAGAACACTCGACGATAATTTCACCTCACTGGTGGTGGTTCACTCGCTGGTGGGTTTACGGGGGGTTAGTACCGCAGCCCAGGGTTGCGATGGTATCGCACGGAAGAAAACTGCGGGACGTGACGACCGGTGGGCGACGCGATGATAATGTATGCAGCGAACGAACGATTTTTTGAATTAAATAACCGCCGACGATTTTGCGACTGAGACATTCGTGCCTCCGTTCAAACGTAGTAAGCGGGCGGTAGATGTAGAAAGTTATTTTCACGATTGAACGCAACTGATGTCTTATATGGTAGGAAGTGCTTAGCATCCCACATTCAAGGGTGAAGTGCTTAGCATCCCTCTAACTCGACTTTAAAATTACCCATAAAACGGTCTCGATTTTAACAGGGAAATCATGCGATGTTGAATGCCTGTCATATGTAAAATTACAAAATATATACGATGACGGAACCTCATGTGTTCCCCCTTTAAAGGTTCTACAAAAAAGCCTGCAACAGCAAATGTCAATCTTTAAGGGGATACCGAAAACTTGCTTCAAAATTTATAATAATCGAACACACACACACACGCACACACACACACACACAGACACACACACACTCACTCACACCCACACACAAACTCAGACATAACAGAAATATCGAATACTTTAGACTAAACAAATAACGTGAAAAAATCGTTATATATTTGTAACCAATATGGTATTGTTTGGAAGAGTTATGGAAGAGCGAGAGTTCCTGACACAGGCAAACAAACTTATCTACTAGGGGTTCTCAAATATTGTATCACTAGCATAATCTCTTATCTATTAGACAAGTCCGTCCGTCCGTCTGTCGGTGGTGCTGTTTCAGCGGCCAAACCGTAAGAGATAGATAAAGAGAATATTTAAGTTATAAGTTAAGAATAGTCTGATAAGACTACAAACCGGATTTGAGTAACGTAGCACTTCCGGTTTTCGAGAAATCACGAATTTCAAACGAAACCACACAAAATCACCGAAGTTCTCAATTAATTAAATACATTGAACATTTGGTTCACTGGTTTGCTAGTATCTATCTATTTATATAAAACTCAAAGGTTGACTGACTGACATAGTGATCTATCAACGCACAGCCCAAACCACTGGACGGATCGGGCAGAAATTTGGCATGCAGGTAGATGTTATGACGTAGGCATCCGCTAAGAAAGGATTTTGATCAATTCTACCCCCAAGGGGATAAAATAGGGAATGAAAGTTTGTATGAAACTTTGTCAATTTTAAACCGATCGGGCTGAGACTTTGCATGCAGGTATAAGAAGAATCATGGATGTATGTCATTGTGTATAATACAAGCCTGAGAACAAATACTGTAGTCTACACTTCAGCTCTACACCGAAGCGAAGCGAGGGCGGGCCGCTAGTTGGTTATAGAAATTAAGTATATTTGACTTTGATTTTTTTTTGAAGGGGTGACAAACTATAATCTTTTTTCTCCAATCATTGCGGGTGAAACCGCAGGGCAACTCTAGTTGTTTAAATGTACGTATCATAATGTTACTTTTTATTTTACTAATCCTGTCTACGTCATATCAATATCAATTTTAAACTACCACCACATTAATCCTTTACAATTAATTCGTTGCGCAAACATTTAAATTGTGTGTTTCTAGTTGTTTAGCTATGTAATTTCTTACATGTGTTTGCACAAGTGTACTCATAAAAAATATCATATAAAAATGGCGTCCGAGCCGTTTTACCGCAGTGGATAACAGATAGTAAGTCTGACCACTAGAAAGCGATTATGAAGTTCTCGGCGGCGCTGCTGCTCGGCTTGCTGAGTGTAAGTTGCACAAAATATTTTGCTGTTTACCATAGTGGCCTGCTAATACGAGGGATTTTTTTACGGACTTTTTTCCGTGGACTTTTTTGTCCACGGACTTTTATGTCCGCCGAAATAGATCACTTTGAGTGACACACACGACGGATTAAAAGTCCTATGATTATAGTGGCCTGCTAAGACGAGAGACTTTGTGCGTTCTTTTCCTCTTGTTCGGTGTCTCGGAATATTCGATTGTTTGGGGAACTTTTTTGTACGCGTGACTTTTGATTTCTCGTATGAGTAATTTATTGTCATTTTTTATGTCAATACAAATTGACATTATTGACATTTTAATTTTTGTAATTTGAATCTTAGATTAATAATAATGAATCTAGATAATAATTAATTTTATAAATATTAAAGAAAAATAAGATAATTGACATAAAAGAAAGTTTCAATAACTTCACTGTACAGTAGTGAATATAGCTAATTAACTAAAAACCTCAAAATCTTAAAATATATAATAATAACTAAAATACATTCGTATGAGTTATACGATGCAGGCTTTGGAGGTCAAATAGTCGACGGACAAAAGTCGCTCGTTAGCGCAGGCCATAAGACTGAGTGGAAAAAATCCTTTGACCCGTGTGTCCTCTTTGAGTGTACTTGCGAAAAACATGGACATTAGAAAGATCTTTTGTATTTTAAGCATACATGTGAAACGCCTTGAATTTTTTAAAATCCTTTGATCATTGTGTATTCTTTGAGTGTACTCGCGAAAAAAAGACATTATCAAGAACTTCTTTAGTATTTGACTGATAACGCCCAGAAATCTTTTCATAAAAATAAATCCCTTTTCCCTCAGCTATGTTATAATTTGAAAACTACTGTACTCGTTCAAGGACCAGTTTTTCATTGGTCTTTTTCAAGTGAGGAGCTCTTCTGGATGCGACCACTTGTTGTGAAGCCTAGTTCTTGTTCTTGGACCATTTCTGCTTTTAACGTACGACTTTTGCATATCGTTATGCAAAAATACATGGGATTTTTTTTTAATAAAATGAAACTATACCACCGGTTAAAAATAAGCTAGATAAGCAAGCCCAAGTATGAAGAGAAATGGATAAAACTGCTTTACGGTTTTCTTGCTTTAAGTCTGTCCTGTGATTTACAGTTGCGATCCTCAGTCAGCGATGAGACAAATTAATGAAAATGATAATATATGTCGTCACCAAAAAAGGGGATTACAAGGAGTGATTTAGTCTTTTTATTAAGTGCATAATGCACATGTGCCAGAAGAAGTCGCTCTTCCACATTATACATGGTGTAATAAAGTATGGTATTTTTAATCGGTAGTTATTCTAATTTTCCATTTTATTTAATAGTTAGTCATAATTTCATAACTCTTCCAAACTTGGTTACAAATATATAACGATTTTTTCACGTTATTTGTTAAGTCTAAAGTATTTAATATTTCTGTTATGTCTGCGTTTGTATGTGGTTGAGTGTGTGTGTGTGTGTGTGATTATTTTTTAAGTTTTTCAGTTTCATCATAATCTAAGGATTCTAAAGCTGATAAATTAATGAAAACTTAAAAATCCTATGTAACTGAATTCGAACTTTAGATTGATTTTTCTAACCAAGTTAGTAACTTTAAGAACCCAAGATATTGAAATCATTCTATGTTAAGAGGTGATTTTTCTCTAAAATTCTTAACATATTTTAAGGTTAAAATAATGTTATATAATTTATGTTTTTTTTTGTTTTAGGTCGCGCTGACGCTCGCAGAGCCAAAGAGTAAGTATTTTGGATATACTGTACTTCCAGGGCCCAAAAGTAAAAACTTCACAGTTTTGTTGGTTGTAATTTCGCATTTTTGTTGTTAAAACGGTTTCTGTTAACCACATTATTAAAAAAAATGTCACACTTATGCACTGGTAGTTTTTTGGAAAAAAATATTGAAAATTTTTACTTTTCTTATCAAGTGGTGATACTTCACACTAGGTTAGGTTAGGTTAGTGTTGTGACCATAACGCGCGAGCCGAGCGAGCAAAGCGAGCGTGCCGCGGCAGCGGCCAGCGAAGCGCCAGAAAAAAAAACTGTTAAAAAGACCTTTTCTACAAAAAAAAAACAAGTATCACCTTTTGGGCCCTGGAAGTACAGTTTTACCAGTATTTTATTAAAAAATTCATCAACTACTAATTAACCAAGAAAATTCAAGCATAATAAGTTTTTTTTTCAACTTGTGTTTAAGAAATATTGTACTATTACAATAATAATAAGTAATAACATTATTGTACTATTTCATACTACAAATATTCTGTCCAACACACTTGATCAAAACATGTATATAATGTAATGTGTGGTAAAAAAAATTACCGCACGCTTACATACATGGCGCCGTGCGTATTCTTTACGGTTTTTTTTTAAATTTCAGTCGAACCTCTATGGATGCTCTCTTAATCTATACCTTTGCCCTACTTTAATACTGAAAAGATGTAGTTCGTGTGTTGTTCGTAGTAGGTATGTGTTGTGTGACCTTAATTCTAAACTTACGAACAATGTACACAACCTCCTTAAATGCATTTTTTGAGCAAATGTGTTGAAAATAACTATTACGCTACAGCCATATACTACGCGCTACGAGCGTTACGCCGTAACGGCCAGCTAAAAGCTACGAGAAATGTTACATATAAAATTGGAATTTATTAATGAAAAATGTAAATGCAAAATGTATACAAAAAAAAAATGTTGAAAGACAAGTAATATTAGTTACTGTCTGTTTCCTATAGGTGTCTTACCCAATGTTTCCATGATTCTAGAAACAAGTCTTATAATAGTTTTTAACAAACTTGAGGAATACCTGTTGTGGCTGTTTAAAACATTGTTCCGTTTCCACTGCATAGACAACTAGCATCTCACAAGTATAAAGCACTTATTTACTTCACATATTTTGTTTATTCAACAAGTTTGATGCAAGTATTGTATACAACATGTTTTATACATGTATATAAGTGTGAACAAAAAATGAAGACATTGTATAAAATTTGACAAATACATGTATTATTCCTTAGTGTAAACGAGGGGAATTTTAAAAATTGTTTTTTTTTTGTATTATGATGAAATCATAAATTAATATTATAACATTTGTCTAGCTGTTTATAATACGCAAAAGAATATTATAATACTAAGATAATTCATTACGTTTATTAAAGACTCAATCGCTACGCCTTTGCTAGGTATAATTATAGCTGTACTAAACAAATGGCATTCTATGGGGCAATAGTTAAAACAATTCGGGATTAACATACTAAATTTCGATTCAATAAAAAAATAATTTAACCCATAGTAAAATGTCAAAACGTCAATGTCAGTTTGACATATACTGTATGGGCTATATCTAGTTTTTGTTAAATTGATATTTAGCAAAATTGATGTACAATACAATACAAAAAACTCTTTATTAAACACCACGAAACACATTGAACATTAAGCACAAAAACATTTAGTACAAGTGATGCAATAGGCGGTCTTATCGCTTAAAGCGATCTCTTCCAGGCAACCTTTGGCCCACATGCATAAATAAGGCGCTCAAATATATTTTTTGCAAAAAATGTGAAAGGGCTCTTAAGGTTGTAAATCGAAACAAAACTAAAAAAAAAAATGTTAGCCATCACGGGACGCCTGACAGATGTGAAACATCGACATTAAGTCGTTTCTTTTTTCTTTTTGCTAAAAAATATGTTTTTAATTCAAGTCCGTATAAGTTTTTTTTAATTTTTTATGTCTTTAGAAACTTTCTAATTTAATAATTTAATTAAAGAACAAATAGTAAGATATATAACTTAAAACCTTAAAATTGATAATAATAACTAAAATACATTATTAAAAGGAGTCCCTTTAGGCAAGGTTCCAAAGATACTGGCAGCGTTCCCCCTTTGAATAGCTAGACTAATTAATTCTTTGTCCGAGGTAGCTGCCAGCTCTTCGGTCTTCCGTGATGTCGACCAACCTTTTTGCTATTTCCTTAAAAAGCCTTACAGCGCTAGGACCCCACGGACCAAGGGTCTCGTCACCGAATGGGACAAAATCATATTCGGAGCCTAGACCCCTGTATTTGCATGCCTTAGCTTTTTCAGCCGCTTCGCAAGCCGCACCAGTTCATTTTCTAATTTAGAAAATAGCTTTTAATATTTTTATTTTAAGCATTTAACTGCTGGATGTTTAAATCTAAAGAGATTATAAATATAGCGGTTCAAAGCTTAAAATAACTTCAACGAAGTAAACTAATTTGAATTTCAGAAACAAAGGATTGTCAAACTATATTTGTCGACCTCCGTGGCCGAGTGGTTTATATGCCGGGTTTCATGGTGTCGCCGACTCGAGAGGTCCCGGGTTCGAATCCCGGTGGGGGCAGATGTTTGTGTGATGAATACGAGCATTTGTACTCCAGTCATGGATGTTTAATATGTATTTCTATATAAATATACTTATATAACGTACAATATATGTATTCTATCCGTTACCCTAGTATCCCATAACACAAGCCTTACAGTGCTTACTTTGGGGCTAGGCTAATTGGTGTGAGTGTTGGAAATATTTATTTATTTAATTATTTATATTTGTTATAGGTGGCCGTCGAGTTGTACGTCGGGTGATAGAGCGTGATGTACCAGTCACTGAGACTGTAGTCGAGACCCATGAGATCCCAGTGGAGACCGTGACTACACAACAGGTTGTCACCGATCGTCACTTGAAACAAGAATATCAGAAAATTAACAAAACGAAGATTGAAACGCAGGTCCTCGCGAGCCAAGAAGGTAGATAGCAGTACCCCTAGCACGAACCAATATCAAATTCGTATCGTTTGCGAGTCCGTATTGTCATTGTCAAATGTGTACTGTACCCCTAGCACGAACCAATATCGAATTCATATCGTTTGCGAGTCCGTAATGTCATTGTCAAATGTGTACGGTACCCCTAGCACGAACCAATATCGAATACATATCGTTTACGAATCCGTAATGTCATTGTCAAATGTGTACGGTATCCCTAGCACGAACCAATATCGAATACATATCGTTTGCGAGTCCGAAATGTCATTGTCTGCACTTTGTGCCGCTGCTGTTCAAGTTTCCATACAAAATTTTACATTGACATTTCGGTTTGCAAACCATTCGAATTCGATAATGGTTCGTGCTAGGTGTACAGTAGAAAATCGGAAAAACGATTACTTTTATATCGTGAAAAAATAACACTAAAAACCGAATTTTTTTGGAGCCCTTCTTTTTAACAGTACAGAATTCCGTTAAAGATTAACTCTTATCCCCTTTTTGATAAACGTAGTATAAGCTTGCATTGAATTATAAATTAAATGACACTTGAGTGTCATGAACAAAACATGGCGTAACTAGTCCAAGCTTCTTTCTCGTTAATTAATAAGGGGGTATGAGCACATGAGTAGTAAACATGATGACCAATCTTTATATATATAATTCTTCTGTGAGTGTGTATGTCACTGAACTTCTCTTAAACGACTGGACCGATTTTGATGAAATTTTTTGTGTGTATTCAAGGGGATCTGAGAATGGTGTAGATTTACAATTTTGTCCGCTGGACAATGTTTTTTTAATTAATTTTTAATTTATTAGTAGTTGTTGATTTTGGAATGTTTTACATTGGATCCGACAGATGGCTATGTGTATATTCTTGTCAAACATTTGACGTTCGTCGTTTATCATTTCTTCCAAATTACTGTAAGCAATACGAAGTACGCTGGGTCAGCTAGTATACCTATATGATATTTCGGTTGGGGTGTAAATTGAAAAATGCTATGAAAAAATTAAACGGAAATACGCCACGAACGTCACACGACTATATACATATATATATATTTATATATATTTTTTTAACATCACTAGGAAGCAGCGAGTCCCAAGACTACGAAAGCAGTCAGACCGACTCTTCGTATCAAGATGTTTCTACCCAGGAAAGCAGTGAGACGGAGACGACAGAATCGGATGGGGAGGTCACACAGTACCAAACCGTAAAAGATCAACTTGTCAAAAGGAAGAAGAAAACAAGAAAATTGACTAAGCAGCTTCACCTAATCGAGGCTGTATGTGAGTAGAAACGCATGATTGAAAAGAAAAACCTTTGAACTGTTTCACCCTAGCGGAGACATCAGGCATTTCTATAGTACCTTTTTTTTGTGCCTGAAAAATGCCTTACGCATCCTTCAACCACTGGGGGAGCGAGAAGAAGGTATGTGGGACTCCTCCCTGTCCTCTTCAGCCAGCCCTGGAGCTCGCTGATGTGAACAGGGCCCTACCTACGCCCTGAACAGGACCACTAAAAACCAGACAATACTCCTGCACCGTCACCCGACACGCACTATGAGGACCGCGGTCCCCCTAGTGCATGCCGAGAGGGCGGGTGTGGTCGCGGAACCCGTCTCCGAATGGCCGCGCATTTCTATAGTACTTACTGATGTTATTTATTCAACGGGACACCGATACAAACGCACCAATTTCCCATATTAATATTGTTGTTCACTGACTGTTAACACTGCCGGCGAGAAATCGCTTCACTATCTAGTTTGCCGCTGTGCGACAAGAGCTATCAAAGATAATACTCGCTCAGCGATGTCAACTTGGCCGCAAAACGCGTGCGCAAGCATTTATCCATCCCCAATAACTAGACATCATTGTTATCCTAGTTTTAACGGGTTAATGCACGAAACTTTATTTATTTATTGACGTTTCGCAGCCTCTTCAGGTCTGCATCGTCAGAATACTGACCTGAAAAGGCTGCGAAACGTCAATAAATAAATAAAACTAGGTTATATCATTGTTATCCCATAGCCAAAGGTCACTAGTTCAATTCAAGGCTGGTTTTTGGGGAGATTTGAATTTTTTTCCTGTATTCTCGTTAATCTGAGCTTTATTGAACTTCCTGAGACACAAAAGGTTATCAAAATAAACCAATGTTTCTTAAACTTTTTTATAGAGAGTAAAGATGGCCGGTTTAACCAGACTAATAACAAATTACATTTCAACGTAAAATAATACCTACTTTATAAGTACCCTTCAATTTAGTAGCATTATAATGCTTTCAAAGTTTGGGAACAACTAGTTTTAGATCTTTTTACTGTCACTTTGTTTTTAATTATGATTTTACTGCGTATAAAATTCGACCTATTGTAAAAAACTTTTAATGGTTTCCTGTACCTTTTGAGAAAGTGAAAAAGAGTTCCTCTAGTAAAAAATACTAAATGATAACTTATTCCTTTTTACAGCCGAAGATGTGCTGCAGTTCTCCGAGGCGCTTAAGAAAGCTTGCGGCGCCAAAGGTACCTAAGTCTGTTTTTAAATTTTTCATACCTGCATTTTTGTTATCATACAGTTAATTCTAGTTGAGAACCTAACATTTATCCGGGTTAAAAAGTATCCCATTTCTTAATCCGTGTAATTAACGACACATATGTCATATTTAATTCAAATCTGTATACTTAGCACGAACCATTATCGAATTAGTTTGCGAGTGCGGAATGTCAATGTCAAGTTTTGTATGAATATTTGAAAAGCAGCGCCACAACTTACGTAACGGGAACTAAAAATCAGTGAACATTTGACAACGACATTTCGGACTCGCAAACTATTCGAATTCGATAATTTTTGTGTTTTCGCGTGGTCGAGTAACATACAAAAACTTTCACACTTAAAAGTATGAATAATTTATTAAATTACTCGGATTTTAACATAACTAGTAAGTGTCGCCGCATACGGGCCACCGACCACAACCACAAAACGCCGCCACCGGCGTATTTCTTGTAGTTTTCATACATTTTATATGGACTCGCCACACACGGCACGTCAGTGGCCGCCACACGCTACAAATCGTAGTTGCTCGCTTCTTGTGGCCCGCACCGACCACTTAATGCGCCGATACAAAACGCCGCCACACGTTACTCGCGCGATACCCCACCCCTCTCTCCCTTACCTTAGTCGGCCGCTGTCGCGCGCTTCAGCTACTTTTGTAGCCGCTTCTAGCTTCTCGTGGCGGCGTTTGTGGCTGTGGCGTTTGGCCCGTGTGCGGCGACACTAATGGATTTAAGTACATATACTTACAGGGTGTTACAAAAATACAAATAAAGCTTGAAGGGCGTTGAAGTACATCATATAAGGAGTCTACTCTAATTTTCTTAAAATATTTGCATGAAGTTTTAACTTTTTATAAAAACAGTAATTTTTAATGATCCTCGAACTAGTGACGTGTCTTAAAATGATCGATATTTTTATTAATCATTAAAAATAACTGTTTTTATAAAAAAATAAAACTTCATGCAAATATTTTAAGAAAATCAGGGAAGTCTCCTTATATGATGTTCTTCAACGTTCTTCAAGCTTTATTAGAATTTTTGTAACATGCTGTAGACGGTTCCGGCGCGGGTAGAAACCGACAAGAAGTCGTCTTGTTAACAAGCGCCCTAAGTACTACTTTAAGTTATCCAGAATTTACAATGAGCCGAGTGCAACTTAGTGAAGCCCGAACTAAACAAATTATTGATCCGTTGACCGTTGAATACATTATTATATTAGAAAATAATGAAAATGTAAATGATTAACAAGATTATTCTATCCATGTCACAGAAGAAGAAGAAACAGCCGCAACACTGTTCGCTTTGACCGGCTCAAGAGGTATTTATTTATAATTATTATCATTTACTAGCTGTGTGTAAAGCGAAGTTACTGATTGAATTTAAAAAATATTAAAAAATGCGATGTACTTCATACACGTACAATTATGAAAAATAAATAATTTACATAACGTACATCCACACACATATATTTTAATACATACGCCGGGGTTTCAAGGTCCCGGTTTCGAATCCCGGTGGGGGCAGATGTTTGTGTGATGAATACGAGCATTTGTACTCCAGTCTATTAGGATGTTTAATATGTATTTCTATATAAATACACTTACATATGTATCAGTATATGTATTCTATCCGTTACCCTAGTATCCCATAACACAAGCCTACAGTGCTTACTTTGGGACTAGGCTAATTGGTGTGAGTGTTGGAAATATTTATTTATTTATTATTAATTAATACCATGACCATCAAATTACACCACCCCATCTGATCTTAAGTTTGAATGATGTCCTTTGAAGATACCGGTCGGTCAAGACTGACACGTCATCATGGCAGCATGATGTACGCACATGTATTGAGTCAATTGATGAACTAACTTTTTTATATTTAAACACATGTAGGTTTAATAACATAATTATTTATGAACATTGGCCTCCTCGCGCACTTGTACAAACACCACAGAAGAAAAATGTATTTGAATGTGTTTGAATAAAAGGTAATAAATTACGGTTTTGTTGAAAATCTTTTGTTTAAAAAGAACATTAAGTGTTCTCAATGTGCGTAGCTACTTAATAAAAAAAAATTAAACGATTTGGTACAGATAGCCATGCACGACTCCTTTTTATTAAAAAAATACTAGCTGTGCACCGCGGTGTTAACCGCGTTTTATTAGGGATATTTTCCCGCAGTAAAACGTGGCCTATGTGTTAATCCAGTGTGTCAGCTAACTCTATACCAAATTTTATTAAAATCCTTCCAGCCGTTCACACCTGAAGAAGTTACAAACACTCACACACTCACAAACTTTCGCCTTTATAATACTACTGTGATTATCTTATATATTGACGTTTATTTACTCCCCCCATTAATACAATAATATTTACTCCCCACACACACACACTCATACTCACAGGCACACCTACATACACACACACACACACTCTCTCATACACACAAACTGCCCATTATTAGTCGATGCTTACCATACAAACCCTTAGAGTATCATTGTCTAGGTGTAATGATTTCTGTAAACAATGGGAGTCTGGTGACCTGTCACGGGTCTATGAACCTACACGGACACCAGTCTCCCACGATGACGACATGATTATATAATTCGCCTAAGATTTTTGTAAACCTTTTTTGTCATTTGTGGTGAGAAATAAAGTTATTTTATTATTATTATTTCGGTCGGGCGATTTTATACTCTCCTGTATGTAAAACAAGGAATACAAAATAATATTACAAAATATATTAATTTTATATTTATTTACAGTAGCGTTTTGATGTTTTTATTGGTATTTTGCTAAGTCACTTATAACTTTAAGGGATCTATATCTTGACGTAGCAATGATCTGAAATATTTTTGGTGTCTAAATAGTGGCATATTACCAGACTGCTTTAACAAAAAGAATGTTATATTATCAGATTACTTAAGTATGTTTCGTTCCACACAAACCTGTAGGTAAATGCTTTAAGAAACAATTGCTTTTTACACCTGTCACTTTAAAAGAATGCCGTTCTTTATAGCATTTCTTGTGCATACTTTTTTGTTAGTTACCATACTCCTTCGAAACGGCTTGACCGATTTTTATGAAATTTTATATGCACATTCATTAGGTCTGAGAATCGGCTACTATCTATTTTTCATACCCCTAACTGATTAGGGTTGTCCACCCCTAACATTTTATTTTTATTTTTTGAACAAAATTTTATTTTTTCATAATGTGGCATTAAAAAATACATACAACCCAAAATTTCACCCTTCTACCACCAGCCCCTATTTTTATGGCGGTACGAAGTTCGCTGAATCAGCTAGTACTTTTATATTTTTTTTTATAAAATTTAGTCGCGTTTTATTATGAAAATAAATTTAACTTTCTTTTTCAGATGAAACCACCGCTATAGAATATATAAAGAAAGTAACTGGTATTACTTGTAAGTACCTTATATTTGTATTATTTTTGATTTTTATTGAAGACCGGACACGAGGCAAAAAGTCCGGACATGTCCGGACAAATCCGGACGGATGGTAACCCTAACTGCAGGGGCCCAGGCCTTCCTTGGAATAGGGAGACTGGGCCGTGACGCGGGACCAGTGCGGATTGGTGGGTGCTAACGACTGCAGATGCAGCCAATACTAAAGGCTTAACGTGCTCTCTGAAGCACGAAGGCGCACGAGATAATATTTTTTTGGTCACCCATCCAATGGCTGACCATTGCAAACGTTGCTACGCTTTCACGATCGCAGGCCGAATACGCTAACCACGTGCACCATCCAAGTTTATACTAAGGCTTATTTTGAACTTCCTTCCAACCGAGTGTTCCGTGACTCCTAACGTTTGCTTTTTGGGACTTTTGGACCAAAATGTCCATAGCAGCCCCATCGTTTTTTTTGTCTGGAAAATGCCTTCCGCATCCTTCAACCACTGGGGGAGTGAGAAGAAGGTATGTGGGACTCCTCCCTGTCCCCTTCAGCTAGCCCTGAGGCCAGATGAAGTGTACAGGGCCCTACCTACGCCCTGAACAGGGCCACTGCAAACCAGACAATATCCCTGCACCGTGTCACCCGACCCGCATTGCCAGGACCGTAGTCCCAGCATTGCGGGTCAGGAGTGCGGGTGGGGTTGCCTGACCATACAGTTTTCTTAAAATTATTTAATTACTTAACTATTACATAAAAACTAGCAAACCCGTGAACCAAATGTTCACCAAAAAAAAAAAAAAAAAAATTGAGAACTTCGGAGATTTTGTGTGGTCTCGTTTGAAATAGAAATCACGTGATTTCTCGAAAACCGGAAGTGCTACGTCACTCACATCCGGTTTGTAGTCTTATCAGACTATTCTTAACTTATAACTTAAACATTCTCTTTAACTATCTCTTACGGTTTGGCCGCTGAAACATACCACGGACGGACGGACGGACGGACGGACTTGTCTAATAGATAAGAGATGTTGCTGGCATATTGCAAAGCACACCAACCTCCTCCGATAGCGGGTTGGCTAGGATGCTCTGCAATATGCCAGTTTCAAACCTATTAATTTTAAGAATGGAGAATGCATGTCTCCTTTCCGCTTCATTTTTGATGCATTCCATTAAAATGTGTTGTTGCACAACCTCCACTTTCTCACATATTTCACAATGACGGGGTACAGTAAACGAAATTCTATTTAGTCCGTCAGTTAGATTATCAAAAAATAATGGACACGTATTTTTTCTTTGGGCAATCAACCAAATAATGACAAAGTTATAGCGCGTCAAAGTTTGGGAGTAGGGGCGCGTGACGTCACTTTTTAGTGAATTTTCACTTAAAGACTTTTCAAATCAATATATCTCTGCAATGTTTATATTATGTGAAAAACGAAAAAATACGTGCCCAATACTTTTTGATAATCTACCTAACCTACCTAACGAAGACAAAAAATGAGTCATCATCCCTATTAGGGGAAACAAGAATTTATTTAGTGGAATATGTCCAGAACGAAGTCGGTGCATAATCATAATATACACATATATACGACCTATGTTACGTTTGCTTTTTTTTATAAATAGTTTCTATAATATTATCTTCTTAACTTCTTCAACAGCTATCGAGTCAATTTACGAGTGTATCAATCGCATGAGCGGCAGCAGGTCATTTGAAGAAATCATCCAATTCATGGTGTTGTTCCAAGGCTCCTCAGGTGAGTAAAAACCCTTACAATGAAAGTGACTTAACTATAAAATTTCGTGGTTTCTGACTGCGCTACAAACTGGCCTTAAAAAGCTCTGCAATCCTGTGGAGAAAAGGAGAATGAAAGCACTTTTTAAGCTATTGCATAGATTTTATCGCGGGCTTTGTGCGCGGCGACCGAATCAAGAAATTCCCTAACGAAAATAACCTGACGAGAGTGCATATGAACACAATTTTCGCCTTTCCAGTATCGATCGAAACGGCGCAGTGTGTTTAAATGTTGCCACAGGACCAACGTTCGACTCATAAACGCGGTCGTGGGTTCAAAGTCCGCACTCGTATTTTTTATAATATTCTTTTTCCTTTTTTTATATATTTGTTTTAGACCCCAGCACCTGTTCTTATTTTTATTGGTCTTCCGTTTATTTAGACTTTATAATTATAATTAAATTTTTTGGACTAAAAATGGTGGAGCATGTGGAAGTTTTTTGGCGCCGGGCAATTCTGTTGTTTTCTGAGCTTGCCTAATAAAATATCATAAGGCCTGCCTCGCCATCTATTAATATCAAAGAAAAAAAATACTGCATAAATAAAATAAATAAATAATTATAATTGCATAATTTGATAAATAATGTTATGCAATAGCTTTACCGCGGCAGTCGCCGTGTGCCACACGTATTATATTTATTGTGGCTTTCTTTCTATCTCACTTTGCAATAAGTATACACAACAACCTTATTTTTTCTGTTGCAGACGCCACCAATTTCGTCGCTGTATTGAGGATGATAACCAACGAATCTGGTAAGTGTGAAAATCTTATTTGTAACGTAAAATATTTCCTTAAATATATATTTGAAACAATTAAATATTTTATTTCTCTTTTTAAAAATCACAATTTTCAGTTACAAACCAATTTATATATGAGGAAGATGATCATTTTAGATAGATATGTTGTGAGAGACTAGTGCCTGAAAGCAAAATATAGTTTATGTTCTTTCATAATACACTTCGCGATGTGAAGCGGTATTTTGTGGTAGCTACAAGGAAACAAATTGGGGTGATTATGAAGAGAATTAAACGAAATTGTGTTTAGTCCGTTAGTAAGATAATCGAAAAATATTGGGCACGTATTATTTTTTATGTCAATCAATTAAAAAATACAAAGATAAAGCACTCCAAAGTTCGGGAGTGGAGGCTCATCGTGACGTCACTTCTTAGTAAAAATTGTACCAAGACGTGACGTCAAGCGACATTTCAAATGAATATATCTATGTAATGTAAGGAAAACTACCGCCGGAACTGATGTCTTGAGAAGCACGAAGTAGCTTTAGATAACACATATTTTGGTCACCCGTCCGTTGTTTGGTCATTTGCACCAATGATCCTTCACTTCCGTAATAGGTAGACAGAATACGCATATAGGATAAGGATTACTTACGGTATCAAGGTTGTTTACGATTTTTTTTATTATTTCGCAGATTGCTTCAAGGCCTTCGATATTATCCAGATAATGACTGGACACAATGATTTCGATGGTGTCATTGAAATCTTACAAAACATCACTGGAGAAAAGGGTATGTGTAAATAAATAGGAAATATGGTATAAAAACCTTATTTTATTTTAGATTAACTTGATATTGGTGTCGATTCTGGCATGATTCTCTAAAGCTAAACTTAAATTTGACAACAGTGTATCCTTGTCATTCTCTATATAGAATAAAAAGGACAGACTGATATTAAATTTAGTTTTAAGTTTAGAGAATGCTGGCAGAATCGACACCATTGGCTACAATCCTGGTGAATATGCAATACATCGTACATATAGCAAGAGACACCTGACATTTGAAAGTTCTTTTTGACGTTTTGACACTTTTTTTTTAAATTAAATATGTTACTGACTTTTAAAATCTTTCAACCTTAACGATTGGGTATAAAGCATAAAATCTATGTCAGAAGTATGTTTTTTCTTGTAGTAATATGTATCTCCCTTAAAATATTGAATCAAAAGCAAATAATTTTATACCTTAAAAAGTTGCATCAATTGAAACATAAAATGCACTACTAGAAGTACGTAGGTAAATGCAATTAAAGTCATTTTTTTACAATTGAAAAATAAAACTTCCATTAATTCATAGTTAATAATTTAATTTCACAGATCTGAATGGTCTAGCGCACTTCTTCCGCCACATCGCCAAGACTAATGGTAAGTCATAATTTTATATTTTTTATATTTATTTTTTGTTAGAAAGTATTCTTATATAATAAAGGCAAACTAGAGAAGACCTGGAAGCTGGAATCTCAAAGCCCTATAGCTGAGTCTATGCCCCTCAGGATCGAATGGTCTAGTGGCTGTAGGACGGCGAAGGTTCCCCCCGAGAAGATGCCATCCATCTAAAATATCATTAGAAGCATTGGTCAATTCCCGGTTTGAGGTAGCCTAAGGATCTCGCCGCCCAAAGGTCGGAGGTCCTATGTGACCAAAAGTATACGCTCTTAAAATATTTCCATTACGACACATCTAAATACATACATAGCGGCTTACCTAAAATGCGAAGAGATGGCGCTGCTTTGCAGCCTAAGAAGCATGAGAAGAAATCTGATACAGTCATTATGGTCTCGGTTAGTGCATCTGACAGGGTAGCGGAAGGCGTAGTTTCGAATCCTGTTTGATGACTGAACTGGGTGGATTTTTTCTAATTGAATTTTTTTACAGTTATTAAGCAGTCAAAAGCTTACATAAATCTTGGTAATAAAGAATGTATTTAAAAATAGTTGAATATTTCTTGGGGCAGGTCTCGATGGATTACAACGTTACATCAAGAAGATCACCGGAGGAGTTGGTTCCGAAGACTTCCCCGCTGTCTACGAGGCCTTGAGCGTAGAACTTGGTGAGTAGACTTTCATAGACCGAGAGCACTATTTTCTTCAATTATTAGAAAGGACCATCTTTTCTCCATACAACTCTACCCAATTTTGTACCTCAATTGTTGTCATGCATTTATGTGTAGAAAAATACACCGAATTCATTAAAAATATAAATGGGGTTTATTATCCACTTGTACTAATTAAAAATGTCGTACAAACATTTAAACTAATGGCGACACAGAGAATATATATTATGGTAAATGGGTTACTACAAAATTAGCTACGAAAATCACGTATAACCAAACACAATCAAAGAAATGAATTTAAACCAATAGGATTAGCTGACCAATTGCGTCTAAGTAATAACGTTTCTCTATACGCAGATTCCCTATTTTAATTCAGATTGTCAGCAAATTTTATAAATATGAAAATGTTAATTCGGGGGATATTTATTATTCGAGTTGAATTGTTGTGCAGCATATCTGAAGGCTGTACACTAGCAGATTATTTATTTATTTATATTAGGAATATTTAATTAAAAACTAATACAAAATTTGCGACGAAAAAGTTTTTTTTTTTTATAATCTTGTTTATTTAGAGGCTTTTACCTTATAAAGATATGCCAGCCCCATCATATCCTAACATTATAAATTACAAAATTAATATAAAACTACGACGACTCATTGTTGCAAAATATATATATACTAGCTGACCCAGCGAACTTCGTACCGCCCTAAAAAAATAGCGGTTGTCCAGCGGACAAAATTGTGAATCTAAACCATTCTCAGATCCCCTTGAACACACACAAAAAATTTCATCAAAATCGGTCCAGTCGTTTAAGAGAAGTTCAGTGACATACACACTCACAAAAGAATTATATATATAAAGATAAGGCTTTTGAATATTTCCGACTGCGAATCTGCCAATATTGTTGCGAATATACCTACACCGAACACGTTTATATTATGTTTTTGCAATAATGACATTGTCTTATTGTTATACTTAGTACACTCTACAAGCATGTGCTGAACGTCATCGACTGTACCACAAATTTCACAATTAGGAGAGTCTAATTTTTTCATGAGGAAACCATATTTCCTGGATGGATAATGTCCAGTACGAAGTCTTAAAGCTGTTACAATGAACCTTCTTCTGCATTTCAAATTGACAAACCAAGGAATCCTCAGAGGCTGACACTGGATTGTCTGATACCAGATACCTTATTTCACGGATTGGACAATGGCTCCGCCATGTTGTTGGCCGGTTTCCCCGGAGTCGACGCGCCCGCTGCCAGTTTCTCTCGATAGTCGGCCGCCCGCTTCGCCAGGGCGTGATGGTCGGCATGGGCCAGAAGGAGTCGTACGTCAGTGACGAGGCCCAGAGCAAGAGAGGCATCCTCACGCTTAAGTACCCCATCGAGCACGGCATCGTCACCAACTTGGACGATATGGACAAGATCTGGCACCACACCTTCTACAACGAGCTGCGTGTCGCGCCCGAGGTACACCCCATCCTGCTCACAGAGGCCCCCCTCAACCCTAAGGCTAACAGAGAGAAGATGACACAGATCATGTTCAAGACCTTCAACACACCCTCCCATGTACGTGGCCATCCAGGCCGTGCTCTCGATGTACGCGTTCGGTCGTACCACCGGTATCGTGCTGGAATCCGGTGACAGCGTGTCCCACACGGTGTCCATCTACGAAGGCTACGCGCTACCGCACGCCATTCTTCGGCTGGACCTGGCCGGCCGCGACCTCACGGACTACCTCATGAAGATTCTCACCGAGCGCGGCTATTCGTTCACCACCACGGCCGAGTGTGAGATCGTGAAGGAGAAGCTCTGCTACGTCGCCCTCGTCTTTGAGCAAGATAAACCACAGATAGTGGTGTCATATTTTTATTATAAAATTTAGGGTACTTTTAGTAAGGAAACGGCCATTTTGTTACTTCCTCACAATGCGACTGTCTTCGAACATCCGCCAACTAGTTAAGTCCAACATTAAGTTACTTTTTCGAGTGAACATTGTAAAGACCAAATAAAGTGTTAAATCGTGTACTGGTGCATATTATTTTACTAGCGCGACTTCCCACAGTATACAGTGTCTTTTTGTAGAAACTAACACGTAGTGCCTCAAAGATTATATTTGTAGTACCAAGGTATAGCAATCTGTATGGTAAACAGTTGCTTCAACACCAGATTCCTAAATTAATAAATAATCTACCAGAAACAATTAAAAATAAAATTAATCAAAGTAACATTAATTCCATTTTAAAAACATATTTTCTATCCCTTTTAATAACAAAAACAAACATCGACATGATATAAAACTAAAAAAAAAATATATGAAACACGAAATCAGCCCGTGTGTTTCCACACTCTTTTGGTGTATTACTCTGCGCGGTGTTTGGCCAACAGATACCTAGCTTTTCAATAAAGGTGGTGGGGTATATGTAAAAAAAATATTAATAACATTACCTTACCGATTAATGTCTGGTGAATGAATGGTTTAACTTAAATTTGTTGATGAGTAGACGTACCTGCGGGTCTTGATAGCGAACGGCAGTGTCCGGGAAAACCAATACTGGTTTATGAGACACTGTTATACACTTATGATTATAATGTATTTCTTATAAAATAAAAAATGGGTGCGTGTACTTATGTAGGCGCGTGAGAAGTTATTCTTCTTTGGCATCATTTAAAATTAGTTTTTAATTGCATGCAAATAATTAATTACCATAAATTAATAAAAAGTCTGGAAAAGGACACAGTCAATAAAGTTCAGTTTTAATTTGAAAAAATAAATAAATAATCAAAATATTCAATTAAAATCGCTACTGAATATAATTTATTAGAACATATGTGATTTGCACTTGTATGAAACTCAAACACGTATTCCGAATATACAAACTAGAAACATGTGGATAAATATTATAAATACCTATAACTGTTACTTTATTACAAAAAATAAAGATACCACATCTTTATTTTTGGTTCTACTACACCAATGGTCAAGAGATGGCGCTGTAGTCTCCTGAATCGCGCTTTGGTTCCGTTGTTCCAGATTAATAAATACTTTTGATAGGCCTTCACAATGCAGTCGTTAGCACCCACTAAATAGAGATTCTATTTCTATTTTGTTGGTAGATTTTCTTAATGTGCGGTAAACACAAAAGTAACAGCATGAAGTTGGTGGAATTTTTTGTGTTACAGTTAGAGATGGAAAAAACGGATTATTTCTTAAAAGCGTTTAAACGTTGTACTTTTTAAAATAAGCGCGCTTGAAAAAAAGCTTTTTCGTTTAAACGCTTATTGGCTTAAACGTTCAAAAGCATGGGTAAAAAGCGCGACGTTGTGTTGTGTTTTTGTTTATATCGTTTAAAAAAGCGTGAAAAGTTTATTGTCGTTTTTAATGTGTTTAAGTGTTTTATTGCGTTTTAAATTCATATTAATGAAATTTTTATTAAAAAGTTTACAAACTTAAATATTTTATATGCACATTAAATCAATACACGAAACGCATTAACACAAGCAATCATGCAAACACACCGTACAACAAAAACGCGCGCTTACCCCGTCACAGTGAAAAGCATACTGCTTTTCGACTTCGTTTAATTAAACGCTTTTAACGAAAAATGCGTTGGTTATCCGACCAAATTTTAAAAAAGTGCATTTTTTTTACGTCGAATTATAATAATTCGCATGCTGTATTAACCGGCTCACGAAAGATGGCATGCCGACGCGGCGCTGTAGTCGCGCGTTCTATGGCTATGATGCTGTGTAATATTTAGTTCCAAGGAATTCCGCGTACCCATTTTTCGATACTGTAGTGGACTAGAAGGGTCGAAGTATGTAGTTTTCTGGCAAAGACATAGATGGCGGGATTAGCACTTTTAAGTAAAAAAATTACTTGCACTTTTTTAAGTGAAAAGCTTACTCACACTTTTTAAGTGAAAAGCTTATAACGCTTATACTTAAAAGCGTGCTTACAAGCTTAATATTTTAAGCGCGCTTAATTAAGCGCGCATCTTAAAATTTCACTTTCATCATTTTTTCATAACGCGCCTAAAGAAGTATAACTTCAATAAATAAATAATAAAAATAATAATAAAAATTTTACGTTTCCTAAATAAAATCCCGTAATAATAGTACATAATCAGTGTTGTTTTTAATATAAATAGTTTGAGGATTCTCCTTAAATTAGGGAAATTTCACATCTAAGAATGTTGATAAAATCAATATATTACCGACGAGGGTAGTCGAACGGCAAACATTAGCTCCAACATAAATTAGTTTTAAATTTATTATCTAGTATTGTTTCGGTAAAGTTTTTTAAATTACAATAAAAATCCAAGTTTTGGTCACAAAGTACTCATTAAGTTAATATTTTTTCTTATCTGCAACTTATTACCAAAAATAACTTAACAATGACCAAGTGCAGTGCCTGCGATCGTGACGTAAAACCAAAAGATGCTATCCTTAACTGCTCTAGAACGACTTGCAAACTTCAATATCATCAAGCATGTGTCGGTGTTAAAAAGGGTGACTCAACTACAAACTGGATTTGTCCGGAATGCAAGGTAAAACAAATTCGTCGCGGTGATAACACTAACACACCAGTAAAGGAAACCTTTTCAGGAAGTGACGAATTTATCAACTCTAAAAGAGGGGCACAAACATCTGCAAATAGCAACAGCAGTAGTTGTTACGATGAGGAAAAGCCAGATGATATCATTGGTATCATAAAAGCGGAAATTGAAACTGCATTTAAGCGCGAGCTGCCAAATTTTATCACAAAGCTTAAGGAATCAGTTGCAAATGCGTTGGAGATCCGGTTTTTAGAGCTTGAAAAGTCAGTTAAGACATGCAGTGATTTGTATGATTCTGTGAAAGTCAAGGTGGAGAATAACTCAGCTATCCTGAAAAAAATTCAGACTGAGAACACTAACCTTGACAATCAACTTAAAATCCTACAACGCAAAATAAATAGCATGGAGGAGGCGTCTCTCAAGCAAGAACAGTGGTCTAGGCTTCAGAACTTAGAAATAATAGGCATACCAGAAGCGGACAATGAAAACCTGCCGGATATGATGATAATCATGGCCAAACATCTGAAGGTGCCACTTGAGTTCCAGGATTTGGATTTCGTACACCGCGTACAGGCGAAGAGACCAGTGAAGGGAAAGTCACGAAATATAGTTGTTCGCTTTCAAAATCGCTGCAAAAAAGATGCCTTTTTATCCGCGGCTCGAAAAACCGGTGGTATCACTTCGGAGGATATTGGACTGGATGGTGAGCCAACAGCTGTTTATGTAAATGAACATTTGACCATAACAAACAAGCTATTATTGAATAAGTGTAAATCTAAGGCCAAAGACTGCAATTACACATATGTATGGACAAAAAACTGTCGCATTTATACGAGAAAGGCAGAAAAATCACCATACATTCAAATATCATGCGAAGCAGATTTAAAGAAAATTATTTAGTTATGTATTTTGCCTCGTTAATTAGCTTTAATAGTCAGTGCCTGTCTTTATATTTTAGTTATACATCGATTTTAGTGCATGATAACTCTTTATACTTACCACACTTACACAATACATCCACAAATTCATCTATACCATACAAATACAATAACACCTTCACTGCCAATCAATCACGATATTTATTATTTTTATTACACTATTACTGCAAATTAAAAGTTTCATTATACTTAGAATACTTGAATACTGTCATTTTCTTGCATAATTTAAACATAAAAGATGAGATAATCGGTCTGTACATGAATTTGTTTGGAACTTGAATGGGTAAATTAAATATCCTATACCAGAATGTTCGTGGTCTTCGAACAAAAACATTAGAATTCTATAATAATATACTTATCTCGAACCACGATATAATTTTAGTAACAGAAACCTGGCTAAATGACAGTATTCTAGACTCGGAATTATCTGACAGCAGATATGAAATTTTTCGACGCGACCGCGGGTCGAACGGCGGTGGTGTTATGGTAATGTGCAGTCGAAGACTGAGCGCGCGCGTACGCGTCGAGTGGCAGCGTGATCACGTGGAGTGCGTATGGGTCACAGTGGACGGGCAAACAATAGGCTTAGAGCAGGATTTGCACATAGCGTTGGTTTACATGGCGCCGGGGCCTTTACTACCTGCTCGTCTTAATAATTGTATCAATTTGATTTCTTCCATCGCAAATACTATTACTGATGATTTATTTTTGTTAGCAGGTGATTTCAATTTATTTAATATATTGTGGAATAATTCAGGGCCTACACATTTAAAAAAGGGAAGCACTGAACTTCAAAATGCAGGAGTAAACTTTGTAAACAAAATAAATTACTTTGGTCTACGCCAGAGTAATATGAACACAAATAAGGCAGGTAATACTTTAGACCTTATTTTCAGTAATTTTAATTTGGACATTTGTGCCTCGGCAGTTGCTTTGGTGAAGGAGGATCCCCATCATGTTACTCTTGACATCGATGCTAGTGACATTTTAGTAAATCGTTTACCTAAATTAACTAGAAAGAAGTTTTTGTTCCATAAAGCAGACTATGACGTCATAAATACGGAACTGCATAATGTTGACTGGGACAATGTGCTTTCAGCGGATAGTATCGAAGAGTCTGTAAGCAACTTCTATTCAATTCTGAATTGCACTATTAACAGATTAGTACCTTCCCTCGATACAAATAATTGTAATTCTTACCCGGTCTGGTATAGTCGCGCCCTAATATGTTTACTTAAAGAGAAAAATGTTGTTCACCGTCGATGGAAACGTTACAAAAACCCTCTAGATTATGATATGTTTTCTTTGTTGAGGAAAAGAATGAAAATAATGCAAGACGAATGTTATCTAAAGTACGTTTCGAGTTGCCAGGAACATATAAAACATAATCCAAAGTTGCTTTGGTCGTACATCAATTCCAAACGTAGGAATAGTACAGGATACCCCAGTACTATGACGTATATGGGCAGACAGTTGACGAATAGTAAAGCTATTTGCACCGCGTTTAGTAATCGTTTTGAAAGAATGTTTGTACATTCAACTGGAAATTATTCGGATATGGACAGTACTCTGAATACCTGTGGCAATTCTATTCACTCTTTTTCAATATCCCAAGGAGAGGTGTTTAAACTACTTTCATCATTGGATATTAGAAAGGGAGCTGGTAGTGATCGAATACCTCCATCATTCATAAGCGGATGCGCCGCAACACTTTCCTACCCTTTACATATTTTATTTAATCGGTCTGTTTCAGAGGGAGTTTTTCCAAGTGTATGGAAAGAGGCTCATATTGTCCCTCTTCACAAAAAGGATTCTAAATGCAGAGTAGAAAATTATCGCCCCATATCAATTTTGAATGTATTCGGAAAATGCTTTGAAAAAGCTGTTTATAAAGAAATATATCCTGTAATAAAACAAGGTATACCTGACGAACAACACGGTTTCGTAGAAGGACGATCTACACTTACGAACCTAGGATTATTTGTGAGTGATTTACATAAAAACATGGGCTTGCAATCTCAGGTTGACGTGATCTACACAGACATCGAAAAAGCGTTCGATCGTGTGGATCACGTCATACTTCTGCAGAAGCTCTATCAACTGGGTATACGCGGTGACCTGTTCAGATGGATAAAGTCGTATATATCGAACCGAAAGCAGGCTGTGGTAATTGGCGGTGATCGCTCTGAGTTTGTCAACATACCTTCCGGTGTACCTCAGGGTTCCTTGCTTGGTCCTTTGTTTTATTCAGCTTATCTAAATAACATAGGGTCCTGCTTTAAGCATGCTAAATTTTTGCTCTATGCTGATGACACCAAAATATATATGAAAGTCAAATCAAATGAAGATTGTCTACAACTACAAAAAGATTTGGATCGACTTTCGGAGTATTATGTTCGAAATAGAATTGCGCGTTAACGAGACAAAGTGCATACATATACAATTTACAAGACGCAAAAATGCTATCGAATACAATTTCAAATTAAATAATACTAGTTTAAGCAGGGCAACCACAGTCAAGGATTTAGGGTTATATCTGGACACAAAATTGACATTTGAAAAACATTTTGAGCACATTATAAATAAAGCTCATAAAAACTTAGGATTTATTTTCAGAGTAACAAAGGAATTTAGCGATGTAACTTGCCTTAAAATGTTATATTACGCATATGTTCGGAACATCCTTGAATATGGGTCTAGTATCTGGAATCCGCAATACACAACATACGTGCACGCTATTGAAAAATTGCAAATAAAATTCACAAAATTCCTGGGCTTTAAGCTAAACAAGGGAGTTTGTGAATACAGAGATTCATGTATTAGGTTCGATCTTATACCGCTTAGTGACAGGCGTCGCATGCGGGACACAATGGTTCTGTATGACATTTACTCAGGAAAACTGGATTGCATAGAGCTAGTTAACCGGATTATCACACTTAGTGCCCCCGTAAAAAGAACGCGACACACTCAATTGTTTCACGTGCCGCTGGTGCGAACAAATTACGAAGCTAATAACATGACCGTAAGACTGCCTAGAACATACAATAAACACTTTTCTGAAATCGACATCTTCCATTTATCCAGAAATGCGTTTAAGGTTGCTTTGTGTAGATTATTAGTAAATAATTTTAAAACCCTCCATTGAACTTATTATTAATCTGTCAACATGTCCACTATAACAATTGAATAATCAATTTCTAATCTTTTTATTTTATTTTTTTCTATTTGACTATTCAATGCAATATTTTAATGCAATAATTCTAGTGATTATTAATATAATTTTTCATTTAGTTTAGTAATTAGTACAATATTATTATTTATCAATTCAATCTATTTATTATTTTGGTGATTATAGAAATGACATTACTGTTACAGACTCATTATTTCATTGACATGTTGCATTTATTAAATCAATTATTAATTTCTGGTTTCCTAAACATACGCACTTAATATTGCCGCCATGTAAACCATGCGAAAAATGTGATAAGATACCTACCTACGCAATGTGCACAACCGACTACGCGCACTGGCTCCGGCTCATGCATTTCGCTGTTTTTGTCGGCTCGTTTCGATATGATTATTTTTTTTTTAACGGAAGGCATGCACACTCACACATACACACACACACGCTACACCAAACACTTACGTACACACTCATTTACACAAAGTTAGTTATCATGCTCCTTTTATAATTCTGATTTATATAGGTATTTATATTTATCGCAAAATTAATTTGAATCTTTGTTGGTATTTCTTTTATATTATTGTTAATTTGTAATTTCTACCCTACATTATCATTTTAATTTTTGAATTGAATACAAAGTGAGTTTCTGTAATTGGCTAAAGTACCGTTTAAAAATTTATATTAGATTATATTGTGTAAAACGCTGTTGAAACTTGTTGATGATAAATAAATAAAATAAAATAAAAATACTTATTTTAAACCTTTTTTCTTGTTTACAGATGTGAGGACAACTTTGAAAATCCTTATTAACTGCACCAGGACAAATGGTAATTATTCGCAAAAAATATTTATTTATGTATACTGTAATATATAATGACAGAAGCACATTGACGAGAAGTTAATTGCCGTAGGCATTCTCTACCAGTCAAGTCAACACACCATACGTTATTAAAATTATATATATAGACAAAAAAACAGTTTTTCCTCGTATTGTAAAATCAACCCTTAAATCAGATTACAGAACTGTAACCTTGGTGCTGAATGTCAATTACTGGATACAACTTATACGTTATCGTATTAAAAGTTATATATTTTTTTCTTTTTTTTTTTCTTAAACCATCGATTCGAAAATCGAATTGCAGCGCCAGGGAACAGACGACCACAGTAAAATAACACTATCTTTTTGGGGTGTCATGTTTCTGTTGGTGAGTTAAGTTCTAGGGCTACACGGGGTAGGGGCATGGGTCAGGGTAGACAACGGGGCGTTTTTTTTAAAGTGTTTTGTCTATTAAAGACCATGTCACCCTTATCGTTCTAACCTTCTATCGTCTTCTTAAACAGATTGATACAATAGGGGTGATGACGGGGTACAGTAAACGAAATTCTATTTAGTCCGTCAGTTAGATGATCAAAAAATAATGGACACGTATTTTTTCTTTGGGCAATCAACCAAAAAATGACAAAGTTATAAAAGCGCGTCAAAGTTTGGGAGTAGGGGCTCGTGACGTCACTTTTAAGTGAAAATAGTACCGAAACGTGACGTCATGCGACTTTTCAAATCAATATAGGTATCTCTGCAATGTTTATATTATGTGAAAAAAGATAAAATACGTGTCCAATACTTTTTGATAATCTACCTGATAAACGAAGAAAGAAAAATTAGTCATCATCCCTATTTTGTATCAAACCTTGCTTATTTTGGAAAAGGGGCTACTAGACTGTATGCTGTTATATAGATCAACATCCATTACTGTCAGCTCCGAAAGAGTGATATTTTTGGTATAGCAAGCATCTATCTATAGACTATGGAGGCCCCTTACCATAAGGCAGGCCATAACTTTGTTTTTTTATTTTTTTTATTTTCACAAAAAATACAGGTATACAAACTGAAAAGTCAGTCTCTTTACATTTTTTTTTCTTTCTATATGCATATATATATATATATATATATACATATACCCACCACCAATATACAAATACTACACAAAATTTTGTTTGACGCCCTATTAACATAAAAAAGAGTGGTCGTCTGCACTTGTCGATCTTATTGGTTTTGATGACGTCGTAAGTTTTATCCTAGAATTGAGAAAAAGGCCCCTAAATATATAATATATTTTTCTTTATCACAAACTAATATGTTTCTTTTTCCGCCCACAGATATTGGTGAAGCAATCGTAGTGTTCATTAAGATATTAAAATGCAAGAGTTTCTCTGAAAGTATCAGGATCATGAAGATAGCCACCGGGCAATCTCGTAAGCTTTTTTTTCTCAAATGTCCTCATAAAAACTTTGATTATTTAAAAAAAAAAATCTTAACGAGATCTTGGGATAGAGATATCTTAGGATATTTTTGTTAAATTTTCAGTAAATTCAAACTTACATTACTTGTCCATTTCGCAGAACTCAAATACGCTTTGGAAGAAATGACTCAAGTCACGCAGACACCAAGTAAGTTAAATATCCTTTTAAGTAATCTGTCGAGTTGTCCCTAACTCAGACGCGCAGATGAAATATTCACCTTCCCATCAATGTAGACTTAAGTTATTGCTTAAGTCTACGCAATATCTTTCGTAAAAATTATCTAACCGTCAATGAAAACCAGATGGAAGCCATTCAGTAATTTTTGAAATTCATTGCGAAAATGCCGCCCCTTTAGAATGAAAGTGACCTAAGCCTAAGAAAAATTATCGGTCTCATTTACTTCACATGGTTGTAGATTTGTCTTTAAAAGTATACTTAGTAGCCAAATCAGAAAAAAATTGTTGCCACTTTAAACTTTCCTAAGCCTTCACCCACCCATCAAATATAACCACCACGACACGGCTGCCCAAAAAAGGAGTGCGATTCTTTATTCCACCGTAACTTCTAAACGCCTGCGCCGATTTAGATGTGTGTGGTATGCAAGGGCGGATCCAGGGGGGGGGGGGTCATGGGGGTCATGACCGGGGGGTCCCTGGGCTGGGTACAGATGGACCAAACCCAGGGGGATTTTATTTAAATACTTTCAATATTTAATATACCACGACTATATGACCCCCCCCCCCCCTGGCGCCAAAGCTGGATCCGCCCTTGGTGGTATGGTTAGAATCTTTTCATCTTACTGGATGACATAGGATACTACTAAATTGTGTAAAATTGAAACAACAACAATGTTAAAATGTCAATTGCTACAGAAAATAACCCATGGTATTTTTTCATCTGCAGGTCTTATAGAGATATTGGAAAGCCTCTACCGTTTGACTGGCCGTGACTCCTTGCAGCAATGCCAGCAAGTTTTCAAGGAAGTCTTCCAGGTTGACAGTGAGTGTTATCAGAAAAAAACATATTTCTCACAAAAAATATATATAATGAACTACAATGGGGTCTAGGCTCCGAATATGATTTTGTCCCATTCGGTGTCGAGACCCTTGGTCCGTGGGGTCCTAGCGCTATAAGGCTTTTTAAAGAAATAGCGAAAAGATTAGTCGACATCACAGGAGACCGAAGAGCTGGCAGCTACCTCGGACAAAGAATAAGTCTAGCAATCCAAAGGGGGAACGCTGCCAGTATCTTCGGAACCTTGCCTAAAGGGACTCCTTTTAATAATGTATTTTAGTTATTATATATTATTTTTTAAGGTTTTTAGTTTTAGGTTCATTGTTATAGTATATTTTTTGTTTTAATTATTCTTAAATTTATTCATATTGCACCATATTTATATGTTATTATTATGTATGAACTACAATTGATATTTCTTCTGACATTGAGGTTGCCTACAATGCGAAGAGATGGCTCTCTCTTGCAGCATAAGAAATACGACAGGAAATTCGACAGCCTTTTAAGGTCTCGGTTGCAGAATCGGTTAGTCCGCCACGGATGGCTCGAATCTCGTCTGAAAACTGGACCATTAGTGATTTTTTTTCTAGTTAATTATTTTTTCAATTAGCAGGTGAATGCTTAAAATAAAAATATAATGACGACCTCAGTGGTGCGAGTGGTACGTACGCCGGTTTATGGTGACGCCTAATCCAGAAGTCAAATGGGTTCGAATCCCGTTGGGGCAAATGTTATTATGATGAATACGCAAATTGGTACCTAAGTCATAGGAAATAAATATATATATAAAAATTACTTATCTATATGTAACATCTATATGTATATATTCTATCCTGTGCCCTAGTATCCCGTAACACAAACCTTTACGTAACTTACTTTAGGGCTAGGCTAATTGGTGCGAGTGTTAGAAAATTAATATATATATATATATATATATACAGGGTGATACAAAAATACAAATAAAGCTTGAAGGGCGTCTTCTCTAATTTTCTTAAATTATTTGCATGAAGTTTTCACTTTTTATAAAAACAGTTATTTTTAATGATTAATAAAAATATCGATCATTTTAAGACACGTCACTAGTTCGAGAGTTATTAAAAATAACTGTTTTTATAAATAGTTTAAACTTCATGCAAATATTTTAAGAGAATTAGAGAAGACTCCTTATCTGATATACTTCAACGCATTTCAAGCTTTATTTCTATTTTTGTAACACCCTGTATACAAAATAAAATAAATGAAATATTTATTAATTTATTTACAATGATGCTAATTATAGTTTTATCTCCACAGCCATCGTGGAAGTCATCCATAAGATCAACAAGGTGACGAAGCGAAAGGATGCCATCACTGTTTTGAACTCGTTGCTCGAGTTAACGAAGACCACCAGGATCCAAGACGTGTACACAGTACTCAAAAAGATGGTCAGAAAGCATTCATGTGAGTATTTTACGCAGAACTAGAGCTACAAGACAGGTAGGGCATAGAGGATGTTGTATGTGTATTCTGTAGCATTTTTTTTTTCACGAGATCAGAATTCAAAATTATTAAAAACTCCGGCCCGCCCTCGCTTCGCTTCGGTGTAGAGCTGAAGTGTAGACTACAGTTTTTGTTCTCAGGCTTGCATTATACACAATGGCATTCATCTATGATTCTTCTTATACCTGCATGCAAAGTCTCAGCCCGATTAGTTTAAAATTGACAAAGTTTCATACAAACTTTCATTCCCTATTTTATCCCCTTGGGGGTAGAATTGATCAAAATCCTTTCTTAGCGGATGCCTACGTCATAACATCTACCTGCATGCCAAATTTTAGCCCGATCCGTCCAATGGTTTGGGCTGTGCGTTGATAGATCACTATGTCAGTCAGTTCACCTTTGAGTTTTATATATATAGAAGTTTCCGGTAAAGATGAAAATCGTCGAATCCCCGTTTGGTCTATGCTTATTTGAAGTATAAACGCAACAAAGAATGATAATTTTTGAAAGCAATAATTATGCCTGAAATGAAATCAGAAAATACGAATACATAACTTTTTAATACGTTTATTTTAAAAGAAATTAAAATACAAGTTCATAAAAATAAACCAAATTTAGAATAGAAAACAACAGTACTAAGTTTTTTAACATATTTTTTTCAAAATGGTGAAAGAAAGTACTTTTTATTTTATTTTACATCATTACGAAGAATAAAATATCTCTCGTTGTATCGAATACACTATCGTCTTGCACCTTTAATCGTGCAGATAAAACCGATTAGTCTCGTTTGCACCGTTAATGAGGCAATAATTAAGTTAAACGCTTCTGTTTGCAGCTCTCAGTTTTCTGGACATCTTGCAACAGATCAGGATTAAATCAGGATGTGAAGATGTCATCGAATGCTTCAGGAAACTTCTCAAATATACTGGGACCAAGAGTAAGTGGCATAGAATATATAGACTAGAACTAAATTTTTATTGTTCTCATATTCTATTTATTTTATTTATTCGGTACACATAACTTAAAAAAATGATAAAAAAATATATATAATAAAAAAAAATAAGTAAAAAAATTGTTCACTTCAAACTAAAAAAAATACCAAGACGTGACGTCATGTGGCATTTCAAATCAATATAATGGTAATCTTTCGATTGTCATATTAAAGAAGAAATACATTTTGTTAATCTACACAATGGACGAACAAAAAATGAGTTGCTATTAATGTAATCTTCTACTAAAAAAATTGTTGTCTTACTAAAGAGGTTAGAAAGGTGATCCGAGACCTTTTGTACGGGAACCGATGTCGCCACCACGAAACTTCCATCTAATAGTATAATAGCCAATCAAACGACGCGACATCAAACAATCGAACCAATCTGCGATCTCACACCCGGGAGCAACAACGCCATCAAAACTATTGGTCATGCGTTTTGAACATTTACTATTAAAACAAAAAGGGTAGATACGGTACGCTCATACTTGCATCAAACAAAATCTGATCCCACGGCAGCGCGAACGGGACGGCGAGATCCGCGTTACTGCATTACCGACTCGAACGAAACAGCACGTTAAGTTTCAACGGCAGCCCGAACGAGACGGCGAGATCCGCGTCACTGCAGTACCGACCAATCACGCGACCAGTACTCAACGTCACTACCGAATAAGATTCAAAACAAACAGCATTTTTTAACATTTTCTAACCCCTTCCTGTGTTCTGTGCACTTAAGTTTATATTTCAATAAAATTACCACTTCATTTGTTTTCAGCAATGCAACAAGGTTGGGAAATCCTATCGCGAGTGCTTGAAACCGACGGTGAGTTTTTATTAAATAAATCTTTTAAGTATTAAGTTACAAGTATCATAAGAGGATTATCATTTATGAACAAGAAATGTAACTTGTTGAAGTATGGTACAGACAGACGTCTTTAGAACATTTTTTAACATATATGTAGCAGTAAACTGCTCGAGCAAAATCACACGCAGATAAACTTGTGCAGTAGTCGTTTTTGTACGTAAAATTGCTACTGCGCAAGGTATCGTGTTTACGGTATTTACACAAAAAGTTTGCAGTGGTATAAACCTACCTACATAATGTGTTTCACATCACCATAGACCAGTGCTTCATAACCGGTGGTCCCTGGCAGTGGCGGCGCTAGACCACATGTGGACGTCGGCGACATCAAGTTCGCGAGGCCTATTTTAATTCGCAGTAAAAAACCGTTAAATATAGTGAGCCAAATTATAAAATAACGTATGAGTAAACGAGTTTTATTGTTGATAATCAAATGATGACAAAAATAATTACAAACATAGAAAATTAATTACATAAATAGCAGAAATACCAGGCAGACGATTCTGAATACCCGTAAAGTACTACTCGCTTCCATCACGCACGTGTTCGAAAATAATAAAAGTCAATATCATCTGCTTAGCTTTTTCCCCGAATTGTTCGGGGTCGGCTACCTAAGCTAGGCCAGGAGAAACGAAAATAAATAGGTAACTTGTAAAAAAATTTTGCGAGGCCCCTCAGGCGCGAGGCCCTCGGCGGTGGCCGACATCGCCGACGCCTAGCGCCGCCACTGGTCCCTGGAAGCACCCGAAGTAGTCCGCGTAGCCGTTCGTAAAAGTGTAACTTAAGGAAGAATGCCGATTTATTTACAAATCCTAACGAATTGGTCCCTGTTCACTCAAAGAACAAAACCATTGCCATAGACAAAACCCCCATGTATTTTAAACCAATTTGGAAAAAAAAACAAAAGTTTTCACCGCTTTTTAAAATCCATAGTACAGGCAAGCTCTGATGGGAGTACTCTAACAAGCATTTGATAAATTTCTCGAAAATAATTTGACAAATCGATATTGTGAAAACAACCAAAGTAATATCGTTGTGTAAAAACGCGGATAAGTAGACCATGGCGATGACATTACTCAATCTGATGATTTAATTCTAATCCTAGAACGCGATATTGACAAGAAAAACGTTTCCGCGGTCTATTGTTCAGAATTAATTTACTTTAATCAATTTCATTAATCGTTAATTTTGTTTCTGCCCAGATGTTCTCGACCTGATCGCTCTCGTGAAGAAGTTCACCAAAGTGGATGTGTGCACGTTCATAGAGGTTATAATCAAAATCACGAACACAACGACCATCGAAGAGGCCGTGTATAAACTTGTTAAAATTACTAAGACAAAACGTAAGTATCCTAATTGAACTTGAAAATTAGTTTTTTATCCAATAGGAACTTCTCTTTTTTCACCCCCTTAAATGTTGATTTCTGGGATAAAACCATTTCTATACCAAATTTCATTGAACTCGGTTCATAGGTTTAAGCGTGAAGAGGTTACATACAGACACACTATGGCACTTATAATATTGGTTGTTGAGAATCCTTCATGAACCTAACCTTTTTTCGGGATAAAATATCCTTTGTCTCAATCCAGGTAATAAACTCTATGCGTACCAAATTTCATTGGAATCCTTCCAGTAGTAGTAGTTATTATTAGTACGCAAAAACTATACGACGGATTTGGATGAAATTTGGTAATCATAGCTTATGACCTGGATTGACACGTAGGGTACTTTTTACCCTGGATTTTTTTTAAAGTGGGAGTCTCAAAAAACGAACGAACGAAGTCGCGGGCGGCTGATAGTAGGATATAAGTGACATCGTTTTGGAAACTTTATCACACAGTGGTGACAATTCCGGCATGATTTTCTAAAGCTAAACTTAAATTTGACAACAGTGTATCCTTGTCATTCTCTATACAGAATGTAAAGGACAGACTGATGTTAAATTTAGTTTTAAATTTAGAGAATCCTGCCAGAATCGACACCAGTATCAATATACATATTGGTCCTATGAGTATAAATAGTTAAACACTTAATTTACAAGCGTATTAGCATATTTTTTAATTTGTGCCTCCGTGATTTTTATATTATGTTTCTTTCCGCAGATATCATCCACTGCATGGAGACGATCCACGAAGTCCTGCGAATTGGTGAGAATAAAATTTTTTCTTCATACATAAAACGCAATCATTTTTGCAACAACTTCTTGAGCCATAACTTTTGCCATGAAATCAGGATCTAAAGAGAAAACAAAGTCTCACTAGATCCATCATGGATCTAGCCAATGGATCTACCGATATTTATATCATGGTATTTATTAATAGTGTACATTATAATCAATGTACATTGTTTAAATATTGTTTATTGGTTTACAGATGTCGTCTCGTTCTTCAGGCAACTCATGCTTATCAAGAAGACGATAAGTAAGTAACGAATTCAACTTCATATTTTCAAGTAAATAAGGACTGGATGAATGAACGAAAGAACAAAATGAATGAATTAGTGAATGAATGAAAATAAACTTTTATTCCTATTGACTTTATAAAAAGCTCTTTGAATCGCCACCTTTTAAAAAAGTTCAACGACGTTATTAATCTACTTTGTTTTCCTTGCAGCAATCGAAGAAATCGTCACCATGATGGAGGAGTTCACAGAAACTACAAGTAAGTCGTTCAGGGGGTATATGCTTTTGTGAAGAACTTTAAAATTCCCACATTCGAGATTATTAATCCTGATTGCTATGTTCAGGGTCGAATTTAGGGGTGTGGAGGCGCTACAGAGGCATATTTTATTTAAAATCTGGCATCCCCAGCCACTCGCTATTTGCACCCCCCTCTAGTTGGTGAAAAATCCAATTGCACTGCTCACATCAAATGAAACTTATAACTTGAATACTCGCGTTACTTATGAAAATGAAATGAAATGAAAAATTATTTATTGGCCATCATAAACATAGTAAATGACAAAAATATAACTTAATCTATAGACGGCCAACCAGGACCCTGCCTCAGCATAAGCTTACATAGTGAGAAAATAAAAAAATCTTCTCTCACCATGTCGGCGCTGTTATTCTGGCAGGACCTGTGCAAGGTGGCTTTAATGGATTTTAAAACATTCAAAAACGTAAACACTAAAAACAGAACAATAAGAAAAAAACCCACATCAAACATCTTATTGGTCCCGGCTGCATCTGCAGTCGTAAGCACCCACCAATCCGCACTGTCTCCCTATTCCATCCATAGGAAAGGCCTGTGCCCCAGCAGTGGGCATTTTAATAGGCTGATGATGATATATTTTAGGTATAATTATAACAAATTTGTTCTGTTCACAGCTTTCACCGAGGCTGTTAGAGTACTTAAGATTCGTAAAGTTGGTGAGTATGGCTCTCATATTACTTAAAGATTTTCATAACAGTATCCTTAGTACGAGTTTGAGCTCACGAAAACAATTATAGTTTTGGTAATTGTAAAACTCGTACTAAGGGTACTGACTACTTACCAGCAGGTAGGAGTGGATTGTACATCGGTTTTCAAGGTGCAATCAACTCTCAGATCCTGGGTTCAACTCCCAGTGGATCAAACGTTTGTGTGATGTAAACTCGCATTTGTATACACCCTGACAAACTTCTGAAGCAACAACCTCTATGGTCTGTAGCATATTTTTACATACAAAATCGTCTACTGCGCATGTTTATTTATCTGTGAAGATTCTTTGCTCAAGAAATTTGTCACGACCGCCATTTTGTTTTGATATGCGATTCGAATACCCGATTCGAATTGTTATTTAAAATATTGATTATTTTTTAATTGGTGACTCAACAGACTAATAATATTTTTTTTAATAATGATATCCGTCTTAAATAAACATTAACCCACAGTAGATTTACGCTGATAGATCATATACTCTCAAGCAGCAAACGGCCGACCGTCAGCAATTTTTAATATTAAATCAATAAGCTCCTAGAACAACAAAGGTTTTCTGGAATGACGGGCACCAGGTGGCAGCACTGAGACGAAAGGTCTACTCTCAAATCACGTATATCGTCGTCGTCATCAAAGTCTACGGATCAATTTTGATTCGCGCCAAAAACTTCATACTAAGGACCTCTTATCACAGTGACGCCAAACTGGTGACGTAAATTTTCCTTAACATCCCCATTAAATTACTTTTATTATTGTTTCTTTAACAGACATCGTGAAGACTATTACACGACTCATAAAAGAAAGGGAAGAGATTGAATATGAAGAGTATTATGACGATGAGGACGATGGCAAAAAGCCTCATCATCCTCATAAACCACATAAGCCGCATGGACCACATAAGCCGCATGGACCCCATAAGCCCCACAAACCACATAAGCCACATGGACCTCATAAGCCCCACACACCACATAAGCCTCACAAACCGAGTGAACCAAATAAGCCAGGAAAGCCGACTAAACCAGGAAAGCCAGGGAAGCCAGTGAAACCAGGCAAGCCAGGTCAACCAGGAGAGCCAGTGCATCCAGGAAAGCCTGAGAAACCGCATAAACCTTGTGGCACACACAAACCACATCGGCCTGGCCAACCAGGTAAACCTGGTAAACCAGGAAAGCCAGGTCAACCAGGGGAACCAGGAAAGCCAGGCAAACCTGGAAAGCCAGGGAAACCAGGAAAGCCAGGCAAGCCAGGAAAGCCAGGACAGCCAGGCGAGCCAGGGCAGCCAGGGAAACCAGGAAAGCCAGGGCATCCAGGAAAGCCTGACAAACCGCATAAGCCTCATAAACCAGGAACACCAGGCGAACCAGGAAAGCCAGGCAAACCAGGACAGCCAGGGAAACCAGGAAAGCCTGGGAAACCAGGAAAGCCAGGACAACCAGGTGAGCCAGGACGGCCCGGGGAACCGGGAAAGCCAGGTAAACCAGGAAAGCCATGCCACCCAGGAAAGCCAGAGAAACCGCATAAGCCACATAAGCCTCATAAACCAGGAGGCCCAGGAGAACCAGGAAAGCCAGGCAAACCAGGAAAGCCAGGAAAGCCAGGGAAGCCAGGAAAGCCAGGTGAGCCAGGACAGCCCGGGGAACCAGGAAAGCCAGGTAAACCAGGAAAACCAGGAAAGCCGGGCCATCCAGGCAAGCCAGAGAAACCACATAAGCCACATAAGCCTCATCAACCAGGAGAACCAGGGAAACCAGGAGAGCCAGGCCAACCAGGAAAGCCAGGCAAACCCGGAAAGCCAGGGAAACCAGGAAAGCCAGGTCAACCAGGAAAGCCAGGACAGCCAGGCGAGCCAGGACAGCCGGGGAAACCAGGAAAGCCAGGACATCCAGGAAAGCCTGACAAACCGCATAAGCCACATCAGCCTCATAAACCAGGCGGACCAGGGGCACCAGGAGAACCAGGAAAGCCAGGTAAACCAGGGAAACCAGGAAAGCCAGGTCAACCAGGGGAACCAGGAAAGCCCGGGGAACCAGGAAAGCCAGGGAAACCAGGAAAGCCGAGCCATCCAGGAAAGCCATGCCATCCAGGAAAGCCAGAGAAACCGCATAAACCACATAAGCCCCATAAACCAGGAGAACCAGGAGAACCAGGCAAACCAGGAAAGCCAGGCAAACCCGGAAAGCCAGGACAACCAGGAAAGCCTGGGAAACCAGGAAAGCCAGGTCAACCAGGTGAGCCAGGACGGCCCGGGGAACCAGGAAAGCCAGGTAAACCAGGAAAGCCATGCCACCCAGGAAAGCCTGAGATACCGCATAAGCCACATAAGCCTCATAAACCAGGAGGACCAGGAGAACCAGGAAAGCCAGGCAAACCAGGAAAGCCAGGGAAGCCAGGAAAGCCAGGTGAGCCAGGACAGCCCGGGGAACCAGGAAAGCCAGGTAAACCAGGAAAACCAGGAAAGCCGGGCCATCCAGGCAAGCCAGAGAAACCACATAAGCCACATAAGCCTCATCAACCAGGAGAACCAGGGAAACCAGGAGAGCCAGGCCAACCAGGAAAGCCAGGCAAACCCGGAAAGCCAGGGAAACCAGGAAAGCCAGGTCAACCAGGAAAGCCAGGACAGCCAGGCGAGCCAGGACAGCCGGGGAAACCAGGAAAGCCAGGACATCCAGGAAAGCCTGACAAACCGCATAAGCCTCATAAACCAGGAACACCAGGCGAACCAGGAAAGCCAGGCAAACCAGGACAGCCAGGGAAACCAGGAAAGCCAGGTCAACCAGGTGAGCCAGGACGGCCCGGGGAACCAGGAAAGCCAGGTAAACCAGGAAAGCCATGCCACCCAGGAAAGCCTGAGATACCGCATAAGCCACATAAGCCTCATAAACCAGGAGGACCAGGAGAACCAGGAAAGCCAGGCAAACCAGGAAAGCCAGGGAAGCCAGGAAAGCCAGGTGAGCCAGGACAGCCCGGGGAACCAGGAAAGCCAGGTAAACCAGGAAAACCAGGAAAGCCGGGCCATCCAGGCAAGCCAGAGAAACCACATAAGCCACATAAGCCTCATCAACCAGGAGAACCAGGGAAACCAGGAGAGCCAGGCCAACCAGGAAAGCCAGGCAAACCCGGAAAGCCAGGGAAACCAGGAAAGCCAGGTCAACCAGGAAAGCCAGGACAGCCAGGCGAGCCAGGACAGCCGGGGAAACCAGGAAAGCCAGGGCATCCAGGAAAGCCTGACAAACCGCATAAGCCACATAAGCCTCATAAACCAGGAGGACCAGGGGAACCAGGAGAACCAGGAAAGCCAGGCGAACCAGGAAAGCCAGGCAAACCCGGAAAGCCTGGGAAACCAGGAAAGCCAGGCAAGCCAGGCAAGCCAGGCAAGCCAGGCAAGCCAGGAAAGCCAGGTCAGCCAGGAGAGCCAGGACAGCCAGAGAAACCGCATAAGCCACATAAGCCTCATAAACCAATAGGACCAGGAGAACCCGGGGAACCAGGAAAGCCAGGCGAACCAGGAAAGCCAGGCAAACCCGGAAAGCCTGGGAAACCAGGAAAGCCAGGCAAGCCAGGAAAGCCAGGTCAGCCAGGAGAGCCAGGACAGCCCGGGGAACCAGGGAAGCCAGGTAAACCAGGAAAGCCAGGAAAGCCGGGCCATCCAGGAAAGCCAGAGAAACCACATAAGCCACATAAGCCTCATCATCCAGGAGGACCAGGCGAACCAGGGGAACCAGGAGAGCCAGGCAAACCAGGAAAGCCAGGCAAACCCGGAAAGCCTGGGAAACCAGGAAAGCCAGGCAAGCCAGGAAAGCCAGGTCAGCCAGGAGAGCCAGGACAGCCCGGGGAACCAGGGAAGCCAGGTAAACCAGGAAAGCCATGCCATCCAGGAAAGCCAGAGAAACCACATAAGCCACATAAGCCTCATAAACCAGGACGACCAGGAGAACCAGGGGAACCAGGAGAGCCAGGCGAACCAGGAAAGCCAGTCAAACCCGGAAAGCCTGGGAAACCAGGAAAGCCAGGCAAGCCAGGAAAGCCAGGTCAGCCAGGAGAGCCAGGACAGCCCGGGGAACCAGGGAAGCCAGGAAAACCAGGAAAACCAGGAAAGCCAGAGAAACCGCATAAGCCACATAAGCCTCATCATCCAGGAGGACCAGGAGAACCAGGGGAACCAGGAGAGCCAGGCGAACCAGGAAAGCCAGGCAAACCTGGAAAGCCTGGGAAACCAGGAAAGCCAGGCAAGCCAGGAAAGCCAGGTCAGCCAGGAGAGCCAGGACAGCCTGGGGAACCAGGGCAGCCAGGTAAACCGGGAAAACCAGGAAAGCCGGGCCATCCAGGAAAGCCAGACAAACCGCATAAGCCACATAAGCCTCATCATCCAGGAGGACCAGGAGAACCAGGGGAACCAGGAGAGCCAGGCGAACCAGGAAAGCCAGGCAAACCCGGAAAGCCTGGGAAACCAGGAAAGCCAGGCAAGCCAGGTCAGCCAGGAGAGCCAGGACAGCCCGGGGAACCAGGGAAGCCAGGTAAACCAGGAAAGCCATGCCATCCTGGAAAGCCAGAGAAACCACATAAGCCACATAAGCCTCATAAACCAGGGCGACCAGGAGAACCAGGGGAACCAGGAGAGCCAGGCGAACCAGGAAAGCCAGGCAAACCCGGAAAGCCTGGGAAACCAGGAAAGCCAGGCAAGCCAGGAAAGCCAGGTCAGCCAGGAGAGCCAGGACAGCCCGGGGAACCAGGGAAGCCAGGTAAACCAGGAAAACCAGGAAAGCCTAGCCATCCAGGAAAGCCAGAGAAACCACATGAGCCACATAAGCCTCATCATCCAGGAGGACCAGGAGAACCAGGGGAACCAGGAGAGCCAGGCGAACCAGGAAAGCCAGGCCAACCCGGAAAGCCTGGGAAACCAGGAAAGCCAGGCAAGCCAGGTCAGCCAGGAGAGCCAGGACAGCCCGGGGAACCAGGGAAGCCAGGTAAACCAGGAAAACCAGGAAAGCCAGAGAAACCGCATAAGCCACATAAGCCTCATCATCCAGGAGGACCAGGAGAACCAGGGGAACCAGGAGAGCCAGGCGAACCAGGAAAGCCAGGCAAACCCGGAAAGCCTGGAAAACCAGGAAAGCCAGGCAAGCCAGGAAAGCCAGGTCAGCCAGGAGAGCCAGGACAGCCTGGGGAACCAGGGCAGCCAGGTAAACCGGGAAAACCAGGAAAGCCGGGCCATCCAGGAAAGCCAGAGAAACCGCATAAGCCACATAAGCCTCATCATCCAGGAGGACCAGGAGAACCAGGGGAACCAGGAGAGCCAGGCGAACCAGGAAAGCCAGGCAAACCCGGAAAGCCTGGGAAACCAGGAAAGCCAGGCAAGCCAGGAAAGCCAGGTCAGCCAGGAGAGCCAGGACAGCCCGGGGAACCAGGGAAGCCAGGTAAACCAGGAAAACCAGGAAAGCCAGAGAAACCGCATAAGCCACATAAGCCTCATCATCCAGGAGGACCAGGAGAACCAGGGGAACCAGGAGAGCCAGGCGAACCAGGAAAGCCAGGCAAACCCGGAAAGCCTGGGAAACCAGGAAAGCCAGGCAAGCCAGGAAAGCCAGGTCAGCCAGGAGAGCCAGGACAACCTGGGGAACCAGGGCAGCCAGGTAAACCGGGAAAACCAGGAAAGCCGGGCCATCCAGGAAAGCCAGAGAAACCGCATAAGCCACATAAGCCTCATCATCCAGGAGGACCAGGAGAACCAGGGGAACCAGGAGAGCCAGGCGAACCAGGAAAGCCAGGCAAACCCGGAAAGCCTGGGAAACCAGGAAAGCCAGGCAAGCCAGGAAAGCCAGGTCAGCCAGGAGAGCCAGGACAGCCCGGGGAACCAGGGAAGCCAGGTAAACCAGGAAAACCAGGAAAGCCAGAGAAACCGCATAAGCCACATAAGCCTCATCATCCAGGAGGACCAGGAGAACCAGGGGAACCAGGAGAGCCAGGCGAACCAGGAAAGCCAGGCAAACCCGGAAAGCCTGGAAAACCAGGAAAGCCAGGCAAGCCAGGAAAGCCAGGTCAGCCAGGAGAGCCAGGACAGCCTGGGGAACCAGGGCAGCCAGGTAAACCGGGAAAACCAGGAAAGCCGGGCCATCCAGGAAAGCCAGAGAAACCGCATAAGCCACATAAGCCTCATCATCCAGGAGGACCAGGAGAACCAGGGGAACCAGGAGAGCCAGGCGAACCAGGAAAGCCAGGCAAACCCGGAAAGCCTGGGAAACCAGGAAAGCCAGGCAAGCCAGGAAAGCCAGGTCAGCCAGGAGAGCCAGGACAGCCCGGGGAACCAGGGAAGCCAGGTAAACCAGGAAAACCAGGAAAGCCAGAGAAACCGCATAAGCCACATAAGCCTCATCATCCAGGAGGACCAGGAGAACCAGGGGAACCAGGAGAGCCAGGCGAACCAGGAGAGCCAGGCGAACCAGGAAAGCCAGGCAAACCCGGAAAGCCTGGGAAACCAGGAAAGCCAGGCAAGCCAGGAAAGCCAGGTCAGCCAGGAGAGCCAGGACAGCCCGGGGAACCAGGGAAGCCAGGTAAACCAGGAAAACCAGGAAAGCCAGAGAAACCGCATAAGCCACATAAGCCTCATCATCCAGGAGGACCAGGAGAACCAGGGGAACCAGGAGAGCCAGGCGAACCAGGAAAGCCAGGCAAACCCGGAAAGCCTGGGAAACCAGGAAAGCCAGGCAAGCCAGGAAAGCCAGGTCAACCAGGAGAGCCAGGACAGCCCGGGGAACCAGGGAAGCCAGGTAAACCAGGAAAGCCATGCCATCCAGGAAAGCCAGAGAAACCGCATAAGCCACATAAGCCTCATAAACCAGGACAACCAGGTGAACCAGGCGAACCAGGAGAGCCAGGTGAACCAGGAGAGCCAGGTCAACCAGGAGAGCCAGGGCAACCAGGAGAGCCAGGGAAACCAGGAAAGCCAGGACATCCAGGAAAGCCTGTGAAACCTCATAAGCCACATAAGCCACATAAGCCTCATAAGCCACATAAGCCTCATAAACCAGGACAACCTGGTGAACCAGGAGAACCAGGAGAGCCAGGCGAACCAGGAGAGCCAGGCGAACCAGGAAAGCCAGGACATCCAGGAAAGCCTGTGAAACCTCATAAGCCACATAAGCCACATAAGCCTCATAAGCCACATAAGCCTCATAAACCAGGAGGACCAGGTGAACCAGGGGAACCAGGAGAACCAGGCGAACCAGGAGAGCCAGGTGAACCAGGAGAGCCAGGGAAACCAGGAAAGCCAGGGAAACCAGGAAAGCCTGGGAAACCAGGAAAGCCAGGAAAGCCAGGTCAACCAGGAGAGCCAGGACAGCCCGGGGAACCAGGGAAGCCAGGTAAACCAGGAAAGCCATGCCATCCAGGAAAGCCAGAGAAACCGCACAAGCCACATAAGCCTCATAAGCCTCATAAACCAGGACAACCAGGTGAACCTGGGGAACCAGGAGAGCCAGGCGAACCAGGAGAGCCAGGTGAACCAGGAGAGCCAGGTCAACCCGGAGAGCCAGGGAAACCAGGAAAGCCAGGACATCCAGGAAAGCCTGTGAAACCTCATAAGCCACATAAGCCACATAAGCCTCATAAGCCACATAAGCCTCATAAACCAGGACAACCAGGTGAACCAGGAGAACCAGGAGAGCCAGGCGAACCAGGAGAGCCAGGTGAACCAGGAGAGCCAGGGGAACCAGGAAAGCCAGGACATCCAGGAAAGCCTGTGAAACCTCATAAGCCACATAAGCCTCATAAGCCACATAAGCCTCATAAACCAGGACGACCAGGAGAACCAGGGGAACCAGGAGAACCAGGCGAACCAGGAGAGCCCGGTGAACCAGGAGAGCCAGGTCAACCAGGAGAGCCAGGGAAACCAGGAAAGCCAGGACATCCAGGAAAGCCTGTGAAACCTCATAAGCCACATAAGCCTCATAAGCCACATAAGCCTCATAAACCAGGACGACCAGGTGAACCAGGGGAACCAGGAGAACCAGGCGAACCAGGAGAGCCAGGTGAACCAGGAGAGCCAGGTGAACCAGGAGAGCCAGGTCAACCAGGAGAGCCAGGGAAACCAGGAAAGCCAGGACATCCAGGAAAGCCTGTGAAACCTCATAAGCCACATAAGCCTCATAAGCCACATAAGCCTCATAAACCAGGACGACCAGGTGAACCAGGGGAACCAGGAGAACCAGGCGAACCAGGAGAGCCAGGTGAACCAGGAGAGCCAGGTCAACCAGGAGAGCCAGGGAAACCAGGAAAACCAGGACATCCAGGAAAGCCTGTGAAACCTCATAAGCCACATAAGCCACATAAGCCTCATAAGCCACATAAGCCTCATAAACCAGGAGGACCAGGCGAACCAGGGGAACCAGGAGAACCAGGCGAACCAGGAGAGCCAGGTGAACCAGGCGAACCAGGAGAGCCAGGTGAACCAGGAGAGCCAGGTCAACCAGGAGAGCCAGGGAAACCAGGAGAGCCAGGGAAACCAGGAAAGCCAGGACATCCAGGAAAGCCTGTGAAACCTCATAAGCCACATAAGCCTCATAAGCCACATAAGCCTCATAAACCAGGACGACCAGGTGAACCAGGAGAACCAGGCGAACCAGGAGAGCCAGGTGAACCAGGAGAGCCAGGTGAACCAGGAGAGCCAGGTCAACCAGGAGAGCCAGGGAAACCAGGAAAGCCAGGACATCCAGGAAAGCCTGTGAAACCTCATAAGCCACATAAGCCTCATAAGCCACATAAGCCTCATAAACCAGGACGACCAGGTGAACCAGGGGAACCAGGAGAACCAGGCGAACCAGGAGAGCCAGGTGAACCAGGAGAGCCAGGTCAACCAGGAGAGCCAGGGAAGCCAGGAAAGCCAGGACATCCAGGAAAGCCTGTGAAACCTCATAAGCCACATAGGCCACATAAGCCTCATAAGCCACATAAGCCTCATAAACCAGGACGACCAGGTGAACCAGGGGAACCAGGAGAACCAGGCGAACCAGGAGAGCCAGGTGAACCAGGAGAGCCAGGTCAACCAGGAGAGCCAGGGAAACCAGGAAAGCCAGGACATCCAGGAAAGCCTGTGAAACCTCATAAGCCACATAAGCCTCATAAGCCACATAAGCCTCATAAGCCTCATAAACCAGGAGGACCAGGTGAACCAGGGGAACCAGGAGAACCAGGGGAACCAGGAGAGCCAGGTGAACCAGGAAAACCCGGAAAGCCTGGGAAACCAGGAAAGCCAGGTCAGCCAGGTCAACCAGGAGAGCCAGGAGAGCCAGGGGAGCCAGGACAGCCAGGACAGCCAGGGAAACCAGGAAAGCCAGGACATCCAGGAAAGCCAGATAAACCACATAAGCCACATAAGCCTCATAAGCCACATAAGCCTCAAAAACCAGGAGAACCAGGAGAACCAGGGGAACCAGGAGAGCCAGGTGAACCAGGCGAGCCAGGCAAACCAGGAAAGCCAGGGAAACCAGGGAAACCAGGGAAACCAGGAAAGCCAGGTCAACCAGGTGAGCCAGGACAGCCCGGGGAACCAGGAAAGCCAGGTAAACCAGGAAAGCCATGCCATCCAGGAAAACCAGGGAAACCGCATAAGCCACATAAGCCTCATAAACCAGGAGGACCTGGAGCACCAGGGGAACCAGGAGAGCCAGGCGAACCAGGAGAGCCAGGTGAACCAGGGGAGCCAGGCGAACCAGGAAAGCCAGGCAAACCCGGAAAGCCTGGGAAACCAGGAAAGCCAGGTCAACCAGGAGAGCCAGGACAGCCAGGACAGCCAGGAAAACCAGGAAAGCCATGTCATCCAGGAAAGCCAGTGAAACCGCATAAGCCACATAAGCCCCATAAACCAGGACGACCAGGAGAACCAGGGGAACCAGGAGAGCCAGGCGAACCAGGAGAGCCAGGCGAACCAGGAGAGCCAGGCAAACCCGGAAAGCCTGGGAAACCAGGAAAGCCAGGCAAGCCAGGAAAGCCCGGTCAACCAGGTGAGCCAGGACAACCCGGGGAACCAGGAAAGCCAGGTAAACCAGGAAAACCAGGAAAATGGGGAAAGCCATGGCCTGTAAAGAAACCGCATAAGCCACATAAACCAGCAGGACCAGGGGAACCAGGAGAGCCTGGCGAACCAGGAAAGCCAGGCAAACCAGGAAAGCCAGGGAAACCAGGAAAGCCAGGTCAACCAGGAGAGCCAGGACAGCCCGGGGAACCAGGAAAGCCACAGCAACCAGAAAAGCCTCAACATCCGACGCAACCACAACCACCGAGCTATAAGCCAGGAGGAACACATGGTAAGTTTTATAAATTATGCGATAGACATGAAAATACCGACCAATTGCGAGACGGACTCGCGCGCGGGTACCGTGCCATCATTTATATATACAACATAAGAAAGAAAATATTTTTACGAACCCCATTACTTAAACACAATAAATCGTTAAAAAGAAGGAATATAAAATAGCACTGATATTTAATTTTGTTTCTTTTTCGGGTATCAAAACAATATTGTGCATTCGTTTTCTACATACTCGAAAAATGTTTTGAAGTGAAATCTTTTCGGACGGGGTATAAATAAAAAAATTCTTTGGAAAAGTTGAAATGGAAATTCGTCGCGAGCGTCACACACGTTTGCGTGTGTAGGATGCATGCGCAGCTCTTCCCGAGAAGATTTATATATATATATGTATATAATCTACATATATATGTATATATATACATATACATATATGAGTGATACGTGCACTGCTCCATTCCAATATGCTTTATAAACCGCCTTATGCGAAGTAATTTAGGAGAAGACGTTTCATCTCAGATGTGTCTCCGTGCACATAATTTTAGTTATTAAAAATAATGAATGTTTTATTTATGCAAAAGGACTAGGTGCCTAGCTTAGTATACGAAATTACGAGTCTATAATGCGATTCAACTAAGAATAGGACCGACTGGACGCCATATTGTGATGTCATAGCTGTCAATTCAAACCAAATAGGTAGAGTGAGCAAAAAAAGATATTATATAATAAAACTTATTTACTAAGATTAAGCGAGAAAAAGCATCATATTTTTTTAATAACATTTTTTATATGTAAACGAAAGTTTTAAATCGAGTTTCTGAACGCAACTTAAAGTGACATTTGTTTGACGATTTAAGTCATTAACCATTCATGGCTAAAGCTCAATAAGTGAAAAAAAATATATCAACCGATATTAACTATCAATATTTGTTATTGTTTGTTTTGTTGTTATTCTTGAATTAGCGGAGTGCTAAAAAATGGGTTCCAAGTTTGTTTTTGCAAACCGTACTTTTCAAGCGACATTTGACAGATAGAGGTCATTCTGGCTTGCTATTCTTATTTGAATCGCATTATGGTACTGAATATTCTAACTAAAAACTAAATATTCGATTCTGTAACTCATTCCGTTTACGATCTAAAGACCCGTGCGTAACATACGGACAACAGAGAGACAGAGTGACAGCAATAGGGTTCCGTACCTAGATTCGTCCCTTATAGATTCGTCATATCCATCCTATTCTTATTTGATTGGCTTTCCTATTCTTATTTGAATCGCAATATATTAATTTTCAGCTCACTACATGTCTCTTGATATTCAAATTCCAACAAATACCAGATTATCAGTAGTCCAGTACAATTAAATAAAAGGGTGGACAGGTTTCACGCGCGAGTTCATACTCTAGATGGCGCTAACTTGTACAGAAAAATAAAATTTCATTTTAGTAGCAAACGATTTTAAAGAACAACTGATACTGTTATACCATCAAGCGCAACTTATATTGTATTGGTTAATAAAATAAACATCAGATTTTTATTGAGAATATTCTGCATAAAATCAGAATGAGCTCGAAATATCATCGCCATCTAGTATTATACCTACCTGGTGCTACCGCACCATTATCTGTCATGCTATACTCATGTTGCTATTTCAACATAAGCAACTTACGAAACCAGTATGATAGACAATAGTGCTGGTTACTAATACTGGATGGCCCAAACCTGATGCAAATGTGCACTTAATATTTTAGAATTTGTTTCATTTTAGGATTAAAGGACCTATATAGTCTATAACAGCTAATAGAGTAAAGAAATCAAGCTGTAATTCAATTTATTTTCTTTATTGATTTATAAAATACTCGCATCTGATTCGATTGCCGCGCCGCCCGCGGCTCAATTTGTTACTAATTTTTAATTTTCTTTTTTATCTCAGGTTTTTTTATGAAATATTGATTAATAAAAAATGATTGGAGAGTCTGTGCGGAAAGAGAATGGGCGTGGCGAAGAACGGAACTAACATTAAGATCTTTATTTGGCAATCAAACAGCAATCTGTAAAACGTCAAAGTATTGTATTGATACGGATTTGTTTGTTGTTGTCATTTCTTGCGGTTTTTTTTGTATTTAATCATGTCTAGAAGGGGTAAAACCTTACAAATACGGTAGAAAATCACTACAGCGCCCTCCAATCTAAATCCCATTCTCTTTCCGGACAGACTCTAACATTTTTTTTTTCTTAGTATGTATCAATTTTTTTACTTCAGCAGTAGATATATAATTCAAAGTAAAAGTAGTGAAACGGTAAAAGTTACACAAAAATGTATGTATGACGGAATGAGGGCTATCGCGTATGAATCCGCCGCTAGAGGCGCTAGTGTAGCGTGAGGTCTCCGAAATGTCAAATGTTATTGCTTGTTGGTTGACTACGCGGGTTTATTTCTAATTAAAATAATGTTGTGAATTATTGGTAACAATTCGGTTTAATTATGGCAAATATGAGTTATGTAGCAATGAATGTCAGTTATTAAAAATTTGAGCTTAGAAAAATGATTATGTTCCCATTTTTTCCGAATAAAACGGAACTGCGCGTCACTGTGGCATGGCCTATTATGTTTAGTATATGGTTCTTTTGTGTTAAAATACGATCTAAATGTAACCTTTGATTTCATGTGCGTATTAATAAACTTTAAAAGTTACAATTTAGGACCTCACTCAACAGTGGCGCCATCTGGTGAGGCAGAAAACGGTAGCCCTCATTGTGCCGCTTTAAAGTTCTATAAAAAAGCTCTCGACAGCATCTCCCTTATTAATAAACAAGGACTACACCAGGATTAGTTAATCTATGTTTTGTCTCTTTCTATTGAATGACAAATGACATTTGAGTGACATGAACAAAACACGGCGTAAATAGTCTTAGCTTATTCCTTGTTTATTAATAAGACTATCACTATTTTTCTTAAATTGATGCGAGTGAAACCGCAGGGCACCTCTAGCTTATAATATTAGTATAGATTAGGCCTTACACAGGTTATTACCATACAAACCTAACCAATAATAACCTTTGATCTGATAACGGTGTATTTCTTCTTTCAGCACTGGAAACCAGCTTGAATTTGAAGGTTATGATTCTACCCAACGGCAAGACAGGCAAGAATTGCTATTGTGTGTGCGATGCCACTGCCCCCCCGAAAATGATACCACTTTCGCACTTGCCCCGCACACTTGAGGTCATCGAAGCAAACTGAGAATAATCCTACGCGAACTAAACGATTTCATCCACAAAGCAACACGGAAGGCATAGCCATACAGACATAATAATATTCTAATCTTCAAAATCATTCTGCCATTTTTTGCGAAGTACACAAATCGCAGCTAAACGTAACTACTTGAGTAAAAACAAAAATGTTACAGCGCATACATTTAAATCACCAAATCCTGCACACTTAATGTGAGTATGCCCAATTTGTATGTCCAATTCGCCAGCGGGGGAAATTGTGTACGCCTAGGCCTACTTACCCCCTCCTGGCTGCGTTGGCCGTGTTGCTCTACGATTTTATTCATTATATCTTATGTTAATCATGTTGTATTTCTATGAATAAATTATAGCATTATTAAAGTTGTTTGTTTTAATTGTTTACCATTGATTGGTACTCCGATCTCATTTTGAATAAATTAACTTCTAGTGAAGTAGTGGTAAATACACAAGAACCAAAGGTTCCTATTCTAGGCCGCTTTGTTGCATCTATTGTTGAAATACTGGAGAAAAGTTAAACCATCATTTTGTCATTTAACACATTAACGATGTATTTGACATGACATTAACTATAGTTTTGCTATAGTCAAATTTAAGATGATGTCAGATGACCGTTCTTCTTTATTAACTTAAAGAAACCTTCAAATCAATACAAATATGCTTTCTTCCAAAAAGTATCTTTATCTTAAAAAAAACCGGCCAAGTGCGAGTCGGACTCGCGCACCGAGGGTTCCGTACAAACCTGCAAGGTTTACAAAGTTCGTTCATTACGACAATCGAGTCATAACTATGGTATTTTTATTGCAAAATGAAATTCATAACATTACAATGGGGAAAGATGGAGGAGCATAAATTTAAGACAAAGATCTCTTTATCGTTTAAGTAATCCTTTATTTTATATTACCCGCGTGCCTCCCGTGCCACCAGCGTCCCATCAAACTTCGCCAGTAGAAACAATACAAGCAAGCTGTCTGATAATAACCAACAATAAGAAATATAATAATGTCATTGAATTTAATTATAAGTATAACACTTTAAGCAGTTAGGACGCATTTAGATTATACAGCTACATTCACCAAAACATCGGGATTGAATGACGATGAGTGAGGTCGTCTTTGCCGTTTGAAAAATGTTGCCCTCCCCATACATAGTATAATAACTCGCGGTCATTGCTGTAACTACAATTATGTTTACAATCACAATTTTTTTGGTGGTATAACTACTTAAAATTTTAAGCTTTTCGGAATTTTTCTGTTACCTGTGCTGTAAGCTATTGCTTCTTACCAAATTTCGAGATTCTATGTCAACGGGAAGTGGTCTTTAGGTTTTAATTCCCTTGCGTGTAGTTGCGAGTTTCAAAATATGCGGTATCAATGGTTGTACTTTTGCGTTTTTGCGTTGACTTAGAATTTTTTTTTTTTCACGGGTTAAAGGCAATTAGATCTAAGTATTTGATATGAATTTCAACTTGATAGCTCTACGCGTTCATGAGGAAAAAAGTAATAAGTTTATATTTATTAAAAAATATATATTTTGTAATGTAACTAAAAATTTAAGGTTTTCGGAATTTTTCCTTTATGTGTGCTATAAAACGTTGCTTCATGCCAAATTTCAAGATTCTAGGTCGACTGGAAGTACCCTTTAGGTTTTGATTCCCTTGCGAGTACTTGCGAGTTTCAAAATATGCAGCTTAAATTGCTGTTTCTTTTGATTGCGTTGACATAGAAGTTTGATTTTGTTACAGCTTAAAGGTATTATAGACCTGAGTATTTGGTATGAATTTCAATTTAATACCTCTACTCGTTTATGAGGAAATGGGTAGTAAGGTTAAAATTATTAAAAAAAAAATATTATGTGATGTAACTAAAAATTTATGGTTTTCGTAATTTTTCCTTTATCTATGCTATAAGACGTTGCTTGGTACCAAATTTCAAGATTCTGAGTTCACGGGAAGCACCCTGTAGGTTTTGATTCCCTTGCAAGTGTCGAAAATTTGCGGCATAAACGGCTGTATCTTTTGATTGCGTTGGCTTAGAAGTTTGATTTTTTCACAGCTTCAAGGGACAGTAGACCTGAGTAATTGATATAAATTTCAGCTTCATACCTCCACGCGTTCCTGAGAAAAAGGGTCTTGACAGACGGACGGACGGACAGACGGACAACAAAGTGATCCTATAAGGGTTCCGTTTTTCCTTTTGAGGTACGGAACCCTAAAAAGGGTATTTAGAAAATACGTATCTTCTAACTAAAACTCTCTTCTTCCAAAAAGTATCTTTATCTTAAAAAAAAGTATTTAGAAAATACGTATCTTCTAACTAGTATCACACATACTTTTTTCAAAGGTATCTTGTATCTGTTATCTAAATACTTGACTAAAAAGTATCTGATGTCTTGTATTTGAGATACTTTTTTTAGGGTAACTATTATATCTCTGTATAAAATAAAAATTAAAAAAGTGACATTAAAAAACCCAAAAACTATAGCTTTTCCCAAACTTTGAACGCATTATAATACTACTAAATTGATGAGTAGTAAAAGTATAAAGTATAATATAGTATAGAGTAGTTAATTTAAGTTGAAATGTGAATTTTTGTTTGTTTATTATTCTGGTTACACCGGCCATCTTTACTCTCGATGAAAAAGTTTTAGTAACATTGGTTTATTCGTTTACCTTTTGTCTCGGAGAAAGTTAAATAGAGTTTAGATATTTTTTATTATTTAGATTGAAATTACAACTGTTGCGTTGTTTCATCCATATTTTTTTTGTGTTTATGCAGCCATTCTCCGTTTTGCACGGAAATGAGAAATCTCGCCGATGATCCGTGTTGAGAGAGACACTTTCCATCCATAGTTAAATTTTACTTTATCAAGACTATAGTTAATGTCACGTCAAATACATAGTAAATGTTTTAAATGATAATATACTTAAACTGAAAAATTTAAAGGAAATAAATTATTTTAGCAAAAAAAGTATCTTCAAAATACTAAGATACTGTAAAAAAAAGTATTTAAATACAAGATAAATTTTGTATCTTGTATCTGTATCTTAGATACTTTTATCTTAGATAAATCACATCTCGGATTTTATCGACTATACCACGGCAAGTGTTCTGACGGAAATTCTTCCGCTATTCCTACACGAACACAGAAGTTTAGTAACTATTTTTTTGTCGCACATTAAAAGTGGAAACCTTTGCCTGCTAAAGTGACGTGCTCGGCGCTCAAAACAAGGAACTTTCTGGGCAGCAAACCAGACAAACTTATAGTTGATCCTTCTTACAGCCCCGATTTGACTCCGTGCGAATTTTTTTGTTCCCCAAAACAAAAAATGAACCCGTGGGATTACAGTTTTCATCAGCTAAAGATTTGAGAAGGGTATTGAAGAGTGTCTAATGAATTGGCTAATGTGTTATGAAAATGGGTAAAAACTGTGTGTAGAGAAAAATGGATAGTTCTTTGAAAATATAAAGATTTTCAAAGAACTATCCATTGATTCAACTTCTTTGATAATAAAAAGAAAATATCATCATCATATCAGCCGAGAGACGCCCACTGCTGGACATAAGTCTGACCCAAGGAATTCAAAACCCATCGGTCCTGTGGTCAGCAGCTTCCCGCGCCCTTCACCAGATCATCGCTCCACCTTGTGTGGGGTCTGATGTGGTCTACCAAAGCTTCCGGTACGTGTCGCCACTCAAACCTTCTGTTTTTCATTTTTCATTGTTTTTGGTGTAGGAACTGTGATTTTTGTGTGATTTTTATAACTACTTTTATTCGCATCAACCTTGAGCCCTGTCAGAATATCGGCGCCACAGCAGCCTTGATGTCGTTGTGTCATTAAGCTGAGGCAGAGCCCTAGTTGACCTTATTTTCATTTATGCTATTTATTTCTATTTTGGAATGTTATTGGTCAATAAATTCTTTCTCTCTTCCAAGGACCGCCCCACCCGAACGGCCGTCAGTCCTCCTTGCATTGTGCCCTGGTCACTGCCACTTAAGGTTTACAGTTCTGCAAGCGTTAAGTGATGGTGGGGGTGAAGGGTGGTGGGGCAATAGGAAAATACTTAGTAGTATATTTTTGTATAATACAAGCCCAAGACTAAAAACTATACTCTAAAGAAACAATAAACAAACAGAAAAAATTTAGGTCTCTTATATAAAATCGACTCGGAAATAACTAAAAAGTTATTTTCAACGCATTTGATCACAAAATGCATTTACGGAGGTTGTGTACATTGTTTGAAAGTTCGAATTTACGGCCATACAACTGAGCGTGCGGTAAAACATTTAACCGCACGCCCCCATACATGGCGCCGTGCGTATCCGTTACGGTTTCTTTTCTATCGTACCTACTTGAAAGCGCTATTAATCTATACATTTGTCTAACTTTAATACTCAAAAGAAATTGCTCCATTAGAAATACGCGCTACATCTTATTTTTATTATATATATTCTTTAAAAAAAATAACTGTAGTCTAACTGTAGACTACGAAGAAGTGGCGCGTATTTCCAATGGAGCAATTTCTTTTTATTAGTATTAAAGTTAGACAAATGTAAAGATTAATAGCGCTTCTAAGTAGATACGATAGAAAAGAAACCGTAACGGATACGCACGGCGCCATGTCCCCCATACATGGCGCCGTGCGTATCCGTTACGGTAAAATGTTTCACCGCACGCTCAGTTGTATGGCCGCAATTTTGAACTTTCAAACAATGTATACAACCTCCGTAAATGCATTTTTTGATCAAATGCGTTGAAAATAACTTTTTACTTATTTCTGAGTCGATTTTATATAAGATACCTAAAATTTTTCTGTTTGTTTATTGTTTCTTTAGAATGTGTTGATAAACATTGTATGACATTCGTGTGGAATTGGTATTTAAAAACTCGTGACAACAGAGACGACTGAGACTTCGTCTCTGTCTTCCCATAATCACGAGCTTATAATAACCAACTTATCGCACTCATATCATAAATAACTATTGTTATGTTTATGATATTCATCGTCATTGTGGGTTACCTACAATGCGAAGAGATGGCGCTGCCTTGCAGCTTAAAGCTAGGAAAATTTCGACGCGGCCAATAGGGCCGTGATAGCATAATGGTCAGTGCATTCGCCCGGATTGCGAAGGGTGCGGGTTCGAGTCCCGTCCGCTGCCTGGTCCGCGTGGATTTTTTTCTAGTAAACTTTTCTTTAGATTTAAACATCTAGCAGTTAAATGCTTAAAAAAATCTGTAATTGCTATTTATTCTTTCAAATGTTTAATACTTGAAAAAGTATTCATTTGACATTTTACCTACAATGCGAAGAGATGGCGCTGCCTTGCAGCTTAAGGCTAGGAAAATTTCGACGCGGCCAATAGGGCCGTGATAGCATAATGGTCAGTGCGTTCGCCCGGATTGTGAAGGGTGCGGGTTCGAGTCCCGTCCGCTGCCTGTACCGCGTGGGTTTTTTTTAGTAAACTTTTCTTTAGATTTAATAACTACTTATTGTTTCATATATCAAACAACACCCTCTCATAAAACAGACATTTTGAAAACAACAAGTTTAACACTAACGCTAAGATAAACACATTATTAATTCATGTGGATAACCGACAATGGTTTTCAATTTATAAACAGATAACATACTTTTATATTAATCATACATAGTACACAAAGTCGTTTATACTGTGTACATATCTTTACTATTAAACTATATCTATACGGTAATATTATAGAACTTGAAAGAGTTTGTTTGTTTGTTTGGTTGAACGCGCGAATCTTAGAAACTACTGGTCCGATTTGAAACAATATTTTTGTGTTGTGTTGTGTAGAGTAAAACACAACGCCACGATGTAAAAGGATCACGACGTAAAAGTTGATGATCTGCTATCAATAAAAAATGATGCAAAACGGGAAAAGATATTCCATATGTGAGTTTCTGTTGCGTGCGCTGCGTATACGGTAAAAGTTAAAACAAAAATCATGTAGAGTCTGTGCGGAAATAGAATGGGCGTGGCGAAAAACGGAACTAACATTAAGATTTTTATTTGGCAATCAAACCCAGCAATCTGTAAATCGTCAAAGTTTTGTATTGATACGGATTTGTTTGTTGTTGTGATTTCTTGCGGTTTTTGTATTTAATCATGTCTAAAAGGGGTAAAACCTTACAAATACGGTAGAAAAGCACTACACCGCCCTCCAATCTAAATCCCATTCTCTTTCCGCACAGACTCTATGACGGAATCGTTCCCCTATAAAAGTTCTATAAAAAAGTCTGCGACAGCAAATGTCTATCTTCAAGGGGTGACTAACTATAACCTTGTTTCTCAAATGGATGCGGGTGAAACCGCAGGGCACCTCTAGTTATTTAAATGTACGTATTATTATGTTTGTTTTATTGAAGATTTCTCGAATCCCGTCTACGTCATAGCAATATCATTTTGCAACCACCATCACGTAAATCCTTTATAGTAGAGGAGCCCATGTGGGGATTTTTGGATTTACTCGAGCGCGGCAGAATAACATATGGGGAGCAACCTTGCACCTAGTTGATGCCCCCCACGACAACGGCTAACTAGAGCCGAGGTCCGAGTCTGAGAGACGCCCTCTAGTTGAGCCGACCCCCTCAGGTTCGAGTGGTCTAGAGGCTCCAGACGGAGAGGATACTCCCCCCGTGGGGAGACGCCATTCGCCTGGAATACCTCTAGAGGCACTCGCCAATTCTCGGCTTGAGGTCCCCAAACCCGGTGACGCTGTAAAGGTCATCTGCGACCAACAGCATACACACTCAAAAAAAAATTGCACCTAGTTAAGTACTCCCACCATATCTGAGCCCTTTATGTAGGGCCGAACGCCTAGGGCAGCAAAAACAAAATTTCAATGAACGGTCATTAGTCTTTTAGAGGATTCATGTAACGTTCCGTTCTTAGAAAAAGAACGGAAAAAATATTGATCTGCCGTGGTTTGCATGATATGGGGGTGGCCGTACGAAGGGGTAGAATATAGGAAAAAATAACCGAGTGCGTCAGACGTTCAGAAAGGATGTTACGTGAACCCTCCAGTAGCTCCTATTCAAAAGACTGACGATTTGAACCCGACCAAAAGTTATGGCCGTTTGTTGAACTTTTGTTTTTGCTGCCCTAGACGTTCGGCCCTACATAGATGGCTCAGGTATAGTGGGAGAACTTAACAACGTGCAAGGTAGCTCCCCATATGTTATTCTGCCGCGCTCGAGTAAATCCAAAAATTCCCGCTTGGGCTCCCCTAGTATTATAATTAATTCATCGCGCAAACATTGCAATTATGTGTTTCTGATTATTGAGCTATATATTTAATTTCTTGCATCAGTTTGCACAAGTGTTCTCATATAAAATATCATATATATATCGCGTCTGAGCCAATTTACTGCAGTGGATAACAGATAGTAAGTCTGACCACTAGAAAGCGATTATGAAGTTCTCGGCGGCGCTGCTACTCGGCTTACTGAGTGTAAGTTGCACAAAATATTTTGCTGTTACCCATAATGGTCTGCTAATACGAGGGACTTTTTTGTCTACGGACTTTTTTGTCCGCGGACTTTTATGTCCGCCGAAATAGATCACTTTGAGTGACGCACGCGACAGATTAAAAGTCCCTCGCATAACCAAGGACACCGGACAGGACAAAGGTACGCGGGCGTCCCCGAAAAAAAATAACTCATGTGACTAGGCGTTATGATCCGTCGCTGCGGCACATAAGTTATTTTTTTTCACCGCTAACTTTATCCCCATTGCGCGGTCGAACCGATTTAAAGAAATGGATCCAGTATTCTTATTTAAACCTTCTTCACTTTTTCTTTAACTAAATTTTAATTACAACATCGTAATCTGAGAATTAGCAAACGAAAGTGGCAGTGGGCTAGTCACATTAGCCGCAGAACTGACGGCCGTTGGAGCCGCAAAGTTTTTGAGTGGAGACCGCGACTCGGTAAACGTAGTGTAGGACGCCCTAAGACAAAATGGGATGATGACATTCATAGGCTGGCTGGAGTGGGCTGGATGAGAGTGGCAGAAAATCGGGAGCAGTGGAGACCTATGTCCAGCAGTGGACGAGCTTGGGTTGATGATGATGATGATGATGAATCTGAGAATATTTACTACCATAGCAGTGCACTTTTCTAAATTTTTGGGGAACAAACAAGTTAGCACATCATGTGCGTTGAATACGTGACAAGACCGCGGCGGACTTATTTTTTTGCGGACGGACGAGGCTTGTCACGGACTCAACGCATACGGTGTGCGGACATTTGTTGCCCGGAAATTTAGATAAACGCACATTGTGGAAGCAAATATTCTGAGTTTACGTTGCGTCGTAATTAACATGAAGTTTAATATAACAAAAAAATGTTTTAAATGAAAATATTTGCTCCATTCCCTTTTCACGGACAGAGCGCGCAAGGCAGTCTAAATTTCGATATGTGCGTACTGTTTTCTCCTGTCCGGTCTCTCGGCGTACTCGGTTGCTTGCGGGACTTTTTGTACGCGGGACTTTTTGTACACGGGACTTTTTGTACACGGGACTTTATGTACGCGGGACTTTTGATTTGTCTTATATATTATTCGATGTAGTTGCAAGCGATATATTTTGCAGGCAGGGTTGTCTTTAACCTATTGGAGGCCCTGGGCATATTAAAATAATGGGTACCCTATGAATTTGATGTTGGTAATGACTTGAAATGGAGCGAGTCATGCTGATAAGTGTACTACTGATGATGTTTCTTTAAACTGTGTATGTGCTTAGTATATTATATGTATATTTAAATTATCTAATTTTTGGTCATTGGATGGGTGACTGAAAATTCACTATCTCGAACTCCTCCGTGCTTCGGAAGGCACGTTAAGCCATTGGTCCCGGCTGCATCTGCAGTCGTTAGCACCCGCCAATACGCACTGGGCCCGCGTGGTGGGTCATGGCCCAATCTCCCTATTTCATCCATAGGGAAGGCCTGTGCCCCAGCAGTGGGAACATAAATAGGCTGATGATGATGATGATATAATTTTGTTGGTAATAAAAATTGGTTATCGTTTGGTGATCTGACATTAAGTAGGGACTTTTTATTTGATCTGAGCGAGGCCCCTATCGATTGCGGGGCCCTGGGCACTTGCCCAAAGTGCCCATTGGGAAAGAGGAGTCTGTTTGCAGGATAAAAGTCCCCTGTCTGCGCAGGTCATAAGACTAAGTGGAAAAAATACCTTTGATCCTTGTGTCCTCTTTGAGTGTACTCGCGAAAAAGACATTAGCAAGAACTTCTGTATATTATTACGCATACATTGTGAAACGCCTTATGAGAACTTTTACAAAATTGCGCCGCTGCCGTACTGATCGGCGCGTAGGTAAAGGAGATTGCTCAAATTGGCCCAAATGCACAAAAAATATTGACATACACGGTAATTCTTGGCGTAATTTATAATTTAATTTACAGTCATTAGATTTCAACGGACACCTTTGTATAATATATTTACTTTAAAAAGGACTTTTAATTTTACCGGTTTGGAAAACATACGAATCATTTTTAATGGCTCCATAGCCGCTGAATGTTACTACACCCATGTGTAGTAACATTCAGCCAGACTGATCGAAGTTGTATATATAACATAAAAACAAATCTATTTTGTAAAGATCGATAAAATAAATCATTTTTTGAAGTTATACTTCTTTAGGCGCGTTATGAAAAAATGATGAGAGTGAAATTTTAAGATGCGCGCGCATCACTGTAACGAAAAATTTTAACAGCATGAAGTTGGTCGTTTTAGCGACCAACTTCATGCGTTACTTTTGTGTTTACCACACATTAAGAAAATCTACCAACAAAATAGAAATATAATCTCTATTTAGTGGGTGCTAACGACTGCATTGTGAAGGCCTATCAAAAGTATTTATTAATCTGGAACAAAGGAACCAAAGCGCGATTCAGGAGACTACAGCGCCATCTCTTGACCATTGGTGTAGTAGAACCAAAAACCACATCTTTATTTTTTGTAATAAAGTAACAGTTATAGGTATTCATATTTATAATATCAAAAGTATTTATTAATCTGGAACAACGGAACCAAAGCGCGATTCAGGAGACTACAGCGCCATCTCTTGACCATTGGTGCAGTAGAACCAAAAACCACATCTTTATTTTTTGTAATAAAATAACAGTTACAGGTATTCATATTTATAATATTTATCCACATGTTTCTAGTTTGTATATTCGGAATACGTGTTTGAGTTTCATCCAAGTGCAAATCACATATGTTCTAATAAATTATATTCAGTAGCAATTTTAATTGAACATTTTGATTATTTATTTATTTTTTCAAATTAAAACTGAACTTTATTGACTGTGTCCTTTTCCAGACTTTTTATTAATTTATTGTAATTAATTATTTGCATGCAATTAAAAACTAATTTTAAACGACGCCAAAGAAGGATAACCTCTCACGCGCCTACATAAGTACACGCACCCATTTTTTTTATTACACTGTGGTATTAATATCCACAATTTCTAATCTAATCCATAATTTCGTTACTTGGCTTGATTTCCCTAGTTTACTATATAACTTATTTGTTTTTTTATTATTTTAATATGTTCAGTGTATATGGTTTATAGAAGTTCTCAGGGGTGTCCGTCAATAATGTTCGTTTCAAACAGTAATTTATATATAATTTCGAATCTAGGAAACAATTTTTCATGATTATTGGTCTTTAGGCCAAACATGTATGGAAGCTGAGCAATCTCCTTTGCACTAGTAATATTGCATTTTACGGGTGATGTTTCGAGTTTTATAAAATAATTATTAATGAACTAATTAAATGAGCCTGTTATACAGATCTCACTGAAGAACTCTTAAATAAGCTAGAGCGTCTGCAGAACTTATGCATCCGATTTATTTTCAACCTTCGTAAATAAGACCACATCTCATACTTCCGTTCTAAACTTAACTGGCTCCCTATTTCCGGCGCAGGGACTTACACACTCTTACGCTTCTTTACTCCGTACTTTTCTTACCCACTTCTCCTCATTACCTAAAAGAACGCTTCTCGTTTCTCTCTTCTACTCCACAGCGCACTTTGCGATCTTCTTTTAACCTATCTCTTGAAATTCCGAGTCATTCTACTGATTTCTTTTCCTATTCCTTCTCTGTGCATTCTGTACGTCTATTGAACACTTTGCCTGAAACTATTCGAAGGGCTCGCACTCTGAACTCATTCAGGGATCAAGTTCGGAGTTATTATCCCGGATAAGATATCCCAACAGTGATGTAGAAAATTTCCTTCATCCTCTCTCTTTCCTTAGATATATCTGGTTTTCCTGCCATCGATATTATTATTATTTTCTATAACACCCCTCCTTTTCTCCTTCATATTTATTTATCTTTTTATTATGGGTTGCCTGGAAGAGATTGCTGCCTAGCAATAAGGCCGCCTATATTGTGTACGTTCTATCTATCATGTTTTTTTAATTTACTTGTGTTTTTTTGTATGGTGTATTACAATAAAGAATATTATTATTATTATTAATTATAAAAATATATAAATATTTTAGTAGTTCAATAATGGTTGATTAGTTTTATGAAAGTTTTTGATAGTAATAGATTCATATTATTGTTTTTTTCGTAAACTAGCTGCGGTAGAAAGATCAGTACAAAAACAGGGAAATAGTATTCGCAATATTCTACATTAACTTACAATAGGAAGAATAAATCTACTGTTTACTTCTTTTGGAAATAGTCAAGATCTTTTCTAAGGGGGTAAACGAGGCGCTCAAAAATTAGGACTTCTTGCAAAAAATGTGAAAGGGCTCTTAAAATCTTTTTACATATAAATAAAACCATTTTCCTTTAGTTACGTTCAAGACTATTTGTGAAGAACTTTACCCGTTAAAGGACCAGTTCTTCATTGGTCTTTTTCAAGTTTTGAGCTCTTCTTGATTCTTCACTTCATATGAAGCGTAGTTATTGTATGGACCATTTCTGCTTTTTACCACTTCGCCTTTCTGAGTACCCTTATTAAGGTATGCAAAAATACGCAAGACTTTGTTTCAAAATATAATGGAACTCCAAACCATCTATTAGAAATAGTCTAACTAAACGAAGCTATACATTCAAGAATTGCAAGCCCAAGTATGAAGAGAAATGGATAAAACTGCTTTACGGTTTTCTCGCTTTGAGGCTGTCCTGTGATTTACAGTTGTGTTCCTCAGAATAAGTACAGTCAGTAATGGGACAAATTAATGAAAACTGAAAAATCGTATCTAACTGAGTTCGAACTTAAGATCCGTTTAATATATAAATCGAGGAGCTCGATGGCGCAAATGATTAGCGCGTTCGGCTGCGATCGTTGAAGTTAAACAACTTTCGCAGTGGTCGGTCATTGGATGGGTGACCAAAAATTTACTATCTCGAGTTCCTCCGTGCTTCGGAAGGCACGTTAAGCCGTTGGTCCCGGTTGCATCTGCAGTCGTTAGCACCCGCCAATCCGCACTGGACCCGCGTGGTGGGTCATGGCCCAATCTCCCTATTCCATCCATAGGGAAGGCCTGTGCCCCAGCAGTGGGGACATTAATAGGCTGATGATGATGATGAATATATAAATAAAGTTTTTTTAATTCAAAATAATTTTATTTGACACAGTAGGCTTAAAATAGGCACATTTTGAATTTCCATGTAATTATATAAAGAAATATCTTTAACAATAGAAAAGAAAAATGTATTACGTAAAACAAAAAAGAGGTGAATAATGTAAACTCGGTAGAAAGTGCCTGCTTGCGCCAAAAAGGATCTAAGTTCAGCATTGTGTCAGCTCAAAGAGCTGACGCTGGTTTTCAACTAGATCCCGGTTTATAAAATAAATCCCTGCCCCCAATGTATGTCCAAAACACGTTTCCAAAAGTTTACAAATGAATAATTTTTCTTACCAAGTTAGTAACTTTTAAGGTTAAGAACCCAAAATACATACAGAGTAAAAAAAGGTTTATTGAGGAAATGTGAAAAAGATAGGACGGAAGACGGAATTTTGGAAAAGTGGGATCAAATGAGAGATGGGTAGATAGATAGGTAGTGTGTTATATTTTAATTTTATTAAGTGATAAAAAAAGGAATCTAGGTTTACAAATATTAATATCAATATTACCAAGTAGAATAGGTATAGAAGTAGGGATGAGAACATGTGAGGGTAATATGTGTTTCATAAATTCTGATCGAACAAAGAGCAGAAGAGCTGGAGGCGCAGGTGGTTAACGCGTTCGGCTGCGATCGTTGAAATTAAGCAACTTTCGCAGTGGTCGGTCATTGGATGGGTGACCAAAAATCTTCTATCTCAAGATCCTCCGTGCTTCCGAAGGTTAAGCCATTGGTCCCGGTTGCATCTGTAGTCGTTAGCACCCGCCAATCTTCACTGGGCCCGCGTGGTGGGTCATGGCCCAATCTCCCTATTCCATCCATAGGGATGGCCTGTGCCCCAGCAGTGGGGTTATTAATAGGCAGATAATGATGATGATGAACAAAGGGCAAGCAAAAATAATATGGTTATAATTTTTAATTATTTAAAGCATGTAACTGCTTGATGTTTAAAATTATAACTATAATTGCGTTTTCTTCTTTCAAATGTTTAATACTTGTAAAAGTATTCATTTGACATTGTGGGTTACCCATAATGCGAAGAGACGGCGCAGCCTTGCAGCTTAAGAATGGCTAGAAAATTTCGACGCGGTCCGTGAGGGCCGCGGTAGCATAATTGGTCAGTGCATTCGCCCGGATTGCGAAGGGTGCGGGTTCGAGTCCCGTCTGCTGCCTGGTCCGCGTGGAATTTCTTCTATGGTGATTCATATTGAATTTGTTTTTATTATTTTGCTTTGGACTGAGTACTGATCTCCCAGTACAGTTTCCAAGCTTTAAAAAGATCAAATGTAGGAATGGAGGACAAATCATGGCCGTAAATTTTAGAAGGAAACATATCACCACAAATTATAGCCTTATTGGCAAGTCTATGCTCATCACCCAAAATTCCCTAATGTACAGTAATCCAATTGATATGAACAATAAACCCCCGTGACAAACAAGTTTGTATTAAACCTATGCATTCAATAATAACAGTGGAATTATTATTATGCACTTTAAGTTTCATCTATCTATATATATAAAACTCAAAAGTGACTGACTGACTGACAGTGATCTACCAACGCACAGCCCAAACCACTGGACGGATCGAGCTGAAATTTGGCATGCAGGTAGATGTTATGACGTAGGCTAAGAAAGGATTTTGATCAATTCTACCCCGATGGGGATAAAATAGGGAAACTTTCAGTTTGTATGAAACTTTGTCAATTTTAAACCGATCGGGCCTCAGCCCGATGCATGCAAAGTCTCAACTTTGCATGCAGGTATAAGAAGAATCATAGATGAATGTCATTGTGTATAATACAAGCCTGAGAACAAAAACTGTAGTCTACATTTCAGCTCTACACCGAAGCGAAGCGAGGGCGGACCGCTAGTAACTAATATATGAGTAGCTGGCGAACAAAACAGTATAATTACATAAAATTAAATTTTACAGGAGCTGTATAAAACTGAATAAAATATCTACAGTGAGCCTTTGGCACAGTTGTTAATTTATAAATTTTGTAATTTTAACACTGTTTTAGGCGGTTTTGATTGAAAAATATTTGAGATTCAAATTCAACGGGGACATAACCTCTAGACTGTAAAAAAAGTAGTTGGTTTTGTTCGCAAGCTCCTCAAATATTCTAAAGACTATATGTAAACCAAAATATTCTACTGTAAATACTAGAAAAAATAGTTTAAGGGTAAAATTGTGTTAACAGTTATATATATTTTGTTTTAGGTCGCGCTGACGCTCGCAGAGCCAAAGAGTAAGTATTTTATTGACAATTACATCAACTATTAATTAACCTACAAAATTCTAGCAAAAATAGATGTTTTTAAACTTTAGTTTAAGAAATATTGTACTATTACAATAATAATATTATTATTGTACTATTTCATACTACGAATATTGTTTGCGCTACGGCTACATACTACGCGCTACGGGCTTTACGCCGTAGCGGCTACGCAAAAAACTACGAGAAATGTTACATTTAAAATTGAAATTTATTAATGCAAAATGTAAATGTAATATGTTTACAAAATAAAAATGTTGATAGACAAGTAATAGTCTATTATATAGAAGTCAAATTAATCCTCAAGAATATTATAATAAATAAAGAAATATTTCCAACACTCACACTAATTAGCCTAGCCCCAAATTAAGCTCTGTAAGACTTGTCTATGGTATACTAAGGTAACGGATATAATACATATACTGTACAGTACAAATAAATATAGAAATACATATTAAACATCCATGACTGGAGTACCAATGCTCGTATTTATCACACAAACATCTGCCCCCACCGGGATTCGAACCATTTATATAATTATATCGAAATATATATGTATATTGTTTATACGTTTTTTACGTCAAGTCCGTAGTATAAGCTTCTTAGAATTTCTAATGACTTTAGGAACTTTCTAATTTAGAAAATAAGTATATTTTTATTTTAAGCATTTAATTGCTGGATGTTTTAATCTGAAGAGGTTACTTATTATAGCAGTTCAACGCTTAAAATAACTTATAACGAAGTAAACTAATTTGAATTTGAGAAACAACGGATTGTCAAACTTTGACGACCTCCGTGGCCGAGTGGTTTGTACGCCGGGTTTCATGGTGTCGCCGACTCGAGAGGTCCCGGGTTCGAATCCCGGTGGGGGCAGCGTTTGTGTGATGAATACGTGCATTTGTACTCTAGTCATGGATGTTTAATATGTATTTCTATATAAATATACTTATGTAGGAAGGTCAAAGGGGAAGATCTTCCTCCGAGCTGGATGATGGTAGCTCGGGGGCCGCGGCCCGACTGATGTTGGTCGGGCATCGTATATTTGAAGAGTTAGCTTCCGAATTTCATTTGCGCGATGTAGGCTTCCATACTATTCCATGATCGCAGTGCAGGTAACGCCATCTCTTGAGGATGGTGAGTAATGATTTCCTCCATTGTTGTATATATGCGGGGCATATAGATGTCGCCGCCACACATATATGTATAATATATGTATTCTATCCGTTACCCTAGTATCCCATAACACAAGCCTTACAGTGCTTACTTTGGGGCTAGGCTTATTGGTGTGTGTGTTGGAAATATTTATTTATTTATTTATAAACTATTTGTTACAGGTGGCCGTCGTATTGTACGGCGGGTGGTAGAGCGTGATATCCCAGTCAACGAGACTGTATATGAGACCAGAGAGATCCCAGTCAACCAGACTGTATACGTGACTCGAGAGGTCCCAGTCGAGACTGTGATTACACATGAACACGTCGTCACCGAACGTAACGTGAAAGAAGAGTATGAGATCTCCAACCAAACGCAGTACGAAACGCAGGTCATAAGTCAAGAAGGTATGTAGCAGTACAGATCTTAGATTAAAACAAAAAGGGAAGTGATCCGCTTAAATTGTGGTCCACGACCATAATTCGCTTTAGTCACAATTTGACATTCAAACACGCTGCATGTACACTCAATATAACAATATTGCGTATATTTTGTGTTAAGAACACAAATAGTTCAAAATCAAATGCCCCGGCAACACTTTTCATTCGTAAAACTGTGAAAATCTTTTTTTTCTCAAAAATCACGGTTTGTCGTAAATATTATTTACGTAATCGCCATTTTGTTAGCAAGAACAGGACAACAATACGCTGCGTTGAAGCGTATAGTTCTGTCTCACTCGCTCGATTGATGTTTATATACAGACGTGTACGTGTGTGAGAGTTGCTTATATAGTTGAGTCGGATCATATTTTATTTGATGCTAGTATGAGCGTATCGCGTACCCTTTTTGTTTTAATCTAAGGTAGAGATGCGGAAAAATGGTTATTTTTCTATTGTGAAAAAATAACGTTAAAACCACTAGTTTTTTTTCGAGTACGGAATTCCGTTAATGTTGAATTCTTATCCCACTTCTTAATAAACGAAGAATATTTCGCGCTGCGGCCTGGCATAATGTGCGCTTTCCATTATAAAACATTGATTTTACAAAAAAAAATGGGTGCGTGTACTTATGTAGGCGCGTGAGAAGTTATCCTTCTTTGGCATCGTTTAAAATTAGTTTTTAATTGCATGCAAATAATGAATTACAATAAATTAATAAAAAGTCTGGAAAAGGACACAGTCAATAAAGTTCAGTTTTAATTTGAAAAAATAAATAAATAATCAAAATATTCAATTAAAATCGCTACTGAATATAATTTATTAGAACATATGTGATTTGCACTTGTATGAAACTCAAACACGTATTCCGAATATACAAACTAGAAACATGTGGATAAATATTATAAATATGAATACCTATAACTGTTACTTTATTACAAAAAATAAAGATGTGGTTTTTGGTTCTACTACACCAATGGTCAAGAGATGGCGCTGTAGTCTCCTGAATCGCGCTTTGGTTCCGTTGTTCCAGATTAATAAATACTTTTGATAGGCCTTCACAATGCAGTCGTTAGCACCCACAGAATAGAGATTCTATTCTATTTTGTTGGTAGATTTTCTTAATGTGCGGTAAACACAAAAGTAACAGCATGAAGTTGGTCGCTAATTCTTTGTAACATTTCTAGGAAGCAGCGAGTCTCAAGATTACGAAAGCGATCAGACCGTGACCGACAATTCGTATCAAGATGTTTCTACCCAGGACAATGAGACCGAGTCGTCAGGATCGGATGGGGAGGTCACACAGTACCGCAACGAAAGAGGTCAACTTGTCAAAAGGAGGAAGAAAACGAGAAAAGTGACCAAGAAGCTTAGGCACATCGAGGCCATATGTGAGTAGATAACGTATGATTAATAATAAAATCCGTTAAACTGTTGTCACGCTAGGATTTCTATAGTACCTACTGATGTTATTTATTCAACGGGTCACCAATACGAGTGCACCAATTTCCCACCGTAAGTGTCGCCGCACACGGGCCACCGACCGCAACCACAAAACGCCGCCACCGGCATATTTCTTGTAGTTTTCATACATTTTATATGGACTCGCCACACACGGTGCGCCGGTGGCCGCCACACGCTACAAATACATCGTTGCTCGCTTCTTGTGGCCCGCACCGGCCACTTAATGCAACGATACAAAACGCCGCCCTTACCTTGGTCGGCCGCTGTCGCGCGCTTCAGCCACTTTAGTAGCCACTTCTAGCTTCTCGTGGCGTGTGGCCCGTGTGCGGCGACACTTATACATTCCGTGTAAATAAAAGAGATGCATATATTAATATAGTTGTTCACTGAGTGTTAACACTGCCGGCGAGAAATCGCCCCACTATCTAGTTTGTCGCTGATCGACAAGAGCTATCAAAGATAATACTCGTTTAGCGGTGTCGAATAGAGTAAAGATGGCCGGTTTAACCAGACTGATAACAGCAACAATTATATTTCAACGTAAAAAAATTACCTACTTTATACACTTCAATATAGTACTAGTATTATTAATGCTTTCAAAGCTTGGGAATAACTAGTTTTAGATCCTTTTGTTCACTTTTTTATGATGTTATCTTTAATATATAAAATTTTCGTGTCACGGTGTGCGTAATTGAACTACTTAGAAACGGCTCGGCCGATTTTCGTGAAATTTTATATTCAGTAAGTCTGAGAATCGGACAACATGTTTTTCATCCCGCTAAATGTTAACCCTTAAACTGTTATATTTTTTTTTATTTTTATATGATATATCATACAAAAATACATATAACCCTAAGTATTTACCGTTCTACCCCAACCTCTCTTTTTCTATGGTGGTACGAAGTTCTCCGTGACAGCTAGTATGCGTATAAAATTCGACCTACTGTAAAACCTTTTTACAAACTGCGCAATGCAAGAGCGCCATGCGCAATCAGGGTATTTTTATGGTTTTCTGTACCTTTAGTCTAAGAGGAAGTGAAAAAGAGTACCTCTAGTAAAAAATACTAAATGACAACTTATTTCTTTTTACAGCCGAAAGTGTGCAGCATTTCTCCGAATCGCTTAAGAAAGCTTGCGGGGCCAAAGGTACCTAAGTTTGTTTTTAAAATTTCCTTACCTGCATTTTGTTTATAGTCCAAGAAATGAAGCATTTTGGCACTCATTTTTTTCGTCCACCATGGGTTTACTTGAAATTTTTACAAAAGGTAGGGAACAGCTCAAGGATCATTCTCTATATCATGCCGCTGTACGCTAGAACCTTGGGGGTGGTTGCCACCCCATCTCGCGGGTGAAAATTTTTTATTACATTTTAACTGTAGGAATCGACGGAAAAAGTAATTCTAAGAAAAAATGTTATATACGTTTTTTTCGTAAAACCAATATTTTTTTTAGATTTTTGACGAAATAATCGTTTTTTTAAGTGGTTTTTTGCGAATAACTCTAAAAATATACATTTTATCAAAAAAAGTGTAGAATGTCAAATTGTAGCTTTTATAAAAACAAAAACAATGCGTTCTTTATATTTTTTTTATAAGAAATATGAACTAAGATACAGCAAATTAATTCTTAGCTTTTTTCGTCAAATGCATAAATTGGAAGATTTACAGCGAAATAACGAGAAATAATTGCATTATTCGAAGAAAGGTCATAGAAAATTTATTAAAGTATTTAATTAGATTTCAAACAAATAAAAAAAGACAATGTCTCTAGCATGAATATTGACCGACTTATGATCAAAATAAGATTGGTACCCGCGTTTTTCTACGAAAAATATCTGTCAAAACCACTCCTAAAGTACCCCCCAATTAAAATTGATCGCCACTCTTCTGTAATTCTCTTCATTTATGTACTATCAATACACCCACGAAGTCTAACCAATTTAAAATGCACAAATTTTAGAAAAATTGGACTTTAAAGAGAAAACCGTTTATTTTTCAATTTCGCGTTTTTCACCATTCTCTTAAAAATATCTCCCAAAATACTAAAGATACGAAAAAAACGATATAGTACTAAATTGTAGCTTTTTTAATGACAAAAATTTTCCTGTGTTCATATTTTTTGTACAGTGAATATTTGGCGAGATATAGCCTTTTAACACCTACATTTACGATCGAACATCACCTTATTCAAGCGCTTTGAACTCTTTCCATTTAAAAATTAAGGGATCTTTAGTAATTTAATTCACATAGTCTTATAGCTCCTGAAAAGCTCTACAAAATCGTTTCTGAAAAAAAAATCTATTACCTAAAATGAAGGAGCTATGCTTAAAAAATCGATCAATTATTATTTTCGAAAAAAAAATCAATGTTTTTAAGGGTAGTTTTTAACAAGGGTGGGTTGAAAGATTATGAAATTGTATCCTAAAGCATGAAACAATCATTTTTTAACTATTTTTACCCATATTTAGGTTTTTAATTTAATTTTATAATTTTTGATAATAAGGGGTACTTTTCACCCCTAAAAAACAAAAAGCGTATAACGGCACAGTATAGAAAAAAACTAGAGGGTGAAATAAGCATAATCCCAAATTTTTGTATAAATAGAAAGAAAGAAATAAAATACATTTATTTTGACACAAACAACGAGACAGTAGATACAAGATTTTGAGAACAAAAAAATACAAGAAAAAGAAAAATCGGTGTTGGACGAAAAAATTGCGAGGTTTTACCATTTTTTTTAGCTTCATTTCCTATAGTATTATGTTGGTGGCATTTTTGTTATCATGCAGTTCATTCTAGTTAAGAATCCAACATTTATCCGGGATAAATAATAAGCTCCATAAGTACTTGCGTTTTGTAGCTATACACGTTATCTAGAATTTACAATTAGCGGAGTGCAACTTAGTGAAGCCCGTGCTTAACAAATTTATTTTTCATAAAATAACGAAAATGCAAATTTTATTAACAATATTTTTCTTTCCATTTCACAGAAGAAGATGATACAGAAAAAATTCTGTACGCTTTGACCGGCTCAAAAGGTATTTATTATAATTATTATCATTTATGAGGTAAGGTTCCAGGGCTCAACGGGGTAGGTTTAAGAAACCCGTATTTCATAGAAGGATAATTCTTTGAAAAGCGTAATGAAGAATTATTAATAAGATGTATGAAATATCTATGAAAGATGGAAATCGATATGTAATTTACCGTGATATATTTTTTTTAATTTTTATTTTTTTGTGTCCACGAAAGATGCGAAACAAACTTGTCAAAATACGAAAGAAATTCAGCAAAGCATCCTCTTCTAGTTCAATGATGCGGAGAATACACTGCAATTACTGGACACTAGTGCCAATTCTGATTTCGTACGGTTGAAAAAAGATTTGAACATTGTACAATATATGGTGACAAGATTAATTTAAAAGCCAAAAATCACTGTAGAGTCTGTGCGGAAAGAGAATGGGCACAGACTTCTACATGTATTGAGTCAATTAATTTATTAACTTTTATATTTAAACACATGGAGGTTTAATAACATAATTGTTTGTGAACATTTGCATCGTCGTGCACTTGTACAAAGTCAATAGAAGAACAATTTATTTGAATTTCGTTCAAACAAAAGGCAATAAATACCGCTTTTGTTGCAAACCTTTTGTTTGAATACAACATTAATTGTTCACAATTTTCGCAGCTACTAAGAAAAATTGTAAACAATTTGGTACAGATTGAGCCATATTTCACGAGTCCTTTTTATTAAAATAATAATATTATCTTATAAATTACCTGTACCCCTAGAACGAACCAAAATCGAATTCGTATCGTTTGCGAGTCCGAAATGTCATTGTCAAATGTGTACTGATTTTTAGTTCCCGTTACGTCCAAAGTGTTGTTCAAATTTCCATACAAAATTTGACATTGACATTTCGGTTTGCAAACTATTCGAATTCGATAATGGTTCGTGCTAGGGGTACTGTTTATTTCAGTTGGCTGATTTTACACTCTCCTAAAAGTAAAACAACGAATACAAAATAATATTTAATATAAGTTTTATATTTGTTTATAGGTGTATTAATGATTTTATTGGTATTTTGCTAAAGTAAAGTAACTTAAAACTTTATAGGATCTATATCTTGACCTATAAATGATCTGAAAACTTTTTGGTGTCTAAATAGCGGCATATTAAGTTTATTACCAGACTACTTTCAAAAAAGATTATTTTATTATCAGATTACTTATGTACGTTTCGTTCCACCAAAACCTGTAGGTAAAGAAAAACTTGCTTTTTAACACCTGCCACTTTTAAAGAATGCCGTTCTTTTAAAGCATTTATTGTACATTCTTTTAAAAAATATGTCACGATTTTTTTTATATTTTTGACGTGACAACGTCTTAAATTAGGTTGCGGCTGGGAGTCACTTATGAAAAAGTGTAACGCTCGGTAACGTTACGATGAGTTTAAGTTTACATGTACAATGTTTTAGTAAACAAAATATATTTCTATAGTTAAAATTTGTGCAATTCTTATTTTCATTCAATTCCTTGTTCCTATTGTGCAATTTAATTATATTCATATCAATAAATATTCTACCGAGAAAAAGACGTTGTCACGTAAAATCTTCGCCCGTAAAACCGACTTTACAGGCAACCATTTTTTTACTTTCTTTTTCAGATGAAACCACCTCTATTGAATATATGAAGAAAGTCACTGGTATTACTAGTAAGTACCTTATATTTGCATTATATTTGATTTTTATTTGTTTTAAGCACTGACCTACTTAAGTTAAAAAATCTGCACGGGATGCACTCCGGGAGTGATGGCAGAAGTGAAAACTTGAATATTAACGTTGTGCATTTTGCTATTTTGGAATGGTTAGGGAATAATTTTGCACGAATTGCTTTAATTATCAGTATAAAAGTACTATCATTTATGTGGTAGAAAACAATATTTATTTATTGCGTTATCGTACACAAACATGACAATTTATATTACATTAAAAAGTTTATCTCTCAGAAAAATCAACTTACATGAATCACGTTTAAGCGCACTAAGCGACATCTATTGTAAAGAAATCAACTTACATGAATCACATTTAAGCGCACCTAGCGACATCTATTGTAAAAAAATGCATATTCTTCGCAATAAAGCTGCCACGTGGACGTCCTAGATAGAGACTCATTGTTATAATACGGTAAAATAAAATATTACTATGTTTCATCCAATATATTGAAAGTCAACAACCTTTCCAATTTTATTGTGTGTCATGATGCGATCAGCCTACGTTTTCTAACATTTTTTACCCATACAGGTGTACAACGCCGCTATAGAAGTTTTCACTTCAAAAACAAATGTAGATTTAATTAGTCGCATTGGACACTATGTTCCTCATGCTTATCCCTCACCTGCGTGACGAAGCTTCGGGTGGCCTAGGTACTAAAGTCCGCTATAATTATCGTTCAAACTTTGAATTAAGTACGGTCCTTCAGCTGCACATACAATTTTTTCTTTCAGCGTGTTGCACATAAAATTCGAACGCCATGTTTTAAAGCATTACTACCAAAACCACCCGTTAATATAAGTATAGAGTTCTACCCAGAATGGATAGAACCTAGGGGCGTAGACGATAATTGAAAAAATACTGATAGAGATAAATTATTTATTTTATTTTATCATTCAGGCGATTATAAAGAATTTTATCTAAATACGAGAGGAAGTTCTTGGTGCCTGAAGATCTAATCTAGAATGGAACCTTCTATCAAAAGACAGACGATTCCTTATTTCAAATCTTAAAATCATGACATTAACTTTTTTTAATATAACTGCCAACCGTAGGCATTGCAAAAGCAAAGAGTTTACCTAAACAAGGAGGTTATAACGTCAAGGACGTTACATCCCTCCGGCACCTCTAAAAAAAAAAAAATTGTTTTGTCATACCAGATGACCGAACAAAATTTTTTTTTCCTACCTACTACATCGAGAGGGTTCGACAGTCCTATCTAAAATCCCTACCTGCTTAAGGACATAAATACAACTGGGAGGTGGCCTTTACTACAGACTAGCCCTCACAATAAGTTTGCAAAACTTGCAAAAAAAAAAAACTTTACGGGAAAAGAACCCTAACTGTTTGCAAAGTTTTATTGCAAAGACTTTACGGGAGCAAAACCTTAACAAAATCCCTCGCACATCTCCCTCCTAACCTTAACTTTACTTTACTTTACATCGACATCAGTCGGCAAAAACAAAAAAAACAAAGCTAACCCTAGCTATAACTTAAATTACCCAAGCAATTTTTTTTTTTATCCCATCTATCAGCAAAACTTTACCCTATCCCATTTATTAAACCATTAAATATCAAGAAAATTTATATTTTGAAACTTCATTACTTCCCATACTAAGTAGATGTACGAAACGAAATTCAAACTATTTCCTAAGATTCGTAAACATTAACTGGATTTGAGCAAAACCTAAAAGAATTTATAAATAATGTTTACTTTCGTACATCTTTAATAAAGATACAGACGTGATCCACCACTTTATTGTCTTGTACTTTATTAGACACCCATGATGCGCAAACGTAATAGAAATTTTGGGTAAGGACATCTAGCATCAAACAAGATTAAACCCAATTCCCATGGAATACTAAGGGTTCCCTACCCCCAAGTCAAACTACTACAAGTGACGATTTCGACGAACGCGACGCGACCAAATTGAAACGAAAACGACGCGAATTCGTAGAGGGTGTCTCCATCATCTTCAGGGTGGATCATCGTCAGTATCGCTGACGTCTGCATGAGCGCCAGCCTGCTCTCTCTCGGGAAGTCCGCATCATGTGGTAGTACATAAAACAATCAAGAAAATATTAGTAAAATTCTTTACACCATTTTTCTTCAGTCGGGTAAGTTAATATTCAAGAAAACATTTATGATAAATCTTTATAGCCTCTTTTCCATAGTTGGATAAATTTTCAAAGTATAACATTATTATTCATTTATTTATTTTTTTAACCTTACAGGGAATCGAACCCGTTTCCTTTTTTATAATAAGGGAATTTTCTTTATGGACCTATATTATCCTATTATACATTATTAACTATATATATTCTATCCTAATACTGAATTAATCCTATCAATGATCATATTCAAAGTCAATTGAATAATTCCAAGTTGAACAGAGAATCGAACCTGTTACCTATCATGCTTATGGTTATTACCATATCTATAATCCACCTACTCAACAAATTACACTAAAGCTACCAATTAAAAGAAATGAAAATACTTTAATGAGACTACCTATTGATCTGTCATAAACAAAATGTGTAAAAGTTCCTTATAATATGTGTATTGAAAAAAATTTCTAATAAAATGACAAAGTTTATATTTAATATACTTTTGGAATAAAATTCTAAAATGACTATTGTATTGAACCTTATTTACATACCACCATTGCTTTAAAACATTTATATAAACAATAAACTGAAATAAAATCTCATTAGTAACACAATATTATAATACTATCAACCTATTCGGCATAATATAAATTTTCATCATACACCGAATTATCACTATTCCTTTCATTATTCATTTTTATATATTGTCTTTTAAACTTGCACTTAATATGTTTGATTATTAATTGTTCATTATAAAAGTCTACTATCGCATTATTTCGAAGTAAGAAATCCTGTCCTAAGATGAGATTATGCCTAATATTTTCTACCACAAGAAAATCGTGAATGAATAACACATTGTCTATCAATAATTTAAGGTTAACTTTCCCTATAACAGACAATTCTTTACCATCGACAGCTTTCAACTTCATATCGCTTTCATCAATTCGTTGATGAATTCTATTAACTGTGTCCTTCGACACCACAGACACTGCAGCACCACTATCAATGAGCCCTACAAACTTCTTATCACGACACGTTATTTTAATTAATGGTTTGGACTCACTTGTATGCTGATTGTTGTTTTCTGACGGTTGGGAATGAAAATCTTGTCCATCAGCCATCGTCATAACATTTTCTTCATAAAAAATTTTCTTTGGATGCTTCTTCTTCTTTGATTTATACTTCTTTTTGTTCGTGTTACTGGAACAAAAAGTGCGGGGAATCATGTGTTCGGGAGGGACAATGGGATGAGAAGGGACACTTTGGGAGGAAATGAAGTTGATTTCCTTCTCTTGTTCTTCTTCATGCCTTAATATAGGCGAAATTTTCGCCGCTTCGAAGTTTGTCATTGGTGTAACAAACGATGGTTGGATCGGCAAATTCCAACAAATTTCGGCACTCTCGTCTCCGAAAATATCCTGTGCTTGACGTAAAATATTTTTTAAATGTGTTTTATCACTATATAACTGAAATGCGAAAAGATTTTTTGTATTCAAATTCGCATTTTTCAAGAACTGTCTAATGAAGCATTTGTCATCGATGACAGCTCCCGCTTTTGTGGCCAGCTCATCCAATACATAAAAAAAGGTCAATGGCTCTTCTGACAAGCCTTGTCTTCGTGAGAAAAATTTTTCCAACGCATTTATCGATGATGGAAATTCATCACAAATTTTCTTTTCTAGAATCTGAAAATTCTCACAAGACTCATTAATATTTTTATAAAATAACAATGCAGGTCCACTTAAATATGCCGACAACACAACTCTTTTTGTATCCTCGTTGAAATTATTGATGGCGGCGATGATATTAAATTGACGAAAGAAATCGGTTACATCACCTTTTCCGTCGAATGTGGTCCTGGTCTCCATCTTCATAAAACTACTTCTTTCTTGATTTAAAATTATTTTTCACTCGCGGTACTTGAAGCTAACGCGGCGCGTCCACCATATAGAGTTCTACCCAGAATGGATAGAACCTAGGGGCGTAGACGATAATTGAAAAAATACTGATAGAGATAAATTATTTATTTTATTTTATCATTCAGGCGATTATAAAGAATTTTATCTAAATACGAGAGGAAGTTCTTGGTGCCTGAAGATCTAATCTAGAATGGAACCTTCTATCAAAAGACAGACGATTCCTTATTTCAAATCTTAAAATCATGACATTAACTTTTTTTAATATAACTGCCAACCGTAGGCATTGCAAAAGCAAAGAGTTTACCTAAACAAGGAGGTTATAACGTCAAGGACGTTACAATAAGTATATACTAGGGCTTATTTTTAACTATTGTTTTAAACTTTCATGGTCACTAACATTATAGCTATTAACGGGATTGTTACCATGTACCTTGTTTTTTATGAGTCTCAAGCAAGCGCCATGATCACGGAGTAACTGAAGTAATTGCGGGTAGATGTTATTGGCAGACATATCGGTCTACCCTCTGACGTTAGTGAAATATCGGAGACTCATAAAAAAACAAGGTACATGGTAACAATCCCGTTAATAGCTATAATTATTTTGAACTTTCTTCCAACCGAGTGTTCCATGGCACTAACATTTGCTTTTCTTTATAAATAGTTACAGTAATATTATCTTCATTTTTTCTACAGCCGTTGAGTCAATTCACGAGTTCATCAGTCGCATAAGCGGCAGCAGGAGAATTGAAGAAATCATCGAGTTCTTTGTGTTGTTCCAAGGTTCCTCAGGTGAGTAAGCTACCCTTAGAATGAAAGTGACTTAACTGAAAAGGACAATTTTAAAATTTTCCTAAGAACCAACACCAATTTGGCATTTATGATAATTCTTAGTACACTTTTTGCGATAATTATCAGTATTTAGATTGTGACAGACACTTCCAGTTAAGTAAGCTAAATTAAAAAGTTAAAAAAATAATCTGAGACTATAAATACCATTTTATGTGTATACACATGACAGCGCTGCAAACAAAACACTCTTTCTTCCTAATGCCGGCACTTCACTTGGCTATTCGTATTTGCTATTTTAAAACATGACATCAGTCTGTCCTTTTCATTCCTTATAAAGCATGACAAGGACAAACTGTTGTCAAGTGAAGGGCCGGCATAAAATTCGATACTCTGTGGTTGTGGTGCAGGCAGTTTGCATTCGTAGTAATCTGTGGCATTCATTTATTTATTTATACTTTATTGCAAAAAAAAACAGCAAATGGCGGACCTAGAAAATAATATTTCATGATTGTTGGTTCTTAGGCTAACTATGTATGGACGCAGAACAATGTCCTTTTCGTGATTTCTGACTGCTAGAAACTGGCCTTAAAGGGCTCTGCAATTCTGTGGCGAAAAAGGAGAATAAACCGACTTTTTGAAGAGAAACTTCTTTTAGGCCGGGGTGTAAATGGAAAAAAAACCTATCGAAAAGATGAAACCAAAATGTCACACCACTATATATATACACCGTGTTCCTGAGGATATACATTAACTTTGAATAATACTTCTATAGCTCTTGTTAAACATATCGTACAAGGAAAGTAGTAGTTTAAAGGGCATAGCTTTTAAGTTATTGGTAATTTAAGTTTAACCAACTTAATTGTGTTGTGCAGTGAGAAAGAATCTTTATCTGTGAGATGTTGCCACTTTGTGCAACCAAAACTATCAAACTATCAACTCTTCATTCAGTCATAGTTTCAAAAGTCAAAATTTTAAAAAACATCAACGAAAAGTTTATGTGGACATGTGAATCAAAGTTTCAAATGCGACATTGCCAGCTCAGGTAAAGAGTAATTCATATTAGATAAATTGCATCTAAGCATTTAGTTTTTATGAAAATAAAAAATGTTAAAGAAATTGGAATTCATAAAAGTGTCCATAGTATAAAATGATCAATTTAATAGTCTGAATAACATGCCAAAGTTAGTGTATAACCTCAGAAACACGGTGTATATATATATATATCAATCAAAAAAATCAATCGGTGTATATATATATATATATACAGTGTAAGACATAAGTGTTGAGGAGCTCGATGGCGCAACTGGTTAGCGCGTTCGGCTGCGATCGTTGAAGTTAAGCAACTTTCGCAGTGGTCGGTCATTGGATGGGTGACCAAAAATTTACTATCTCGAGCTCCTCCGTGCTTCGTAAGGCACGTTAAGCCGTTGGTCCCGGTTGCATCTGCAGTCGTTAGCACCCACCAATCCGCACTGGGCCCGCGTGGTGGGTCATGGCCCAATCTCCCTATTCCATCCATAGGGAAGGCCTGTGCCCCAGCAGTGGGGACATTAATAGGCTGATGATGATGATACAGTGTAAACTCCATTTAACGTCACTCGATTTAACGACAAACTCCCTAAAGCTTCGAAAACACTCGTCTTTGGTTGGATTAGTTTGTTTTCCATACAATAATACACTCCATATAGCATTACACCCACTCTCAATAAGGTCCACAATTAAGTAATAAAAAGTACCTTTTAAGTTGCTAAAATTTGTGAAAATCGCGCACCTGTGTACGTTCTTTTGTCGCTTTATTATCCTAGCCCGTAATAAACTCGACTGCCGGTATCATGCAAACCAAACTTTCTAAGAAATTCTTTTTTTTTGTTTACAAATTGGGATTGCACAGGTAGACTGTTGTTGACCATGACTAAAAAAAATATAATACAACAAAATTACTGGTGCAGCAAAAGACGTCAGACAAAAATAACAGAATATACGCAATAGTTTTTCAAATAAGATTATTTTTTATGTACATAACTACTAGCTTGAAATGAACATTTTCTTTTCATAATTCTGATTTTTCTTCATTCCATAAAACGACAACTCTCTATCTAATATACATATAAAATTCTCGTGTCGCGGTGTTTGTGGTTAAACTCCTCCGAAACGGTTTTCCCGATTCCCATGAAATTTTGTGTGCATATTGGATAGGTCTGAGAATCGGACAACATTTATTTTACATCCCCCTAAATGTTTAGGGTAATCCACCCCTAAATTTTTTTTTTTAATTTCAGATTCTTTTCTTTTTAATTTTTTTATGATACGTCATACAAAAATACATACAACCCTAAATTTTCACCCTTCTACCACCAACTCCTATTTTTTGATGGCGGTACGAAGTTCGCTGGCTCAGCTAGTAATGTTATAAAATGTACAGTCCCTTTAGTGTCGTTACATAGAGTTTACACTGTGTATATACCTGTGTGTGTGTGTGTGTGTGTGGGATGCATGCGCAGCTCTTCCCGACGAGCACGAAAGTTAGAGGGTAACTCGGCGAAGGCTCAAACGCTACGATCGTCACGAGCGTCGCACACGATAATATACATATATACCTAGTCAGGTCATAAATTCTGTCACATGTTTAATATAAAATAATTGAAACAAGTTTATTCATTATGTAACCATTTATATACTAAAATGAACTTAACAAAACATAGATTCTAATGACAATAAAGTTTATTCAAAATGACCTCTGTGATTTTGAATACAGACCTTCAATCTGCGCGGCCAGTCGTCTATCGCAGCACGAACGAGGTCCATGTCAATACGAACACTTCTTGACCTGTCATCTACAGAGTAGAGTAGAGAGTCTTTATTGTATCATTTGATGGTACGATAAACGAATCTTTTGGTTATATTCAAAATTTTCAGTATGTCAATAATTTGAATTGGCGCGTAACCGAAACGATGCAACGCAATAACTGCAACACGGTCTTCTTTAAGCGTCCACTCCATATTTAAAAATGAGTAAAATTCTAAAATGTATACATTTTTATTTTCATGAACAATTCGAAATTCGAATTCAATAAACTTTTTTGTGGCCAGCATTCTAAAAGAAAAGTTTTTACTGTTTGACAATACTTATGACCTGACTGTGTACAGAGTGTAAAAAACCTTTAAAGAAGTCGAAGGCCACGTGTTTTCCACATCACGACGATCATTTTTTTGTTCAGGACCATACCTGGGAAATTTATGGTTATGGAGATATTGAAGATCAAAGTCACATTTTTGTTTTTCAAAATTTTTACATCAATATTTTCAAAACGTTATCTAGAAACTTTTTTATCGACACAATAAAAACACATACACACAGGCAAATTCTTTGCGTTGCGCCACAGTAGCGCGGCGCGCTATACATTGCGTACTTAAAAAAAAAAGTTTTTTTTCAACTTTATTACTATATATTTCACACGTATAATATTTTGTGATATTACTTGTTTGGGTGTACAGAATGCGTAGTTTTTAATATTAGTTATTGATGTTGTTTTAAAAGTATAAAGGGATTTATAGAAATTCAAAAACCTATGTTTTTTTAATATTTTAGGGAGTATTTTACCAACTTTTGAGTAAATTAAATTTTGTTTAGCAGTGCAAACTTTGATTTGACCCCAAATTTAAGTTAACTTTTTAGTGGCTGACTGCTATCCCTTGTAAACTTAAACAACTCAAAAAACGACAAATTACATTAAAATACCTTATTTTTCTGTTTCAGACGTGAGCAATATTGTCTTTGTATTGAAGATAATGACCAACGAAATAGGTAAGTGTGAAATTCTTTTTCGTAAGCAAGTAATATTATATGTTTATTTAATAAAATATTTATTTAAATATATATTATAAATAAGTCAATATGTTATTTCTTTTTCAACAAATCGATCCGTTTTCAAATATAGTAAATGTAAAAAAAATAAATAATATCTTCATATTAAGTAGACAGAATACGTATATAGGATAAGGATTACTTACGTTTTCAAGCTTGTTTACGAATTCTTTTTTATTTCGCAGATTGCTTCAAGGCATTCGATATTATCCAGATAATGACTGGACACAATGATATCGATGGTGTCATTGAAATCTTACAAAACATCACTGGAGAAAAGGGTATGTGTAAATAAATAGGAATTGATTTTAGATTAACTTGATATAGGTTACAAACCTGGTGAATATGAAATACATCGTACATATAGCAAGAGACGCCTGACATTTGAAAGTTATTCTTGACATTTGGACACTTTTTTTTTAAATTAAATATGTTACCGACTTTTAAAATCCTTCAACCTTTATTGAACCTTAATGATTGGGTTTTAAGCATAAAATCTATGACAGAAGTATAGTTTTTTGTACGAATATGTATCTCCCTTAAAATATTGAATCAAAAGCAGCGAAATTGTTACCATAAAATTTACGTAACTTGTAACACAATAGGCACTTGCAGAAAAAAGTAGGTAAATGCAATTAATGACATTTTTTAAGTAATAAAAAGAAACTTCCATTCATTCATAGTAAATAATTAATTTCAACAGATCTGAATGGTCTGGCACACTTCTTCCGCCACATCTCCAAGACTAATGGTAAGTCATAATTTTATATTTATTATAGTTGTTTTTTGTTAGAGAATACTCCTGTATGATAAAGGTAATCGGAGAAGACCTAGCTCTAGAATCTCAAAGCCAAATGGGCTAGTAGCTGAGATGCCATCCACCTAAAATATAACTAGAGGCACTCGCTAATTCCAATTTTGAGATCGCCTAAGGATCTCGCCGCCGTCTCAGTGATTCTATAAGGCATTGTCCTAATACAACGAGATAACGCGAATGAGCGATGCGATCATCGTACGAGTCGACGATCAAACATATTGATCTAGAATAGGTGTCCTAATAGGCTAATGCGCGATGCATTCGCGCGACTAAAATGTTTAAAAATCTATTCGCGGGAACATAGTTCGCGCGAACGCGCAATCAAACCTATTAATGATGAATAAATGTCCTAACTGAAGTTCGCCCGATGATCGCGTCGCGTCGATAGGAAGCGGGGAGAGGGGCAGGGCTAACCCGACCAAACTGTGTGTCAATCGTGATCGCGTATTCGCGTTCTATTAGGACACCCAGTTCGCGATCACGGTCGCATCGTTTAAACGCGCGATGATCGCGTTATCGCGTTGTATTAGGATAATGCCTTAAGGTCATATGCGAGTACGCGACCAAAAGTATAAGTCGCTAAAAGATTTCCAATAAGACACATCTAAATGCATACATAGCGGCTTACCTAAAATACGAAGAGCTGGCGCTGCCTTGCAGCATAAGTTTTAGAAAAAATCCGATACAGTCATTGAGGTGTCAGTTATTGCATCTGACAGGGTAGCGGAAGGCGCAATTTCGAATCCTGTTTGGTGATTTATCGTCATCATCATCATCATCAGCCTATTAATGTCCCCACTGCTGGGGCACAGGCCTTCCCTATGGATGGAATAGGGAGATTGGGCCATGACCCACCACGCGGGCCCAGTGCGGATTGGTGGGTGCTAACGACTGCAAATGCAGCCGGGACCAACGGCTTAATGTGCCTTCCGAAGCACGGAGGAGCTCGAGATAGTAAATTTTTGGTCACCCATCCAACGACCGACCACTGCGAAAGTTGCTTAACTTCAACTATCGCAGCCGAACGCGCTAGCCACCTGCGCCATCGAGCTGCTCAAATTTGGTGATTGAAACGAGTGATTTTTTTTAGTTGAAAATTTCTGTACAATTATTATCAAGCAGTTAAAAGCTATAAAAATATAATGTAAGGCATAAATTTCGGTAATAAAGAATCATTGAAATAAACTGTATTTGAAAATAGTTGAATATTTCTTGGGGCAGGTCTCGATGGATTAGAACGTTACATCAAGAAGATCACCGGAGGAGTTGGTTCCGAAGACTTCCCCGCTGTCTACGAGGCCTTGAGCGTAGAACTTGGTGAGTAGACTTTAATAGACTTAGGCCCGTATTATAGAAAGATTCTCAGTGATTGGTCTAATCTTGAGCATAGTTAGAAAGGGATGTCGCTATATATAACACATAGCGACATCCCTTTCTAACTGTACTCAAGTAAAGATCAAGACTTAGTTGTCATTCTGTAATACGGGCCGAGAGCACTAATTATTTTTTTATTATTTATTAGAAAGTTCTTTAGTAGAAAATTCTTTTCTCCATACAACTCTGCCCAATTTTGTACCTCAAGTGTTATCATGCATTTATGTGTAGAATAATAAGTGGAATTCATCAAAAATTAATTGTAAAACATAAAAAAGTCATACAAACATCTAAATTAATGGTGTTGCCATTGCCAGATTTAAATTAATGGCAACACAGATAATATATTAAGGTAAATGTGTAAATAACAATTAGCTACGAAAATCACGTGAATTTTGATACAACCAATCAAAGAAAAGAATTTAAACCAATAGTTTGTCAGTTGTCATCTGTCAGCCAATGACTAATTGTTTATAAGTCATAACGTTTCTTTATTACGCAGATTTTAATTCAGATTTTTTATAAAATTATGATTTAATTATGAAAATGTTAATTTAGGGGATAGTGTGTTTTAGAATCGTCTTGACGATTCCTAAAGAAAAGCCCGTAATAATAGTACATAATTTGTGTTGTTTTTAATTATATCTAGTTTAAGGATTCTACTTAAAGTAGGGAATGTACCCAAATAAGAATATTGATATTCAATGTACATATTATAAACCTTATTTCTTGTTTCCAGATGTGAGGACAACTTTGAAAATCCTTATTAACTGCACCAGAACAAACGGTAATGATTCACAAAAAAAATATTTATTTATTTATACTATAAGGACAAAAGCACAATGATGAGAACTTAATTGCCGTAAGCATTCTCTAACAGTCAAGTCAACACACGACACGTCGTCAATAACACGGTAATATACTATACAGTATTGTGACTCGGCCCTGTCCTTGAAATAACTGCCTACGGCCGAGCGGGGCGATTACGCGGTACCTACAGTATTTTAATTTCATCTACATAATTGAGTTTCTTTCTAGTTTTGTGATAGAAAATATTTTATTTCACATGTAAAAAAAAATGTTGTAAATGAATTGGGAAGTGTTACATAAAATACATGTTAATTTAAGTGTAACATTTAATAAATATATATATGAGACAGAAAAATTTTTACGCCTCGACTGAGACGTACGAAAAGCTTTATTGTTAAATTTAATAGTATAATAAATACGCATTCGTATAAAATGTTTAATTAATGAAGAGTTCAAGCAACCAAACAGCACAATACCGACTATTGCTCTTTGCCATATTAAATTATGTAGGTATCTACTTAATTCAATGAAATATAACACAATACGTTCTAACTGCTTAAAAAACAATTCACATTGTTCGGTCGTCGCTGCGGCGCATTCGCGACTGGATGCCCACCGGGTGCCGCGCGAACTCGAGTGGCGTAGGTATGACACGCTTTCCGTCCGTTTGTATGAAGATAGAATACTGTATTGATAATATTACCGTGTATCAATAATACACAAAATTAGTCTTTACCCCGTATTAAAAAATTAACCCTTAACTCAGATTACAGAACTGTAACCTTGGGGCTGCTTCTCAAGCACCGAATACAACTTATACGTTATCGTATTAAAAGCTTCAAAATGAATAAAGAGATTTTCATTTTATATTTATTTGGGAAACAAACAATGAATTAATACTTATACCTAGATCTAATTAACAAAACATACATCAGTAAAGTTTCCACTATAATATAAAACAAGGAGTTCAGATAGTTAAAATCGAGAATGAAAGAAAAAACGTTAACAATTTTACCAATAAAAGAAATGTTATAAGTTTTGTAGGTTACAATTAATAATTATGAACTACTTCTAATAAAAAGAGTGGTCTTCACTTGTCGATCTTATTAGTTTTCGATGACGCCGTAAGTTTTATCCCAGTACCCTTAGTACGAGTTTGAGCTCACGAAAACTATCATAGTTTTCGTAACTGTAAATTATGTTTCTATGTCCATTTTGGCGAAAATTAACCCATTATACTTAACTTAAATTAACGAAGATGCAAATGATTTAATGATAGAATTTAAACACTGTTTATTTGTATTGAAAGGAAAACAATAAAATCAGTACCCTTAGTAAGAGTGCGAGCTCACGAAAACTGTCATAGTTTTCGTAATTGTAAAAGTCGTACTAAGGGCACAGAATTGAGAAATCGACTCTTGAATATAATTATAACATATTTTTCTTTTCCATAAACTAAATGTTTCTTTTTCCTTTTCCGCCCACAGATATTGGTGAAGCAATCGTTGTGTTCATTAAGATCTTGAAATGCAAGAGTTTTTCTGAAAGTATCAGGATCATGAAGAAGGCCACCGGGCAATCTCGTAAGCGTTTTTTCTCAAATGTCCTTATTTCAAAATTCAAAACTTTATTTATTTTTAATAAAAAAACATATACCTATATCTTAAAGACATTTTTGTACTCTCTTATGTGAAATGTGTTTTTATTTTTCTGCAGTCCATTTGATTTTTTTTTTCTAGCTCCTGGCTCTTGGAATATTTTTGTTAAATTTTACCACATGTTTCAGTATGTTCAAACTTACAATATTTCTTCTTTTCGCAGAACTCAAATACTCTTTGGAAGAAATGACTCAAGTCACACACATACCAAGTAAGTTGAATATCCTTTTAAGTATAATATCGAGTTGTGCCTAATTCAGACGCCCAGCTTAAATTTTCATCTTCCCTTCAATGTAGACTTAAGTTATTAATCTCGAGCTAGAATACATAAATACCTTTCGTAAAAATTATCTAACCGTCAATGAAAACCGCATGGAAATCCATTCAGTAGGTTTTGAAATCATCGCGAACATGCCGCCCGTTTAGAATGAAAGTGACCTAAGCCTAAGAAAATATATCGGTCTCATTTACTTCACATGGTTGTAGATTCGTCTTTAAAAGTATACTTTGTAGCAAAATCAGAAAAAAAATAGTTGCCACTTTAAACTTTCCTCCACCACGACACGGCTGCCCAAAAAAAGGAGTGCGATTCTTTATTCCACCGTAACTTCTAAACGCCTGCTTCGATTTAGATGTGTGTGGTATGGTTAGAATCCTTTCATCTTACTGTACCCTTAGTACGAGTTTGAGCTCACGAAAACTATCATAGTTTTCGTAACTGTAAATTATATTTCTATGTCCACTTTGGTGAAAATTAACCCAATATACTTAAAATTAACGAATATGCAAATGATTTAATGATAGAATTTAAACACTGTTTATTTGTATTGAAAGGAAAACAATAAAATCAGTACCCTTAGTACGAGTGCGAGCTCACGAAAACTGTCATAGTTTTCGTAATTATAAAACTCGTACTAAGGGTACTGGTCAACCAGTAAGAAATTTTACACAATTTTACGCTGCACGGCAGCGCGGCAATTCAGGTGTCCTATGTTGACATAGGACACCTGAATTGCCGCGCTGCCGTGCAGCTTAAGGCTAGGAAAATTTCGACGCGGCGAATAGGGCCGTGGTAGCATAATGGTCAGTGCATTCGCCCGGATAGCGAAGGAGGCGGGTTCGAGTCCCGTCCGCTGCCTGGTCCGCGTGGATTTTTTTCTAGCAAACTTTTCTTTAGATTTAGACATCTAGCAGTTAAATGCTTAAAAATAAATAAAAACGTAACAACAACAATGTTAAACTGTCAATTGCTACAGAAAATAACCCATGGATTTTTTTCTTCTGCAGGTCTTATAGTGATATTGGAAAAACTCTACCTTATGACTGGCCGTGACTCCTTGGAGCAATGCCAGCAAGTTTTCAAGGAGGTCTTCCAGGCTGAGAGTGAGTGTTATGAGAAAAAAACATATTTTTCAGAAAAAATATATTTTTTAATCAATCATCAAAATCATTTATTCAGTTTAGGCTGTTACAAGCACATATGAATGTCTAGAAGCTACGCCATCGGTTCGTAAATCTACGGCGGGAGACCTTGTACTGAGAAGAACCGGCAAGAAACTCAGCAAGGGCTGATATAATGAACTACAATTGCTATTACTTCTTGTAAATGTTTAAAATTTGTAAAGGTATTGCGTTTGACATTGTGGTTACGTACAATGCGAAGAGATGGCTCTCCCTTGGAATCTAAAAGTACGAGGTGAAATTGGACACGGCCATTAAGGCCCTGTTGTAGTAATGGTTAGCCCGCCGTGGATGACGCGGGTTCGAATCCCGTCTGAAACCTGGACCAAGTGATTTTTTTTCTAGTAAAAAATTTCTTTAGTAAACATCTAGAAAATTAATGTTTAAAATAAAAATATAATGACGACCTCGATCAATGTGTGATGAATGGTTCTAATCCCGTTTAAGAAAATGTTATTATGATGAATACTTCGTACCGCCATAAAAAATTGGGGTTGGTAATAATAATAATAATAATTGAATTTATTTGCCAAAATACATGGTGGTAGAAGAGTGAAAATTTAGGGTTAAAAAAAAATCTAAAATTGCAAAAAAAAATTTATTTAGGTGTAGATTACCCTTAAAATTTAGGGGGATGAAAAATAGATGTTGTCCGATTCTCAGACCTACCCAACATGCACACAAAATTTCATGAGAATCGGGAAAGCCGTTTCGGAAGAGTTTAACCACAAACACCGCGACACGAGAATTTTATATATAAGATTTATAGATAACATATACTTATCTTTATGTAACAGTATATGTACAGTATCGTCATCTAAAGGTTAGGGAGTATTCTATACTCGGAACTACGACCTCCGTGGCGGAGCGGTTTGTAGGCCGGGGTTCATGGTGTCACCGACTCGAGAAGTCCTGGGTTCGAATCCCGGTGGGGTAATGTTTGTGTGATGAATACGAGCATTTGTACTTCAGTCATGGATGTTATATATATTTCTATTTAAATATACTTATATATGTATCAGTGATGTATTCTATCCGTTACCCTAGTATCCCGTAACACAAGCCTTTCAGTGCTTACTTTGGGGCTAGGCTAATTGGTGCGAGTGTTTGAAAAATAAAAATACAAAATCATCATCATCATCAGCCTATTAATGTCCCCACTGCTGGGGTACAGGCCTTCCCTATGGATGGAATAGGGAGATTGGGCCATGACCCACCACGCGGGTCCAGTGCGGATTGGTGGGTATTAACGACTGCAGATGCAGCCGGGACCAACGGCTTAACGTGCCTTCCGAAGCACGGAGGAGCTCGAGATAGTAAATTTTTGGTCACCCATCCAATGACCGACCACTGCGAAGGTTGCTTAACTTCAACGATCGCAGTCGAACGCGCTAACCACTTGCGCCATCGAGCTCCTCTAAAAAAATACAAAATAAAATTAATTATTATTTTATTTATAATGACGCTAATTATAATTTTTCTCCACAGCCATCGTGGAAGTCATCCACAAGATCAACAAGGTGACGAAACGAAAGGACGCCATCACTGTTTTGAACTCGTTGCTCGAGTTAACGAAGACCACCAGGATCCAAGACGTGTACACAGTACTCAAGAAATTGGTCTGCAAGCATTCATGTGAGGATTACGCAGGACTAGAGCTACAAGAGAGATAAAGCATAGCGGATATTGCGCCAAGAGCGGATCTAGGGGGGGGGGGGGGGTCATGGGGGTCATGACCCCCCCTGGGCAGGGTACAGATGGACCAAACCCAGGGGGATTTTATTTAAGTACTTTCAATATTTAATATACCACGACTATATGACCCCCCCCCCCCTGGCGCCAAAGCTGGCTATATGACCCCCCCTGGCGCCAAAGCTGGCTATATGACCCCCTCCCCTGGCGCCAAAGCTGGCTATATGACCCCCTCCCCTGGCGCCAAAGCTGGCTATATGACCCCCCCCTGGCGCCAAAGCTGGATCCGCCCTTGTATTGCGCATGTTTTTTTTTCACGAATACAAATTTCAAAACTATTAGAGTCTTTGCGGAAAGAGAATCGGATTTAGATTGGAGGGCGCTGTAGTGCTTTTCTACCGTATATGTAAGGTTTTGCCCCGTTTAGATATGATTAAATACAAAAAACAGCAAGAAAACACAACAACAAACAAATCCGTATCAATATAAAACTTTGACGTTTTACAGATTGCTGTTCCGTTTTTCGCCACGCCCATTCTCTTTCCGCACAGACTCTAAAAAAGTTTTTGTTAAAGATGAAAATCGTCGAATTCCCCGTTTGGTTTATGTGTGTTTAAAGTATAAACTCAGTTAACAGAGCGCATTTAAAGCATGTTCATTTTTGAAAGCAATAATTATGCATGAAATGAAATCAAACAACGCGAGTACATAACTCAATAACAACGCGAGTACATAACTCAATAACAACGCGAGTACATAACTCAATAACAACGCGAGTACATAACTCAATAATACATATATTTTCAAAGAAAAAAAACATAAAAGCAACAAAATTTTGAAACAGAAACACCGGTCCTAAGTTTTTTACATATTTTTTTAAATGGCGACAAAAAAATGTTGTTTTTTTTTTACCGATTAGTCTCGTTTGCACCGTTAATGAGGCAATGATTAAGTTAAACGCTTCTGTTTGCAGCTCTCAGTTTCCTGGACATCTTGCAACAGATCAGGATTAAATCAGGATGTGAAGATGTCATTGATTTCTTCAGGAAACTTATCAAATATACTGGGACCAAGAGTAAGTGGCTTAGCATATAGTTATTAGAAGTAAACTAGCAAACCAGTGAAACGTGTTCACCAAAAAAAAAAAAAAAAACAAAAAAAATGTATTTAATTAATTGAGATCTTTGGAGATTTTGTGTGGTTTCGTTTGAAATAGAAATCACGTGATTTCTCGAAAACCGGAAGTGCTACGTTACTCACATCCGGTTTGTAGTCTTATCAGACTATTCTTAACTTATAACTTAAACATTCTCTATATCTATCTCTTACGGTTTGGCCGCTGAAACAGCACCACGGACGGACGGACGGACTTGTCTAATAGATAAGAGATTGTTATTTTCACATATTTCTATTTTATTGAATATTTTTTTTTTACTTAACCTACCACTGCCATTTTGTTTACAGCATTGCAACAAGCTTGGGTAATTATAGTGAAAATGACACAAACTGAAGGTGAGTTTTATTAATAATCATTTATGAGCCCTTTCACATTTTTTGCAAAAAATCGTAATATTTGAGCGCCTTGTTTACCCCCTTAGAAAAGATTTTGACTATTTCCAATAGAAGTAAACAATAGATTTATCATTCCTTTTGTAAGTTAATTAGAATATTTGCAAATACTATTTTTATAAGAGCCATTTCACATTTTTTGCAAAAAATCGTAGTTTTTGAGCGCCTTGTTTACCCCCTTAGAAAAGATTTTGACTATTTCCAATAGAAGTAAACAGTAGATTTATTCTTCTTATTGTAAGTTAATGTAGAATATTTACAAATACTATTTTCCTTTTTTTGTACTAATCGTTCTACTGCAGCTAGTTTACGGAAAACACGATAATATGTACAACTTCAAACGCCTCAATCTCTCAATTAATGTTCAATAAATTAGATCAAATAAATTACTGCGATATCAGAAATATGTTTTTGTTGTAACATAATGTATTAGAATTTTGATTTTCCATTTCATTAATTGTCAAAAAAAACATTTAACCTCCGTGAGATTTCCCAAAAACTAATGCAGGTTCTCCTCGTATTTTGATATTGAATTAAATAGAATTACTATCAAAACTTTCATAAAACTAATCTACCATCATTGAACTACTGAAATATGTATCTATTTTTATAATAAGTTCATTAATAATTATTTTATAAGACTCGAAACATCACCCGTAACATGCAATATATACTAGTGCAAATCTACATACGCGCCGATCAGTACGGCAGCGGCGCAATTTTGTAAAAGGGCTCTTAAGTACCTACTAAGTTACAAGCATCATGAAAAGATTATTATTTATGAACTAGAAATTAAACTTGTTGAAGTATGATACAGACGGCTTTAGAACATTTTTTCAAAAAATGTTTCCGCCGAATATTTGAAAACAGAATTTGAATTTTCGCTTGTTTTTATTAATGTACGCAACAGAATTTTATATATATCCTTTTTTTATGCAGTCACTAATAAATAACATTATGAAAGTTTTCAAAAACTTATCAAATAGTCTATTGTTCAGAACTAAAATTAGTAAAGTAAATACTTTAATCAAATAAAACTAGTTTTAACGGGTTAATACACGAAACTTTATTTATTTATTAACGTTTCGGAGCCTTTTCAGGCTGTTTCGTCAGAATGATTTTTTATTTAATTTTGTCGAGCTACCTTCGAGAGACTTTTATTGTAACAAATACTTTAATCAATTTCATTAATCTTTATTTCTGTTTCTTTCTAGATATTATTGACCTGATCACTATTATGAGGAAGTTCACCAAAGTGGATATGTGCTCGTTCATAGAGGTTGTGATCAGAATCACGAACACAACCACATTTGAGGAGGCAGTGTATAAAATTGTTAAAATTACTAAGACAAAACGTAAGTATCCTAATTAAACTTATAATTATAAAAATAAATAAACTAGCGGTCACCCCCACGACTTCATCTGGGTGAAAAAAAAATGTTTTCCCATACTGACTTCCCCTTTTTCACCCCCTTTAAAGCTGATTTCTGGGATAAAAGCTTGTAACTGCTTGATGTTTAAATCTAAAGAAAATATAACTAGAAAAAAATCCACTCGGACCGTCCGTGAGGGCCGCGGTAGCATAATTGGTCAGTGCATTCGCCCGGATTGCGAAGGGTACGGGTTCGAGTCCCGTCTGCTGCCTGGTCCGCGTGGAATTTTGTCTAGTTATATTTTCTTTAGATTTAAACATCAAGCAGTTACATGCTTTAAAATAATAAAAATTATAACTAAATAATAAGTTAATATAACCAACCCTATGAACATACACGAGTCCTATGAGTATTGAATAGTTACACACTTAATTTACAATAATATTACCATTTTTTTCAATTTGTGCCTCCGTCATTTTTATATTATGTTTCTTTCGGCAGATATCGTCCAATGCATGGAGATGATCCACGAAGTCATTAAAATTGGTGAGAATAACAATATTTCTTCGTACATAAAACATAATAATTTTTATAACAACTTCTTGAACAACAACCTTAGACAGGGAAGCTTAATTTTCACCATAACTTTTGCCATGAAATCAGGATCTAAAGAGAAAACAAAGTCTCACTAGATCCATCATGGATCTAGCTAATGGATCTACTGATATGTATATCATGGTTTATTATAGTGTACATTATAATCAATGTACATTGTTTAATATTGTTTATTGGTTCACAGATGTCATCTCGTTCCTTAAGCAAATCATTCTTATCAAGAAGACGATAAGTAAGTAACGAATTCAGCTTCATATTTTCAAGTAAATAAGGGGTGTATTCCGAAATATACATCAGTATACTGGCCAGTGGTAATGACGTCACGAATCTGACGTCATATTGTACTGGTATGCTACCATATTTTTACCGGGAAAACGAATATGACGTATGGCCGAGCGTGCGTGAGATGCATTCGAATTTTATTTCTTTTTTATTTAAAAAACAATAATGGCATCCGAATAAAAAGAATTCCTTTTAATTGGTGAGGCGAATAAAAAATATTTTTTATCGCACTATTTTTAATATTTTGTCGATTTATGACGACAGTGCACTGGCCAATATATTTCGGAACAATTCACCAATATAGCGTCGATTCATGACGTCATTAGCACTGGTTATATGATACTGGTATATATTACGCAACACACCCAAGGACTGGAGGAATGAATGAACGAACTAAAGGAATTAGTGAATGAATGAAAATAAACTTTTATTCCTATTGACCTTTTAAAAAGCTCTTTGAATCGCCACATTTTAAAAAAGTTCAACGACGTTATAACTCTACTTTTTCCCTTTGCAGCGTTTGAAGAAATCATTACCATGATAGAGGAGTACACAGAAACCACAAGTAAGCATATCTTTAAAGAAAATATAGCTAGAATAAATTCCAAGCAGCAGACGGGACCGCTTGGTCCGCGTGGAATATTTTCTTTAGATTTAAAAATCAAGCAGTTACATGCTTTAATAAAATAAAAAATATAAGCATATCTTTATCCCCATGCTTTTGTTAAGAACTATAAAATTTTTACATTCGAGATTTTTAACCTCGATTGCTATGTTCAGAGTCGAATTTACGTTGTGTGGAGGCCCCTGACAGAAGCGTATTTTAAAATCTGGCATCCCAAGCCACTCACTTACTCCTCTGGCTGGTGAAAAATCCAATTCCACTGCTCACATCAAATGAAACTTGTTACTTGATATCTCGCTTCACTTTCTTGATAACATCAATCAAATCAAATTTCATGATATTGGTCATGGTCTATGACTGCCATTGACTAATTTTGCCCTAAATTTCACGATCGCAGACCCAACGCGCTCACCACCGACGCCATCTTGCTTATGTTCACATTTTAAGAGCTCTAATGAAATGTTTTTAAACAGGAGCTCGATGGCGAAGGTGGTTAGCGCATTCAGCGTGCGATAGTGGCAGTTAAGCAAATTTAGCTAAGGTCAGTCATTGGATGGGTGACCAAAATTTTATAATCTCGAGCTCCTTCCTACTTCGGAAGGCACGTTAAGCCATTGGTCCCGCCTGCATCTGCAATCGTGAGCACGTACCAATCAGCACTGTCTCACAATTCCATCCATGGGAAAGGCCTCTGCCCCAGCAATGGGGATTTTAATAGATGATGATTTAAGGTATAATTATATCAATAATTTGTTCTGTTCACAGCTTTCACCGAGGCTCTTAGAATACTTAAGATTCGGAAAGTTGGTGAGTACGCCTTGTGTGATGAATACTGGCATTTGTATACATCTCGGCAAACTTCTTAAGCAGCAACCTCTATGGTCTAAGGAAACCTGCGCAATACCATTTCTTTACATACAAATATGTCTATTGCGCAGGTTTATTTATCTGTCTGTGGTTTTGCTCATAAAGTTTGCCGCGACCGCCATTTTGTTTAAAGACGTACCCGATTCGAATTGTTATTTTCAAATATTTGTTTTTTTTTTGGTTGGTGACTCAACAGACTTATTATAAATTTTTAAATAATGAGAACCGTCACATATAATTATTAATCCATTGTAGATTTACGCTGTTAGATTATAATTTTACATATTATATCAATATTCTAGAATAATGAGGGTTTCCTGGAATGACGGGCACCAGGTGGCAACACTAGTGGCACTGAGACGAAAGGTCTACTCATCCGTCAAATCACGTACATCGTCATAGTATAATTATGGAATAATTTCAATGCTCGTTCGATTGATTCGCGCCAAAAACTTCATACAAAAGAACTATTGTCACAGTGGCACCAACTGGTGATATAAATTTTCCTAAATACCCTAATTGAATTACTTTTATTATTATTTCTATAACAGATATCGTGAAGACTCTTACACGGCTCATAAAAGAAAGGGAAGAGATTGAATATGAGGAGTATTACGACTATGAGGACGATGACAAAAAGCCTCACCATTCCCATAAACCACATAAACAGCATGGACCACATAAGACCCACAAAAAACATAAGCCACATAGACCTCATAAGCACCACAGACCACATAGGTCTCACAAACCGAGTGAACAAAATAATCAAGGAAAGCCGACGAAACCAGATGGATCAAAGCCACGTAAGCCAAACAAACCGAGTGAACTAAATAAACCAAATAAGCCGACTAAACCAGTTCAGCCAGAAAAGCCTAAGGAACCAGGAAATCCGGAGCATCCAGAAAAAACTGAGAAACCAGGAAAGCGAGGGCATCCAGAAAAGCCTAATAAATCACAAAAGCCTTGTGGAACACACCCACCAGGTCGGCCTGGCCAACCAGGAGAGTCAAAAAAACCCGGAGTACCAGAGCAAAAACCAGAACAACCTGTCAAACCAGGAAAGCTAGAGCATCCAGTAAAGCCTGTGAAACCAGGAAAGCCAGGGCAAACAGAAAAGCCAGAGCAGCCAGAAAAGCCTGAGAAACCAGGAGAGTCAAAGCAACCAGTAAAGCCAGGGAAAACAGGAAAGCCAGAGCAGCAAGAAAAGCCTAAGAAACCAGAAAAGCTACCACATAGGCCTCACCATCCGGAAAATCCTAATAAATCACAAAAGCCTTGTGGACCACATAAGACCCACAAAAAACATAAGCCACATAGACCTCACGAGCACCACAGACCACATAGGTCTCACGAACCGAGTGAACAAAATAATCAAGGAAAGCCGACGAAACCAGATGGATCAAAGCCACGTAAGCCAGAAAAGCCTAATAAATCACAAAAGCCTTGTGGAGCACATCCACCAGGTCGGCCTGACCAACCAGGAGAGGCAGAAAAACCCGGAGTACCAGAGCAACCAGAAGAGCCAGGGCAGCAAGAAAAGACTGAGAAACCAGAAAAGCTACCACATAGGCCTCACCATCCAGGAAAGCCTTGTGGAACACACCCACCAGGTCGGCCTGGTCAACCAGGAGAGTCAAAAAAACCCGGAGTACCAGAGCAAAAACCAGAACAACCTGTCAAACCAGGAAAGCTAGAGCATCCAGTAAAGCCTGTGAAACCAGGAAAGCCAGGGCAAACAGAAAAGCCAGAGCAGCCAGAAAAGCCTGAGAAACCAGGAGAGTCAAAGCAACCAGTAAAGCCAGGGAAAACAGGAAAGCCAGAGCAGCAAGAAAAGCCTAAGAAACCAAAAAAGCTACCACATAGGCCTCACCATCCGGAAAATCCTAATAAATCACAAAAGCCTTGTGGAACACACCCACCAGGTCGGCCTGGCCAACCAGGAGAGTCAAAAGAACCCGGAGTACCAGAGCAAAAACCAGAACATCCTGTCATACCAGGAAAGATAGAGCATCCAGCAAAGCCTGTGAACCCAGGAAAGCCAGGGCAAACAGAAAAGCCAGAGCAGCCAGAAAAGCCTGAGAAACCAGGAGAGTCAAAGCAACCAGTAAAGCCAGGGAAAACAGGAAAGCCAGAGCAGCAAGAAAAGCCTAAGAAACCAAAAAAGCTACCACATAGGCCTCACCATCCGGAAAATCCTAATAAATCACAAAAGCCTTGTGGAACACACCCACCAGGTCGGCCTGGCCAACCAGGAGAGTCAAAAGAACCCGGAGTACCAGAGCAAAAACCAGAACATCCTGTCATACCAGGAAAGATAGAGCATCCAGCAAAGCCTGTGAACCCAGGAAAGCCAGGGCAAACAGAAAAGCCAGAGCAGCCAGAAAAGACTGAGAAACCAGGAGAGTCAAAGCAACCAGTAAAGCCAGGGAAAACAGGAAAGCCAGAGCAGCAAGAAAAGCCTAAGAAACCAAAAAAGCTACCACATAGGCCTCACCATCCGGAAAATCCTAATAAATCACAAAAGCCTTGTGGAACACACCCACCAAGTCGGCCTGGCCAACCAGGAGAGTCAAAAGAACCCAGAGTACCAGAGCAAAAACCAGAACATCCTGTCATACCAGGAAAGATAGAGCATCCAGCAAAGCCTGTGAACCCAGGAAAGCCAGGGCAAACAGAAAAGCCAGAGCAGCCAGAAAAGCCTGAGAAACCAGGAGAGTCAAAGCAACCAGTAAAGCCAGGGAAAACAGGAAAGCCAGAGCAGCAAGAAAAGCCTAAGAAACCAAAAAAGCTACCACATAGGCCTCACCATCCGGAAAATCCTAATAAATCACAAAAGCCTTGTGGAACACACCCACCAGGTCGGCCTGGCCAACCAGGAGAATCAAAAGAACCCGGAGTACCAGAGCAAAAACCAGAACATCCTGTCATACCAGGAAAGTTAGAGCATCCAGCAAAGCCTGTGAACCCAGGAAAGCCAGGGCAAACAGAAAAGCCAGAGCAGCCAGAAAAGCCTGAGAAACCAGGAGAGTCAAAGCAACCAGTAAAGCCAGGGAAAACAGGAAAGCCAGAGCAGCAAGAAAAGCCTAAGAAACCAAAAAAGCTACCACATAGGCCTCACCATCCGAAAAATCCTAATAAATCACAAAAGCCTTGTGGAACACACCCACCAGGTCGGCCTGGCCAACCAGGAGAGTCAAAAGAACCCGGAGTACCAGAGCAAAAACCAGAACATCCTGTCATACCAGGAAAGATAGAGCATCCAGCAAAGCCTGTGAAACCAGGAAAGCCAGGGCAAACAGAAAAGCCAGAGCAGCCAGAAAAGCCTGAGAAACCAGGAGAGTCAAAGCAACCAGTAAAGCCTGTGAAACCAGGAAAGCCAGAGCAGCACGAAAAGCCTAAGAAACCAAAAAAGCTACCACATAGGCCTCACCATCCGGAAAATCCTAATAAATCACAAAAGCCTTGTGGAACACACCCACCAGATCGGCCTGGCCAACCAGGAGAGTCAAAAGAACCCGGAGTACCAGAGCAAAAACCAGAACATCCTGTCATACCAGGAAAGATAGAGCATCCAGTAAAGCCTGTGAACCCAGGAAAGCCAGGGCAAACAGAAAAGCCAGAGCAGCCAGAAAAGCCTGAGAAACCAGGAGAGTCAAAGCAACCAGTAAAGCCAGGGAAAACAGGAAAGCCAGAGCAGCAAGAAAAGCCTAAGAAACCAAAAAAGCTACCACATAGGCCTCACCATCCGGAAAATCCTAATAAATCACAAAAGCCTTGTGGAACACACCCACCAGGTCGGCCTGGCCAACCAGGAGAGTCAAAAGAACCCGGAGTACCAGAGCAAAAACCAGAACATCCTGTCATACCAGGAAATATAGAGCATCCAGCAAAGCCTGTGAAACCAGGAAAGCCAGGGCAAACAGAAAAGCCAGAGCAGCCAGAAAAGCCTGAGAAACCAGAAAAGCTACCACATAGGCCTCACCATCCGGAAAATCCTAATAAATCACAAAAGCCTTGTGGACCACATAAGACCCACAAAAAACATAAGCCACATAGACCTCATGAGCACCACAGACCACATAGGTCTCACGAACCGAGTGAACAAAATAATCAAGGAAAGCCGACGAAACCAGATGGATCAAAGCCACGTAAGCCAGAAAAGCCTAATAAATCACAAAAGCCTTGTGGAGCACACCCACCAGGTCGGCCTGACCAACCAGGAGAGGCAGAAAAACCCGGAGTACCAGAGCAACCAGAAGAGCCAGGGCAGCAAGAAAAAACTGAGCAACCAGAAAAGCTACCACATAGGCCTCGCCATCCGGAAAAGCGTAATGAAACACAAAAGCCTTGTGGACCACACCCACCAGGTCGGCCTGGCCAACCAGGAGAGACAAAAAAACCCGGAGTACCAGAGCACCAACCAGAAAAGCCAGGGGAACCGAGAAAGCCTCAGAAACCAGATGAGCCACGACAACCAGAAAAATCTCAATATCCGACGCAACCACAACCACCGTGCTACAAGCCAGGAACACATGGTAAGTCTTATAAATTATGCGAATGACGTGAAACCTGAAAAAAATCGGCCAAGCGCGAGTCGGACTGGCACGTAGGTTCCGTACCATTATCTCTACAACATTAGAAAGAAATAACCTTTCACACAATAAATCGTAAAAAAAACATGCCGGTAACTTCGCAGTACTAGATAGCTCATGCACAACTATGTTAGTTCTACGAGTTTTGAAAATTCGTTATATTCTTTCTATTTTCATACAAAAATAAATATTCAGTTAATTTGCCGCCCGAATGTTATGCAACCTTGCACCTAGTTAAGTGGTCCCACCATACCTGAGCCCTCTATGTAGGGCCGAACATCTAGGGCAGCAAAAACAAAATTTCAACAAACGGTTATGACTTTTGGTCGGGTCGAAATCGTCAGTCTTTTGAATATAAGCTACTAGAGGGTTCATGTAACGTTTCTAAGAACGGAAAAAATATTGATCTGCCGCGGTTTGCATGATATGGGGGTGGCCGTACGAAGGGGTAGAATTTCGCAAAAAAATACCAAGCGCGTCAGATATTGAGAAAGGATGTTACGTGAGGCCTTCAGTAGCTCCTATTCAAAAGACTGACGATTTGGACCCGACCAAAAGTTATGGCCGTTTGTTGAAATTTTGTTTTTGCTGCCCTAGGCGTTCGGCCCTACATAGAGGGCTCAGGTATGGTGGGAATACTTAACTACGTGCAAGGTTGCTCCCCATATGTTACTCTGCCGCGCTCGAGTAAATCCAAAAATCCCCGCTTGGGCTCCCCTACTAATATGCCTTATGCACCGCCTATTCTTAGGTTATTTAAGAAAGCACGTAAAATTTTATAATTTGTTTCTTTTTAGGATTAATATGAACCTAGTTCAATAACAACAGCTAATAATGTAAAGAAATTATGCTGTAATTAAATTTGTTTTCTTTATTGACTTATAAAATACTCTATTCAGATTCGATTGCCGCATCGCCCGCAGCTTTATTTGTTACTAGCTATTTTTGTAGTGAAACTTCTTTAGGCACGCTTGACTAGGGGGGGGGGGGGGGGGGGGGGTTAAACTGGCGTTACGATTAGTGTCATCGGTGACTAAACAATGAACAATACCCGTCACACAATACATGAATCTAGTGCTTGGTGGGTGATAACGGACCCAGCGTTAATTGGTGGGTGATAACAGACCCAGCGCGGAGTGGTGGGTGATAACGGACCCAGCACGGATTGGTGGGTGATAACGGACCCAGCGGAGATTGGTGTTTAACAAATCTATAGGTTAAGTTTATGATTTTCAGATCATTGGAGCTAAAGAAGTTTCACTTCAGTCGTGTGGTCATAAGCACACTCGTATCCCGTATATGTAATAGTAATTAATTCAAAATAAAACGGTAAAAGTCATACAAAAATTATGTTTGACGGAATTGTTTCGCTTTTCAAGTTCTATTAAATAAGTTCTCGGCTGCATATATCTATCTTTTAAGGATGATCCCTAACACTGGTATCTATTCTGGCATGATTCTCTAAACTTAAAGCTAAATTTAACATTGGTCTCTCCTTTTCATTCTGTATAGATACTGACAAGGATACACTATTGTAAAATTTAAGTTTAGGTTTAGAGAATCATGCCAGAATCGACACCACTATGTTACTTAGATCAATGCGAGTGAAAACGCAGGGCATCTTTACATTATAATATTAGTATGAATTAGGCCTTACACAGGTTACCATACAAACCTAACCAAGAATAGCCTTTGATCTGATAACGATGTATTTCTTCTTTCAGCACTGGAAACCAGCTTGAATTTGAAGGTTATGATTCTACCCAATGGCAAGACAGGCAAGAATTGCTATTGTGTGTGCCAAGCCACTGGCCCCCCGAAAATAATACCACTTTCGCAGATACCCCGCACACTTGAGACCATCGAAGTAAAATGAGAATAATCCTACGCGAACTAAACGATTCCATCCACAAAGCAACACGGAAGGCATAGCCATATTTAAAATTTAACGAAATCAACTACTCAGACCCGTCTTTCCCAGTGGGCACTTTGGGCAAGTGCCCAGGGCCCCGCGATCGATCAAATACAAAGTCCCTAGTTCTTGTTAAATCACCAAACGGAAGTCATAGAGGCCCCATTATCCTAATATGCCCAGGGCCTCCAATAGGTCAAAGACGGCACTGCAACCACTTATTGACAATGTGAACAATGCCATCTTTAAAGTAGTTCACTGGTTTAATGCTAATAATTTACTTCTTAATGAAGATTAAACTTAATGTTTAAAAAAAATACTACCCAATGTAAAGCTGACACAAACCCATGTAACTGTTAAGGATAGGAATATAGACCAGGTGGACACTACAGTATTCTTAGACATTACTTTTGATTCGAAGCTTCAGTGGGGCCCACATATTGAGAAATTGTCGAAGAGATTTACCTTAACATGCTTGGAATTGGATTGAATTCAATAGGCGACATAATGGTGGCGATTCTGACACGATTCTCTAAACTTAAAAACTAAATTTTACATCAGTCTCTCCTTTTCATTCAGTACAGAGAAAGACAAGGATGCACTGTTGTCAAATTTAAGTTTAGGTTTAGAGAACCATGCCAGAATCGACACTTACTATACTAATCTTAACTACGTAAGCGTAAAAACGAGAAGATTAGAATAGTATTATGTCGCCTATTCAATTTAAACTGAACAAAACTGTAATTACGGCACTCGCACATAAACCAACAAATCCTGCACACTTCATGTGAAAAAATTCGACAGCGGGGAAAGTTCCGTATGCCAAGATCTTTTTACTTCCCTCCTGGCCGCGTCGGCCGTGTTGCTCTATAATTTAATCGCTTATAACTTTGTTACCTTGTGTAAACTTAACATTTCATGTAAGTTAACCTTTTTATTATTATATAAAGTATCTTCAGATTTTATTTTCAGTAAGTCGTACTTCAATAAATCTATTACTATCTAATACGACTTAGTGAAGTTATTGTTAATGTAATGGATGTATTTCAATTAATAAATTATAGTATTATTAAAGCTGTGTGTTTTAATTGTTGATCATCGATAGCTACTCCGATCTCGTATTTAATAAATTAACTTCCTGTAAAGTGGTTAAATGCAAGAACAAACGGTTCCGTTTCTAGGCCGCGTTGTTTCATCTTTAGTTAAAATACTAGAGAAAATTTTAAACATTATTTTGCCATTTGACACATTCACTGTGTATTTCATATAGTCAAATACAACTATGGATGGAATTCAACATGGAACATTGGCGAGATGTCTTATTTCTGTGCAAAACGGAGAACTATGGATGAAACAACGCAGTCTTACCAACACGTTTTTCATCATGGTAACGCTAGACCTGTGAGATCTTTAGCCACTCAGCAAAAATTAAGAGTTTGACTGGGAGGTGTTAATGCATCCGCCGTATAGTCCTGACCTTGCACCTCCACATTTTCATCTGTTTCGGTCTCTGCAGAAGTCTTTAGGCAGTGTCAGGTTAACATCATGAGAGGACTGCTGAAACCACTTGTCGCAATCTTTTGATCAGAAGCCCACGCGGACCGGATACCAGAAAAAAATCCACGCGGACCAGGCAGCAGACGGGACTTGAACCCACACCCTTCGCTAACTTGAACTTCCACCCACATTGTGGGTTACCTACAATGCGAAGAGATGGCACTGCCTTGCAGCTTAAGAATGGTAAAAGGTCAGAAATAACAAAATGAAATCGTAACCGACAGCGATAACCATAGCAATCCCTATAGGCGATTGGCCCCCTGCTCATCCGCCTAGGCGGTGATGTCCACGCTCAAGTTGCAGTTTGGAAACCGGGATATCATCATATCAAATATAGGATGGGAGTCCGGATTTAGGGGCGGCCCCAATCAACACCCTAATCTAACAAAATTAAGCGCGTCAGAAATCAAAGAAAAGGCCAAAGCATTGCAAATAATTTCTTCCACTGACTTAGAACTCGATTTTATTAGAAAATGCCTCCATTCTTGCTTACTGCACTATAAAAATGAAGATTGGAACTCTGCTGTCAGTTTGTTGAAATGGTTACGAACTGAAGGTCTTCAAAGGATTATCCCAAACGTGGATATTGCTCTTCGTATGTACACAGACACGCACACACATACTATATTATCTATAGTATGTGCGTGTGTGTGTGTGTGTGTGTGTTTAAACGATCTTGCTTTGCATAACATAGAAGCAGACTTTTTAAGGAAATTGGATTGCGAAGATTTTATTAATGATTTTGCTGCATTAAAGTGCGGGCGAGTTTTGTAACACATTGTATACACGTAGTTTGACCAATTTAAAATGGCAAATTTTAGAAAAAAATGAGTTTAAAGAGAAAACCTTTTTCTTTTTCAATTTCGTGATTTTCACCATTTTCTTAAAAATATTTGCCCAAAATACTAAAGATACGAAAAAAACGACATAGTACTAAATTGTAGCTTTTTTAATAACAAAAATTTCCCTGTGTGCATATTTTTTGTACAGTGAATATTTGGCGAGATATAGCCGTTTAACACCTACATTTACGATCGAACATCACCTTATTCAAGCGCTTTAAACTCTCCCCATTTAAAAATTAAGAGCCCTTTTACAAAATTGGGCCGCTCTAGTTTAGGTAAATTCGGCCGCGAGCGTCTCCGAGTCGCACGAGAGAGACATCGACCCGGCGATGTTCAGTATAGCGCGCTTTACCAAATTGATACTTTAATATGCAATTATTGACTATACAATAAATGCAAATATAAAATAAAGTTAATTTGAAGTGCTAAGATGGATCCCTACTGTAGCAACGAACGATTCTAGATAGGAATTCTGTGTGGAGCAAAGGATACAAGGATTAAGTTTTTTCACAATTGTGAGAAAATAAATAATATATTTAAAGTACTCATTGCTTGTGTTTTGGTAATTACAATAAAAATTAATTATGATTATTACTAATTATTGTAACTTTATATGTATGATTTGCATAACTTGTTTGTTCAAATTTTTTTTTATTCACTCAGTAATTAAATGAATAGTTTGTTCACTGTTATCGCTGAATGAAATTCTTTTTTCGAGAGGCAATGAGAAATAATATTTTATTTACTTGTGTTTTTTAGTATTGACTTTCTTTATGATGATTGATGTTTGGTAATAATCAAATATCTCAGTAAAACTGTACTAAGTGTAGTTTTGTCTTTGCCTTCGTAGTCCATTTAAAAAAAAGTTTTCTCACTCTGTATTTTCAATATATCTGTAAGAGTATTTGATAAAAAAATAAAAAGCATGTTTTTTGGATTCGTGTAATTTCCATGCATTTAAACAAAAACCATCAAAAGCATTTAACTTTCATAGGGACTCATCTCAACTCAACTCAACGACACCAGAGAGAATAGAATAATTATTCTTATATGAGCGTTTGCTCATACAAGCATCCGCTTCTACAGCTATCATGGCAATTCCTGCGTTGCTTATACGACCCTGTGACTTTGCAAACTCTATTTCATGTTTTGCCGCATTTAGCATAGTTTCTTCAGCGGTTTTCTTCCACATATCGGCAAACACTATCATGAAGAGTACTATATAAACGAAATGGCGTCGTTGGTAAATCCATCGAGGCTACAAGCTCGTTTAAGTTGGAAAGACCAATTCCGGTAGTTATTGCTCCTAATACAGCTCCATCATTGATATTGAGGCATCGTTTTTCAAAATCACAAGTATTCAGGACGAATCTCGATCCACACATTACACATTTTACCACAAATTTAGATATGAAACCCACTTTCTTTTCATTTTCTATTTTAAGATAATTCATTTTGCAGTCAAACTTTACACTATTTTTACTTATGGATATCAACTGATTCCAAAAATATTGGAATTCGATTACACGTCTTCCATCAACCATGTACTCCACCTGAAAACAGATTATCTAATTGACTACAATACTGCTTTTATCGACTATCTACGCATATAAACAGATATAGGCAATACTGGAAATACATTTCCAATCCAGACACAGATATGGTACGTAATTCAGCAAGTTACTGTCAATTGAACTTATGGAGCAAAGAAGTCTAAATATAAAATATTAAAAATAAACTTTTTTGCTCTAGAAATGCATCCCATTAGTAAAAGTTTGAAACAAAAACCAAACTGCTAACATTGTAAACTATGTACCTAGTGTAGTAGTGAAATACCCATTAGGTAAGTATAAAACAAATAAAATATTTACGTTTGAGTTTGACGCTTCCCTTTGTTCTTCGGCTTCGATTTCCAATCCAACAGCAATTTTTTCCTATATAATTAAATTTATTATTATAGTTTCAATTTCTCTTTTCATTGTCTACTTCCAATAACAACATGAAGAACTTATAGTTTCCGTTGCAATCGAATCCATTGAACTTATGGTCGGTATAGTTTCAGTATTTTCGGGGTTGCTATTAAAATTTTGTTTCCATCTAAAATAAATAGAACTCAATTTCTATTCTAAATATATTATTATGTTGGGCCAATATGTACTTTGGCAGCTCACGAGCTTATACTTGTTATACTTGATGGAAATGCAAAATTTTACTGCACTCTAGCTTTTTTTACAGACATAAGGGTAGATGGTAAGAATCTTAAGTTTAAATCGGGGAATGTAGGGTGGTCACAACTGGTCGCTTTATTGGAAAACGCGTTTATAGCTATATCTTCTAAATTATTGACTGTACGGAAAAAATGTAGAGTGCTTTTTTGTTTATTACTAAATTCTCTAACTTCTTTCTCTAAAACTTTTTATTGTAACTCTTACCATTTTTCAATTGTTGTTGTTTATTTGAACATGTTTGTAGTTTTTCCTTTATAAAACCTTAAAAATGTCATTAATTGATAAAAAACGTCGTATACGAGTTATTCGTGATTAAATTCCCGACAAGTTTTGTATATTTTTTTTTTATTAAATAAATACTTTTGAAGTTAGTTGTCGTTAATGTGCGCAAAAACAGGCATTGAATTGAAGTTACAGAAGTATCCGAAAAATTCACTCACTTCATACAAATTGAAGCTGATGATGATTTGTGTTGGATTGTTATCAATTAATTGTAAAAAAATGTAATAAAAAAAGGAAAAATAAATATAAATATTATAAATAATATTAGTGATGAGAATCAATTGCACGTATATAAAACTCTGATATACTGCGTTATTGCTACGTTAACGACTCATAACTTTAAAAGTATTTATTTAATAAAACAAAGATTTATGCATAAGTTGTAGGAAATTTAATGATAAATAACTTTCATAACATGTTTTTTATCAATTAATGGCATTTTAAAGGTTGTATAAAGGAAAAACTACAACTAAAAATTTGAATAAACAACAAAAATTAAAAAAACGGTAAGAGGTACAAAAAAAGTTTAAGGCAAAAAAGTTAGAAAATTTAGTAATAAACAAAAAAGGTCAGTACCATTTTTCGCTTAAAGTCAAGTTTTGGCCGAAAGGGAAGCCCCCCACCCCCAAGCCCGTAAAATCGTTGGCCATTAGAGTACAGTACCTTGACTGATTACAATTTTATACCGATGATACTTGAAAAGTCCGACAAATCACCACTTTTATACAATCAAAACACCCATGGAAAGCACAAAAATAAAAAGCGAAATGTTATAAGCATATTCACCTTGCTTCACAAGCTTTCTTTATGGCTGCATCATTCTTTCGTTTTCTTTTTTTGACACAATGGTAAGCAGGAATTTTAGGCCCCATTGTAAAAGCTAATAACAAAAATATTAGTTGAAGCAACGATACTTAATAACTAGGTAGGTACTTATAATAATAAAAATTAATACGGTTGTGGAAACTTACATACAGTCAACGATTAAACTTTTGCGGTCGTAGTATATCCAGCCAGTTTTACAATGAATGCACTCGTAGCATCGCTCGGGACGCGTGCGCTACAAAGCGACATAGGTCCGACCTCCTAAGGCGCTGGCGCCGTACTGAACGGCGCCTAGATTCTCACTAGTATATATTGCATTTTACGGGTGATGTTCAGAGTCTTATAAAATAATAATTAATGAACTTATTATAAAAATATATACATATTTCAGTAGTTCAATGATTGTAGATTAGTTTTATGAAAGTTTTTGATAGTAATTCTATTTAATTCAATATCAAAATACGAGGTAAACCTGCGTTATTTTTTGAGGACACTCACGGAGGTTAGATGTTTTTTTAATAATTAATGAGATATAAAATCAAGATTCTAATACATT